TCAGCTTGTCAATTTCTGCAAAAAGGCAACTAGGATTTTGACAGGGACCTCACTGAATCTGCAGATCAGTTTCAGGAATATTCCATCTTTTTTTTTTTTTAATGTTTTATTTATTTCTAGGAGAGAGAGAGAGACAGCGTGAGCAGGGGAGGGTCAGAGAGAGAGGGAGTCACAGACTGAAACACGCTCCAGGCTCTGAGCCGGCAGCCAGCACAGAGCCCGACGCGGGGCTCGAACCCACGAACCGCGAGATCATGACCTAAGCGAAAGTCGGACGCTTAACCGACTAAGCCACCCAGTCGTCCCCAGGAATATTCCATCTTAGCAACGTTGAATCTTCTAATCCGTGAACACTGTGATGTTCTTTCAAATTTTTAGGCCTTTAATTTCTTTCAACACTATTTTATAGTTCTCATGTACAACTCTTATACCTACTTGGTTTAAATTTATTCCTAAGAATTTAATTCTTTTGGATGCTATTGTAAACAGAACCATTTTCTCAATTTAATTTTCAGGTTGTTCATTACAATTGCATAGAAATACGCTAGCTTTTGTATATTGACCTTGTATCCTGCAAATTTGCTGAACTTCTCCTAGTTTTTAGTGGATAATTTTTTATGTGTTTACAAGTCACCTGTAAAAGTATTGTTCCATTTTTGATAATGAAACTAAATAACACTTTAGTACTGTCTCTCCCTCCCTCCATTCCTTTTTTTCCTCCCCTGACCTTCCCATAGGCCCCAAAAGAGAGCTGCAAATATGTATAGATGGACTCTCCTTCCTTTGTTGGAACTGGCCTTGTTTATTCTCCTGGATTTGGAACAGAAGCCAATCAGTGAACTCTTTAAGTGGTTATTTTGAGAACACTTTCATGTTTTCAAAAGTGACTTAATATGAGGCCAATAGGTGGATGAAAGATGCTCAGTTTTTATTTTGCTGGAAACCAAAGAATGTAAAATAACACAAGTACAGGAGACCACCCATCCATTTAGAAGAACAAAAATGAAAATGATGAAAGCCAATGCTGGCAGAGTTATGAAGAGACAGTCATATTGCTGGTGACGCTATAGGTTAGTTCAATCATTTGTATGGCAAGGACCATAAAAATGAGTGTATTCACCTGGTTTTACTCCAAAGATGTATCTCCAAAATTAAAAACTATGCGTATGAATTCTTATTAGCTGTGATATAAGAGATTAAAAGAAAAGAAAGCATAAGCTTCATATCCAACAATTGGGAGCTAGTGGAGCAAATTATTATATCAATATAATGATGGACTATTATATTGTAACTACACATCATTCATTAATGTGTGCACTTTACAGATTCAGGGAATAGTAGATATGAAATAAGTGGGGGGAACTGTCAAATAATGAAAATATTGCTAGGTAAAAAGTTTCTGTAAGAAAAAAGGAAATTTACTAAGATTATACAAATAGTTGATATTTCAGTGTAGTTTTGGTTGAATGTATACTTGAAGAAAAGAAATTTTTCCCACCGCACACATAGACTTTTCTTACTTTGTAGCGCTCACCCTTTTGGGTCTAAGCATCTAATGAAGATGTTGAGTTTGTGTTGATTGGGCCACACATAATGTATAAACTCTTCTTTGTCCTCAAGAGCCTAAAGGGCAAGCTTGTCTTAAATTCTCACATATTATGTCCCTCATTTTAACAGTTAACAGGTGCTATTAAAATCTCCCACAGGGCAGAAATCACAATTGCACAATAGACTTGGAAACCAGGTTTCATCAGTGGGAGCCCAGAGGCGGGATGGCCTTGAAGGCTAGCACTCAGTGTGGACAGCTAGAGAGCGAGAGGAGGCTGCCATGATGGCCAGAAAGAGCGATAGAAGAAACTCCAGGAAATGATTGCACCCACCCTCTACAGCCCTTGGACCCCTACTTCACAGCTCTGAGAAGGGCCTTCTGCTTGGACTTCCTCAGGGATGGGGAACACATCGTCTCCAGTCCATCCCATTGGACAGCTGCTTCTGAGAAAGGTTCTTCCTTGTGTCTAGCCATAGGCCTGCTTCCCTCTACTTTCCACCTTCCGAACCTCCTTCTGATTCATCTTTGAGGTCCCACAGGACATCTTTTTTTATAAAAAAAGAAAGCAGTTTTTATACCTCCCAAGTTGCCAGTTCTCCAGGTTGAACTTTCTCATTGCTTCTAGTCATTCCTCATGGGGTTGTTTTCCACCTCCTCCTCCTGTTGCTGCTGAGCCCTGACCACACCACAGTTTGTTTAGCATTGTTCCCTTTATAGTGCACTGCCTGGAACCGAATATCAGGCAAGACAGTGCTGTCAACTACCTGGGGTTCTCTCTCATCCTAGTACAACCTAGAATTAGCTTATTTGGCATCTGTTTTTAAATCATTGACTTCTGTTGAGCTGATCATCAGCTAAAATCCATAAATAGTGTTAATTTTTTCATTTCAGCATGCACACGTGGCCAAGCCACGTCTCTCACATCCTATAGTTGTTTCTCAGGCTTTAGATCTATAGATTTTAGCTTCTTTTTTTGAGCAATTTCTTACCAATATTGTGCTGTGGGTAACTTCAGTTTTTATTCGCAACGTAAAGACACTTCTTTACAGTATTTAAAATAAATTGAGCGTCTATGCCAAGTAATTGGTAGAGTCATTGTTGGGGAGGGATAGGAGAATTGGTCAGTCCTCATATTCTGTCCCTTCTCCCTACGTATGAGTCACCTGGAAGGCTCTATTCTTTAGATAATTTGGTATGTTGGAAAAGAAATTCTCTTTTGTTTGCATTAATAATTTGTTGATTTTTGGAATATTGGAGCTTCAGAGATGCTGAGAGATCTTTCAGTTCACTGCCCTCTACCCCTTTCTGCACATTTGGGATAAAAGAATTGTTCCAAGTTAGTAAGGAAACTGGCAATAGAGGCAGCCTTGGAACCCAGGCCTTCAGCCATACATAGAAACTGACCTACTAGCTTTTGCCTAAATAGCAGCTTTCAGCTGCTCATATTAAGATATTTTAGAGGTGCCTGGGTGGCTTAGTCAGTTAAGCATCTGACTTCTGCTCAGGTCATGATCTCATGGTTCATGAGTTCAAGCCCTGCATCAGGCTCTGTGCTGACAGCTCGGAGCCTGGAGCCTGCTTCTGATTCAGTGTCTCCCTCTCTCTCTGCCTCTCCCCTGCTTGCATTCTGTGTCTCTCTCAAAAATAAATAAACATTAAAAAAAAAGATATTTTATAGATTTTTCTCCTTCTGATCCTCTTATGAATTTAACTGCCCCAGAACTAGATGCCTTGTTTGAATCCCTCCAACCTGTGAGTAAATGATACCCTTTTAGGTGTTGAAGAGAGTTGCCTTGGTGGTGAAGGTGGGCAGGATCCTCTCTGAGACTTCCACAGCCTTTACTGGCTTTCTGCCAGTTTCTTTCCTTGCGGGGTTATGCGGCTCCTCTCTTCCTTACACTTGGGAGAAAAATGAGATCACCCTGGATAGCATAGGTGCCAGAGTAGGGCCAGTTTCCAAAGAGTCCCCTCCGGCTTGACCCGGGGGCACACTCAGCACTTAGCTGTCCCCTGACAGCTAGTGTTGGGGGCTGGGCAAGATGGCATGTTGAGATTGACCATGGATCCTGTCTCCTTACCAGGTTATCTGAGACAGCACATCAGACTCGGGGGGCTTCAGCTGGGGGAGGGGGGGAGCCCACGTATAGGGAGGCAGTTGTGCCAGTCTGCCAGTGTCAGAAGGATTTTTTATTTATAGCCTTTAATGTACGTGTACTTTCCACACGTGGCTGCAGATTCTTGGAGGGCAGGAAGTTGACTTTCTTTCATTGTAATATTCTCTCATTGCCAGCGGCAGTGCATTCGGTAGATGTTTCCAGCTTCGGGCAGGGCAGCACGAGATACCTTTCCTGCTTTGCTGCTACCTGGCTCTGCAGGCAGGTTCCTTCGTCTTTCTGGGATTGATTCTTCATCTATAAAATGAGCAATTTGTGGAGTGACCTCTGAGCGCTCTCTTAGCGTAGTGCCTAGGGTTCTGGGGCCTTCCAGAGCTCCCCAAATGTATCCTTATTGTGTAGCTCAGAGAAGTCGTCGTCCTTCTTTTTTCTGTCGTAGCATCACTGAGAAAATCCATCCTGGGAATGATACCCTTTATACCCTCGCCATCCTTCCCCAACACACAACAGAAAGGGTTTTTTTCGTTCATGTCTTTTAAAGCAGGCAAATCCATAACAATAAAAAAAAGAAGGGTTGTGGAGGGGAGGTTTTGAGATGAGGGCCAATGGTCAGCCCTCTCAGGCTCCTGCTCTTCCTCTGAGCTGCTTGCATTTCAGGCTGGTTGCAAGAAAAGAGTCTCGTGGTCAGAGAATGAGGGTCGTTGGTGACCTTCATAAAGTACAGGATGGGCCAGAGGTCCCAGTGGAGAGGGAGAGGAAGTCACCTGTGGCTCTGGAACTTGGTGGGGAAGCAAGGCAGAATTAGATGATTTGGAGGTGGTTCCTTTTTGTAATACACGCAGAAGAAAAATAAGATGCAGTGAGGAATATGCAGGTTCCCATCCTCTGAGAGCTTGCTCTTGGGGAAGATGGGCAGAGATACAATATAACCGTTGTTCAAGGTTCAAAGAAATTAGCTCAAAGGAGGGGATAGTTACTCCCAACCTAAGGAACAGAGAAGGTTTCCTGGAAGCACCTGTCTGCATCTTCCCCCACCCATCCCATGCAGTGCCTCACCTTTGCTCTGCTCAGGTATGCGGTGGCAAATTTAGAAATTTACAAGTGGGGCACTAACTGGGAAGGTTGGGAGCCAGAAGCTAAGTGAGCTCAGCCCGCCCATGTGTACTTTGCACTTTTTCCATTTCCCTTGGTATCAGGCACTGTCACTGTACTTCATTCATAGTGCAGCTGTCACCGAGCTACTGTGACAATGGCTGCTTCTGCCCCAGAGACCACCACAGGCTTGGAGCTAAAGGCCCCGGCCTCTGGAGGTCTTAGCACTGACCCTGTCCCTCCAGCTGCCATGTCCACGCAGAGGCTTCGGAACGAGGACTACCATGACTACAGCTCCACGGACGTGAGCCCAGAGGAGAGCCCATCCGAAGGCCTAAACAACTTCTCTTCCCCGGGCTCTTACCAGCGGTTTGGGGAAAGCAACAGCACAACGTAAGTTTCTTTTACCCTCCTGGGTGGGATTCATGTTCCTACGTTCTGTATTCATAATGTAGTCTCCCTTAGAGATATGTTTGCTCCCCCATTTCATCAGTTCCCCACTTTACAGATGGAAGGAAGATATAAAGAGACTGAGTGAGTAACAGTGCTGAGATTTGAGCTCCTTGCCGGCCACCTTCCCAACTGTTTTATATTCTTTGCTCCTTTCAGCCGTGTTGGTCCCTGAAGGCTGGTGCTGAACGTAAGAGAAACTTCTAGAGAGAAGATTCTCTTAATTCAGAAGCACAGGTGATCTGTCTTAGAACCTCAAATACCTCTAGGCTCAATTGGAAACTTCCTTTGCAGAGTCCTGCTCAGACTTCTGTCCCCATCACGAAACAGCCAGTTGATTTGGCTGAAGAAGTGGTAAGAGGGAGGAAGGAATAATTTCTCCTGCATTTAAAAAATTCAAGAGGTTGAGAGGAGGAGGTCTGCTTTGCATTCTCTAGGGAGGGTTTAAGTTTTTATTCCTGGAAACTGAATCCCAAGACTCATCTGAGTGCCCTCTCTGGGCCTCAGTTTCCTCAAATATAAGAGGAAGCTGAGGACCCCACTGTGAAGGTATGCTGACTGTCTGGTGCCCACCCACTTGAATTAGAAGATTCACAAGAGGGTTTTCTACTCCACTGAGTTTTCATACTTAGTCCTGAACCTCAAGTAGACCTCTGATATTTTCTCTATACTCCAGCATTCCATCCTTTTTGGTGCCTTCTGTTTAGTCCTCAAACTTAGCTGTTACCCTGTCTGTGTTCCTTCGTGGGTTGCATGTGACTTATTGAGGGATCTTTTATGTGCTAGACTTGTGCTGTCCTGTGTGACTGCCCAAGGAGGCTATTGAAACTTCTCTTGGAGGTCATTACTGGTGAAGCTCCCTTTGGCTGTGGGCTCTCCTGGGACAGGGCATTTTCCCTGGGGATAGAACCAGAGGGTATGGTCTGTCCACATTACCACTCAGTGACTTCTGCTCCGAAAGATTCGGTCTCTATAGCTTATGTCTCATGTGGCACGCCTCTGTAGATTCCCCCATTTGCTTGCAGTGCTAGCTGATGGGAAGGATTGCGCGGACAACTGGCAGCAGTGAGGACCGTCTTTCCCTTCTTTCCCCTAACCCGACCACCCAGCTGGCATCCCCGCAGGCAGCAGCGGCTCCAAATGCAGCCAGTGACACGTGACAGCTTCCCTTCAGAAGTCACAGTCCTTGTGCAGTTGTTCTTCCAAGCTTCTCTCCCTGTAGTTTCTCTTCCAGTTTCAGGCATCAGCTTGCCTGTGCAATGGTTGTCATAGAGGGTTTAGATTTTCATTTTTAAAGGGACCTCTCTGAAGTTCAAATCCAACCACTAGCAGCTTCAGGCTGGTGACTCACAGGTTTTGTATGTATTGGAAGTTATGCGTGCCTGTTAGCTATTCTGAATATCTCTTTTTTCACACTGGGTTATAACTAGTATCAACCCCACACTATTTCTCCTTGCTTGTTAGAAATTGAGGCAATCAGGAAATACCTTCTTCCAGTTTGTACTGGGACATTTTCCTGGGTACACTTTGTTGTGAGGGCCTTTCCTGCCCTGATTCTGTGCTATGGGGTAGGTGACCAGGGAAAGCCCATCTGTAAGTGATGTCTGATATCACAAGCGATAGAGGGAAAAGTACTCCCTTGGGACTTGGAGGGTTGGTTATGTAACCAACTACTCACGCTGGATCCACCTGAGCATTTATGTGTAGAAAGCATGCCAGGTATGATTAAGATAGAAGCTGATTCAGGAGACCTTGTTAGGTCACGTGGATCTCTCACCTATCACGGTGTTAGAGACAAGCTTTTGAGCTGGAGTCCTTGTCTCCTGTGCCTTGCCCCACCCTGTTATCTGCTTTGTCCATGAGCAAAGAACGTGGAACAAAGTACAAGGAACAAAATGCAAGGAATAAAGTACATGCTTACACATACCTGGCTCTTCTAAGGGTTAAGGGCTCAGGAAAAATCCCTAATCAGGGGTGCAAATAGGAACACCTGACACTTCCATAGTGGTGTGTTTAGTGAGGTTATTTCCTAACACTTGATGTTGTCAAGCTGTTGACTGCTTTGACAACAGCCACATGTTACTCCGTGGGGCCTTTTTTCTTCTTGGTGCCCTGTTGACTTACATTATACCAGCTTTTGATTGAGCTTTGGTACTTCTCCCCCAGGCTGGCAGGCTGTGAAACTAGTTGACTACTCTAGGTTGTCTAGAGCGGCTGTTTGCAAAGTGTGACCCTTTGGGGTTCCCAAGGCCATTTCAAGAAGTCTGTGAGATTGAAACTATTTTCATAATAATGCTAAAATGTTACTTGCCTTTCCACTGTGTTGACATTTACAGTGATGGTTCAGCAGCAGTGGTGGGTAAAACTGCTGGTGGGTTAGCATAGATCAAGGCAATACTACCAACTTAGGCCATTCATCGTATTTTTCTCTGCCACACATGTACAAAGAATAAGCCAGTTTCACTTGAGCAGGTCCTTGATGAAGCAGTCAAATTACTCATTTTATTACTTAATCCTTCAGTACAGGTTTAATAATCTCCATGACAGATGGGAAGTACATGTGAAATACCTCTACTGCATACCAAAGTATGACACCTGTCTCAAGGACGAGAACCTCGAGTGATTGCTTTGTGAACTAACTAGCTGCTTGGGTTTTGTTTTTTGTTTTTTGTTTTTTGTAGAATACTATTTCTGCTAGGAAGAACTAACAAGCTGTAGGTTTTTCAGACCTGAGGGCTTGGCAGACATCTTCTTGAAAATGAAAATAATGAGGGGCGCCTGGGTGGCTTAGTCGGTTAAGCGTCCGACTTTCGCTTAGGTCATGATCTCACGGTTTGTGGGTTCGAGCCCCACGTCGGGCTCTGTGCTGACTGCCAGCTCAGAGCCTGGAGCCTGTTTCAGTCTGTGACTCCCTCTCTCTCTGACCCTCCCCTGCTCACGCTGTCTCTCTCTTTCCTAGAAATAAATAAAACATTAAAAAAATTTAAAAAAATAAAAGAAAATGAAAAAAATGAGACCATGACCTCACGAAAAACAATCAGTGGTATTTGTGGTCCACATTAGGTTTTCAAGCAAAACTAGAAAACACCTAGTATCCAGCACTGACCTTGACAGCTTCCCTCTACTTAAAGATTTTAGGGTGCCTGGGTGTCTCAGTTGGTCTCAGTTAATTTCGGCTCAGTATATGATCCCAGGGTTGTACATCTGATCCCCATGTCAGGCTTCACGCTGAGTATGGAGCCTGCTTAAGATTCTCTCTCCCCCTCTGCACCTCTCCCCAACTTGTGCTCTCTCTCTCTCTCTCTCTCTTAAAAAAAACAAATACTTCAGTGATATTAATAAATGTGAGTTTTTTGGATATTGTGTAATGAAATGTACCAGTGTTGAGAAGAACTGCATAACTGAGGGAACCAGTATCTTCCAAATGGCCAGTGTGATATTAGAAAATTGTGCATGGGGAAAAGATCCATTCAAAGAGCAAGATCACCAGTACATTGTAATCTGAGAGGATACCGAAAAGCGCAGACTCCCATGTTGTAACTAACTTCTAAGACATAGCCACATGTCGAGTATTGGTGTAGTATCAAAAGAAAACTACCACAGTTGTCTAAAGAGACTATTAAAACACATTCCAACTGCATGTCTTTGTGAGGACAGATTTTCTTCATGTACTTCAACCAAAACAACATACATATCACAACAGATTTAATGCAGAAGTAGATAATGCAGCTATCAAGCAAGACATTAAAGAAGTTTCCAAAAAAAGTAAATTAGTGCCAGTCTTCATTTTAGAATATAGAATTACCTTTCATTTAAAAATCTGTTATTTATGGGGGTGCCTGGGTGGCTTAGTTGATTAAGTTGGTTTCAGCTCAGGTCATGATCTCATGGTCATGGGATTGAGCTCCAAGTTGGGCTCTGTGCTAAGCTTGGAACGTGCTTGATTCTCTCTCTCCCTCTCCCTCTGCCCTTCTGCTTGCGCACTCTCTCTCTCTTTCAAATAAAAAAAATAAAGCAATAAAAAATAAAATTAAAAATCTATATTTATATTAACATATAATTTTATTTTTAAATTAATTTGATTTTAAATATATTAATTTAAAATAAATAAAATATATTTATTTTATTCTTATGTGTTGTTAATTAATGCATATTTTTAAACTTCTCAATTTTAATTTGTAATGTATATCAGCAGATATAATCTGTACAATCAAAAGCTATTTGGTATCCTTAATACTTTATAAGTATATAAAGGGTTCCTGAGACTAAAAAGTGTAAGAATTACTGATTTGAAACATAAACCAAACTACAGAGATTTACAAGGTTTCCTCCTTATATCCCCCATAGTTAAGACTTTGCAGTCCATGGAGTTGATTTTGTGATACTCGTGGTTTTGGGTAATCCCAGCTTGGGGCCATTGGTTAAAGAGAGTAATATTGGGCAGTTGCCCAGAATCCAGGTGTTTCAGAGCTGAGGAGACCTTAGAAAGGATGCTGTCCTATCCAGTCCCCTCACTCTACAGCTAAGACTAAGGTCCACACAAAGGAAGGGAATTGTCAAATAGAGTTACTGGCAGAGCCAGGGCTAAAAGGGACCTGATCTCCCACAAAACCCAGCTCAGAGGCATTTTGGGGAGGCCTCGGGTAGGCAGGTGGGTTTGCTACAATGCTTACCTTTGCCTTGAGTGGATTAAACATTTGCTGAGATAGACATTTGTTTGTCTTATCATCCTGTGTATAATCTTCTGGTCACTGGCTGCTGATAATGAAGGAGTCACCCCGTACCCGTACCCGTGCGGTCCTTGGGCTGTTTCCTCGGGATAGTCCAAGGGAGCGCTCAACCTCTTCCCGTTTAGAGACTCAAAGACATTTTCTTGATTGATAAGAGAAGCTTGGAGACAGTAGGAAGATCAAGAGGTCTTCTTCCTAGAGGGAGAAGGAGAAATGTTACCGAAAGTAAAATTCCATTCCAGAGAGTAGAGATAGGTCATACTTATTATGGTTTTTATGAGTTAACATATGTTATTTGCTTTTGGTTCCTTCTGAATTGCTGATTTGAAGAAATATATGGAAACATCATTTAGGAGGGATTTAGGGTATTTTTGCAGAAGAATTTTCAGATGGTGCCAGGGGCCAAATTCTGAGTGAGTCTGTATACTGGGGGCAAAGCTATGGCTGTATTTGACCTGCTTGTATCCCTCTGGAGGTAGCAGGGTAGAAAATAGGGCAGATGAGGACACTACTCTGTTGTCAGTCCTTTGAGGAGACACGCTCCTCTGTGCTGATGCCCCATGTCTCTCTCTAGGCTCATATTCCCAGGCCTTTCTTCCCCAGGGGCCCCCTTGCAAGCTCTGCCTGTCCCCCCGGGCTCAGCTCAGGCCTCCACTCTGGGACCCTCACCTGCCCGCCCCTCCCTGAGCACTTAAGAAGGTATCTCTGCCTGGGTGGTTATTAGTGTATCTGCCTTATTTTTTCATTGAAGCATTGTTAATTTCTAGAGACCGAGGTCCGTATCTGATTCATACTTATTTCTACCACGGTATGAACACAGTGTTTTACACAGAACAGATGGCATTTGCTGAGTGAAAAAATGAATGAGGATGCAGGAGAGGCTTTATAATCACAGTGTGAGATGGACAGTCTATAATAGGTGAGGGGGAAATCTAGCTTCAAGGCAGAAGGATAAACTAGGTGATGTTTGAAGAGGGCTTCTCCAGTCCTAGGATCTGACTTTCTATTTTAAATACATAGTATCCCAGGGACTGGCCGGAGGTAGTACTTGGTTCACTTTGCATACAATTTTCTTTTAAGAGTTCTGGACTTCTGTTTTTTATTTCCTTCATTCTTCTCTCATACCGATGTCTGTCCTTCACACTTCACGCTTGCCAGCCTCCATTGTGGTGTTGGATACGAGTCTCCATTGTGGACAGTTCTGGTGAAACCCAGGCCAGACCCATTAGGAAAGGATAAAGTGCCTACGGGAGCCCTGGTGTCCCTCTGGTCTAATCTGCCATAGAGATCGGGCTCTTGGAGATCCCACAGGGAACAGAGCTGAGAGCACAGGGGCTCGGGGAGGGCTCGCGGGTCAGACTGTCTGGGTTGGAATCCTGGGTTGGAATCCTGGCCGAACTCTTTATTAGGTATGTGACCTCGAGCAATTGTCTTCCTCATCCATAAAATAAAGTTAACACGTATCTCATAGGGTCATTGTGGAAATTGAATGAGAGAAGGCATGAAAGCCTTTAGCACATTGCTACATGCTTAATAAATGCTGGCTGTCATTATTGTTAACATGCCCTTGTCTCCCGTCTTTCCACTTCAGATGGTTCCAGACCTTGGTCCACTTGCTAAAAGGCAACATTGGCACCGGCCTCCTGGGGCTGCCCCTGGCAGTGAAGAATGCAGGCATCTTGGTAAGGATCTGCATTGGCAGGGGCAAGTCTCCTGACAAATTTTAGGAGATGGTGTGTGTGTTTTTAAATTTGCTTTGTTTAAAACACTTAAAAAGCTTTTCTCTTTAATTCAACTGAGAAAGAGCAATATTCAGGTGTTCATTCACTTAAACATATTTATTGAGGGCCTTTTGTGTGCTAGACATTGTTCTAGGCTCTGAATATTACCAGTGAATAAAAAAGAGGAAGATTCTTGCCCTAATGGAGCTTACCCTGCAGTGAGGAGGATGTAATTAAAATGTCTCGGAGTTTCTGTTAATAATATCGAGTAATGAATGCATAACAGAAGTCTGTTGGTTTTTTTACACGCTCCTTCCACGTCCCCATCCCTAGGAGGCCAGCTCTAAGAATTTTACTTTTTCTGTTATGATCCATCCCCTACAGACTGTAATCTAAAACCATTTGGCTTCTCTTAGAGCTGGAGCTAGCTCAGCCTTAGCTAAGGCCTGAGCTAAGAGCTGGTTTTCTTGATCTGGTCTTACTCTAATGAGAACTTTCCACTTCCCTCCACTCCTTCTCCATCTCTTCTTCCCAGAACTTTCCCTTTCCCTCCACCCCTTCCCTGTCCCTTCTTCCCAGACCATAGGAGCCTTCAGTTCAGCTGATTTGCAGCTGTTTCGGACCAGCCTTATGTTGTGTCATTCTTCTCCATGAGGTTATCTCTTTCGGAAGCATGCTGAGGTTCAGATGATGCCCTTCTCCCTGAGCCCACCTCCACGATCACATTTCTGTCTTGAATATTGTGCCAGCAGTTCTGTCACTGGAAGGCGCCTTAGTAGTGTTGTGATCATTTGCAAATCCACTCTCCATTGGGTTCACTCCTAATTATACCTGCTTGTGTGTGTGTGTCTCTCTCTCACCCGCAACACCTATCCCCAGATGGGTCCCCTCAGCCTGCTGGTGATAGGCATCGTGGCTGTGCACTGCATGGGTATCCTGGTGAAATGCGCTCACCACTTCTGCCGCAGGTGAGCACCCTCTGAGCTGCCAGATTGTCCTTTGGGGTTCTGCTAGCAGCGCTGAAAGAGAGGACTTAGGCAAGTCACTCTAAATTCTCCATGCTGGCTGAAGGTGGCTGCTGATTATTGCAGAACTCCCTTTCCCCGGTTATTTTTGTGTTCTTTTTCAGTTTGTTGTCATCTGTCATATTGACTCGTGTCCAGCGGACAGAGCCCACCTTCTTATTTTATGTGCTTTGTAGTATTTACCCCACTGAAACAGTTCTGCCAGATGGGCGGTAATTATAAGAAAGTAACTGACCTGTTGATTTCACATCTCTGATCCTTGAGAGCATTAAATGCAGGACCCAGTAGTTTCCCCAGGGTGACAGGTGGGGAACTGGCCGAGGTCTCAGTGAGCTACCTTTCTTCTGTCACTTACTGTCGAACCCACTGCACTCTGCCCTTCCTCTCTCCCTCCCCTCCTCCCAGACTGAACAAGCCCTTTGTGGACTATGGGGACACAGTGATGTACGGACTGGAATCCAGCCCCATCTCCTGGCTCCGGAACCATGCGCACTGGGGAAGGTAACCACTTTCCTTCTTCGTTGCAGCTGTGGCCTCGCAGAGCAGAGGCCTTCACACAGGGAGGTGGGGTGCGGCACACGGTGTAAGCGATGGAAAGAGCATCGTTTGGCTAACGGGATTTGGCTCCTAGCTCATCTCTGCCTGCGGTCATCTGGTGACGTTTGCTACATGATCCCTTTCTTCTCTGGTCCTCAGTTCCCTCACTGGTAAATCTGGGTATTCCAGCTTTGGCAGTCAATGACCGACCGGTGATTATTTTTTATTCACTCATTTGTTGAGTAAACATATTTAAGCACTCTTATAAGTCCTGCAGAATAATTCTCGATATAGGGAGGGGGGATTCCCCTGAGGTGAATAGTTTGGTCCTGGCCCTCTAGGGACTTGAAGTCACCTTACAGGAGAAGGGTATGTGGAAGGCTCAAGGACAAGAGGTTGGGAATAGTCTATACCGGTAGAGAAAGTGTCCTGAGCTAGAAGTGTATCCTAGGCGCTCAGACAGGGAGGAGATTTAAGGATGGTTCCCTGTGCCAGATGAGAAGTGCACATGATAGATGCTTTAAGGGCAGGGCACTGGGCAGGGGAAGGAAGGCTTCAAGGAAGAGGTAAGCTGATCTAAAACAAATGGGTTTGTTGGGAAAAGAGACATTTCAACAAGGGGGGAGGAGGGTATTTGGAAATTTATCCTTATGGTAAGTTTCCAGATGCCTGGAGAGAAACATTCTAATTTTTGTTTCCTGTTTAAGGAAATGGTATATTTAGAAGCAGAGAATTGATATTAAGGGCTGAATCCTTTACTTTTTTTTTAAATGGAACTGCATTAAATCTATTTTCTCCATGAAAACTCTTTTTTTGTGGTCATAGGGAGTTTTTTATAGTTTCATACATAGTCAGCTTCCTCCTGGGGTACAGTTTATTTTGTGATTCTTGCAGCAGAATCATTTTCTGTGACCAGGAGAAGCCATAATGCCAAGCGGCCACCCCTGCTTAGTTGGTTGTCTGGTTCGTTGGTTAGTTGTTGATTGATTCTTTCTTTGCTCCCTTCCCTCCTTTCTTCTCTCTCCCCTCCTTTCTCTCTGTTTCTCTCTCTCTCTCTTTCTCTCTTTCTCTCCTTCTCCCCAGCTCCCTCTCTTCTCTCCCCATCCCTCCTCCCTCCTTCCTTATTTCCTCCCTTCCTTTCTTTAATGAAATTGATGTGTGTTCGTGGTAAAAATATATATATATATTTTTGAGCAAGACAGGCATTCATAAAGGAAAAATAAAAGTATATTCTGGTCACACTCGCATGGGTATACTTTTGGCATTTTCTGTATGTATACAAACATACACATGTTCCTAATACTTTTTACACAAATTGACAGTACTCTAGGTACTATTAGGAAGCTGGGTTTTTTTTTTTGTTTGTTTGTTTGTTTGTTTGTTTCTATTAAAGGTCCTGGACCTATCTCTACCAGCACATAGAGATTTAACATATTCTTTTTACCTGCTGTATACTGCTCCATTTAAGAATGGTCTTTCATTTCATCATTTTCCTCTTGATGACCCTCTAGGTTGTTACCCGCTGTCGTTCACTGCCTCTGCCAGCAGTCTGTTTGGGTACCTCTGATTCTGTGTACTTCGGAGAGAGCAGGCTGTTTCTCAGATCCATATTATAGAAAGAGAGCGTAGAGGGTTCCACTTCCTAGGCTTTTATGCTGTTTTCCTTGTAGCTTTGGAACAAACAGTGGAGACAGAATAGGCAGGCCATGGGGAGGGGGAGGCCGAGGGCTGGTCATTGGTCCTGGTGTGTGTGCTCCACTCCAGTCATTCTGATCTCGGGGTCGCCTGACCCCATGCAGCATCCTAGACAAGACGGAAGAAGGGGACCTCAGTCACCGCACACATAGCATCTTCTTCCACCCACCTCCAAAGCTCCAGACTGGTGGCACCTAGCACATTTTCTCCTTCTGTCAGGGCACACACATCCTTGTCACCTGGTGGGAAGGGTCTGTGATGTCCTGGGAGGAAGCACTGTTCAAACACCTCTCTCTCGGGGACTCTTGCTTTTTCATTCTCATGATCTTCATATTCCTTCCTTCCCCGTCTACAGGCACCTGGTGGACTTCTTCCTGATTGTCACGCAGCTGGGATTCTGCTGTGTCTATTTTGTCTTTCTGGCTGACAACTTTAAACAGGTAGGAGAGAGAAAATGGCAAGAGATCAGTGGGTTTTTAGTTTAGGAGTCCTTCTAAGCCAGTTTTGGTCAACAAAAGAATTAAGATTTTAACACATTGTGTAGAACAGCATCCTTTGTTTAATTTCATCTAAAGACCTAGGACACTGAGGAACTTCAAGAAATCTTGTCTGTCTTCCCGTCTTTAGGCAAGATAGGATCAAACCCAGCTCAGACAGTTGGGCTGCTGATGAGCTGCACAGATCTCTGAAGACGGTTCACCAACCACAGACGTCTGTCTGGCCTTGTTTTCCTACTGAGCCTGCAGTTAGGAGCCCTTTTTGGTGGGAGGTCCACTGACCTCTGTCATTTGAGAAGCCTTATCTGTTGCTTTTCTTCCCCTCATTCTAGGTGATAGAAGCAGCCAATGGGACCACCAACAACTGCCACAACAATGAGACTGTGATTCTGACGCCCACCATGGACTCTCGACTCTACATGCTCACCTTCCTGCCCTTCGTGGTGCTGCTGGTTTTTGTCAGGAACCTCCGAGCCCTGTCCATCTTCTCTCTGTTGGCCAACATCACCATGCTGGTTAGCCTGGTCATGATCTACCAGTTCATTGTCCAGGTAAGAGCCCAGGCTCTCCCTCTGCCTATTGTATAGTCAAAGAAGCAAACAAAACCAGTAAGTAGAACATTAATTAGGGATTTGTTACTTACACGTGGTATGTTTAGATTAGGGATTCTCAACTTTGGCACTGTTGACATTTTGGGCCAGACAACCTTTTGTTGTGGGGACTGCCCTGTGCATCGTGAGATGTTTAGCAGCACCCCTGGTCTCTACCCACCAGTTGCTAGTAGCAGCCACCCCCCAGGTTAGGACAGCCAAAAATATCCCCAGACATTGCCAAGTGTGCTGGGGGTGGGGGTGTGTGTGCAAAATCATCCCTATTGAGATCACTGGTTTAGACTTTTTCTCAACTGCATAGTTAATACATGGATCATTGTATAATGGGAAAATAGAAAAATATTAAGATGAAAACAAAAATCAACTTCTCTCATTTTATATTTATTTATTTTTTACACATTTATTTATTTATTTTGAGAGAGAGAGCGCGCGCGCACAAGCAGTGGAGGGGGAGAGGGAGAAGGAGAAAGAGAATCCCAAGAAGGTTCCGTGCTGTCAGCACAGAGCCCAACATGGGGTTTCATCCCACAAACGGTGAGCTCATGACCTGAGCTGAAATCAAGAGTCGTACGCTTAACTGACTGAACTACCCAGGTGCCCCTCTAACTTAATATTTAGATAAAGCAATTTCTTACCACTCCAGTTATATATTTATTTGTCAAAATTATAAATCCAGTTATTGCTCCCCCTTCAGAGCCCATGGGGGCAGATCTGTGGGGCAGTGCAAGAGAAGACATCTGTATGTAGATGGGTAGAAGACCGGGCTGAGAAAAATGTGCCCTCAAACAGTGTGGCTCTTTATGGACGAGACCATGTGTTTTGCCAACACTCCAGAGAAAGAAAAGAATGAAAGCAGGTGAATAAAAGCATAACTTTAAAAAAAGGTATTTAGATTTAATTACTCAAAGAACTCATCAGTGCGTACTCATTAAACTGCAGACAATCCAAGCGTTGAAAACCACATCTCCACCGCGAGTCTCTTTCACACACTCACTGTGTGTGATCGGTCTGTCTCCGTCTAGGTCCTGTGAATGCTTCTGTACGTAACATCGACAGTATCCTGGTTTGAGTTGTGTCTAGTACATAGAGAAATCTAGAAAACAAAAAAATGTTTTGTTTTGTTTTTAACATAATTTTAAAAATTATTCTATGTACTATTCATCTACCTTGTTTTTTTTTTTTCTGGGCCCGTGCCAGCATGGCAGGGAGCTTTCCATGTTGATACATGGGGTTTTACCTCATCCTTTTTAATTGTTACATAGTATCTCAGAGAATAGATGTGCCACAGTTTATTTAACCAGTCCCCAGGCAGTGGACTGTCAGGTCATTTATAAGTTTTTAGAGTTATTTTAGTATTATGGCCGTGAGTTTTCTGAGGCCTTTCTTTTTTTTCTATTTAAAAAAATTTTTTTAACATTTATTTAATTTTGAGAGACAGAGTACGAGCAGGGGTGGAGCAGAGAGGGAGGGAAACAGAATCCAAAGCAGGCTCCAGGCTCTGAGCCGTCAGCACAGAGCCCGATGAACGGCTTGAGCCCACAAATCATGAGATCATACCTGAGCCAAAGTCAGATGTTTAACCAACTGGGCCACCCAGGTACCCCTTTAAGGCCCTTCTGTTTATGGACATGTAGAAATACCCCTCCAAGGAGTATGCACATTTGAATTTTTATTTTGCCAAGTTGCTTTTTCCAAAAGCTATTTCCCAATTTCATATAGGCTCCCTTCCATCGTATGTAAGTAGCCAACACTAGATGTATCAATCTTCTTAATATTGGTTAGTCTGACAGGTGAAGATTAACTCACTTTCATACGGTCTACTTAACAGTGACCCAGCCACTCACTGATATGGTTTCTAGGAAAGCAGCAGATTGTGAAACAGGTCTTCCTCTACTGAGGAAGTGACATAACGAATTTAGATTAACATTGTACTCAGTGAGCATTTACTGTTTTTCTCCTGTGTTAGTCAGATGAGTGGCAGATACTGACTCCTCTTCTGCAGAACTGTTTTTTAAAAACAAAATAAACTGCTGTCCATGGCCCATTTTTATTGGGAATGGAAGGAGGGCCCGTGAACGCATGATTGACCATTTCCAGAGAGTTTCCTTCCCTGCCTCTGGCAAATTAAGTTAAAACAAGGAAGGGTAAATAAATGCATGATTTAACTTTATAATTAGAAATCTGAATCAGGACACACTGCAGTGGACATTAAAGAGAGCGAGGCCACCTCACATAGATGTGCACACACACTGCATTTAGGCTTTTTTTAAAAAAAATACAACTTACTGTCAAATTGGCTTACATATAACACCCAGTGCTCATCCTAACAAGTGCCCTCCTCAGTGCCCATCACCCACGTTCCCCTCTCCCCCATCCCCCATCCACCCTCAGTTTGTTCTCTGTATTTAAGAGTCTCTAATGGTTTGCATCCCTCTCTCTCTCTGTGTTTGTAACTATTTTTCCCCTTCCCTTCCCCTCCCCCATGGTCTTCTGTTAAGTTTCTCAAGATCCACAAATGAGTGAAAACATATGATATCTGTCTTTCTCTGACTTATTTCACTTAACATAGTAGCTTCTAGTTCCATCCACATTGCTGCAAACAGCATGATTTTATTCTTTCTCATTGCCATGTAGTATTCCATTGTATATATAAACCACCACATCTTCTTTATCCATTCATCGGTTGATGGACATTTAGACTCTTTCCATAATTTGGCTATTGTTGAACGTGCTGCTGTAAACATTGGGGTACATGTACCCATAACACTGCGTTTAGTCTTAAATCACTGCGGGTCGTTGGACACAGCGGTGGTTGCCGTGATCTGGTGGCCAGGATGGAAATGTGGGGTTCAACAGCGCCTCCATCCCAGCTGAAGGCAGTGTCCGTATAGAGCGTTGTCTGTGCATAGCACAAACCTGCACTTGCAGATGAAGCAGCCCCGCCCATTTTTGAGAGTGAGTGTGAGCCTGCCTCTGGGCTTAACCAGGAGGTGTGTGTGATCATACGGTGCTCTGCGCACTGGAGCAACATGGGGCGACAGTGGTTTGGCTCTGAGTCGAGCAGCATCTCTTTGATGTACATAGGTTGAGACACTCCCTTCGGGTCATTTTTGTTGTCTTGTCTTGGCATCTTTTCCTGCTGTCCAGTGTTTCTGAACTTTTCCCGGGTCCCGAGCATGCGCGTGACTGATGTGCATGCTCCTCATGCAGACACCATCATGGGAAGCCTACTGAGGACTTCCACCTGTGCAGGCATCCCCATGTCTTCACCACCTGGAATGACAGATGGTGTCAGAGCAGAGGGCCTCCCCCAGAAGGGGCTCCCAGTAAATGTTTTTATCACTGCATTTCCTTCATTCTGAGATGCAGTTTTTTCACAGTTAGAATGTTTCCAGAATTTGAGTACATCTTGCAATCCTTATGTACATTTAATAGCATTTTCTCAAGAAGCTGTTATCACTGAAATTAATAGTGTAGAATTGAGGAGGTCATATGTTGATAATGGGCTGATTTTAATTTGTATGTTTCTTTGCACATTAAACTTTTTCCGTTTATTTTTTTAGAAGTTTGTTTATTTTGAGAGAGAGAGAGAGAGAGAGAATACATGAGCAGAGGAGGGGCAGAGAGAGAGAGAGAATCCCAAGCAAGCTATGCACTGCTAATTCAGAGCCTGATGTGGGGCTTGAACTCACAAACCACGAGACCATGACCTGAGCTGAAATCAGGAGTCAGACACTTAACTGACTGGGCCACCCAGGCACTCCTAAACTTTTCCCATTTAATTGGTTGGGCTCTAAGTCAGTAGCAATTATTAAGTATGTAGAATTATAAATTCCCTCTGCTGGCCTCATTCACACCAGTATCCCCAGACATGTATTCTGAAATTCCCTCTCTGATACTTCAGCCAGATCTGATGTACGAGGCTGGATAATAGTCATCCACTAACCAGCAGATCGCTCCTGTTTCCAGGAAGCTTCCAGAAGTTACACTGTGACTCAGGAGTAATTACAGGGCACTGTAATTTCACTCTTTGTCTCATTGTAGAGCAAAAATATTTATTAGTCTGTCTTCATTCCAGGTGCTAAAATACTTCTTATAAAGAGAGCTAAGCAATTTCTTAGCAGGAGCTCAGGGAAAAAAATGTATTTTTAAAATTATATTTTAGGGTGACTATAGTATAATTGCTTTGAAAACTTTCAAAGAGAAGCCTGTTATAGAGATTAATATTAGATCTCCTTTTGTTCACTGATACTATTCTGTCATACTATTAGAGCATGCCCTGTATTTATCTAAATACCTCTATAGATAAATCAGTTTTAAAACATTATAAAGGCAGTCTAAAAATCAATTCTTATATTTATCTGAGCAGTGTATTCGCCTGGTTTAAAAAGCCACATTCTGAAATGACCTCAGCTTCTGTCCCATGCTGAGTCCGGCTCCTTTGATGCTGAGGGCCTGTGTTTGATGCTGAGGGCCCGTGTTTGGTGGTGAGCCAGCGAGGAATCTATGCCTGTACCTCCTTGCTTGGACATCTTTACGTTGAACCTGCAGTTTAACCAGTGCCGTGGTTTCTGTCTGCCTGTAATAGTAAATGTGTGGGGTTTTGTTTTTTGGGTTTTTTTTTGCCATTTTATCTCTAACGTTCCAATACTCCTATCATGTGTGTATCAATAAAATGTTTCAGGTGTTCAAACTGATTCATAAGAATTAAAACAAAGAAAGAGAAAAGCAGCTTTATCCATGTGGAGTGTTTATGTAGTTGTATCATAGTGAATATGTAAATTTAAAAAGTCAGTTTTCTCACTGTGATTTCATAAGCAGTTTTTCATGTGATCTTAGTTATCTCAATTTTTACTTTTAAAATAGCACATAATCAGGTCACCTGGGTGGCTCAGTTGGTTATGCGTCCAGTTTCAGCTCATGTCATGGTCTCACGGTTCGTGAGTTCAAGTCCCGCATCAGGCTCTGTGCTGACAGTGCAAACCCTGCTTCAGATCCTCTGTCTCGATCTCTCTCTGCCCCTCCCCTGCTCACATACTCTCCCTCTTAAAAAATAAACATTTATATTTTGATTTTTTTTTCCTACTTGGATTCAATTTCTGGGGATGGGATTACCTAATGAAAGAATGTGACTATTTTTTTGCAAGCACCAGCATTTGAAGCTTTTATAGTCTACTGGGATATAGTCTTTCCCAAAGCAAGTAGGGTTTTCTAAGCCTAAAGGGAAAAAAAAGTACAAAGACTAAATGTCCCCAAATCATCCGTCAGGTGTCAGACTTTCTCCTTCTAGAGGATCTTGGATTTAGGAAACAGTCATGACCTGTTTGACATTGAAGTTCAAATCTTGAACCTCTTTATAGCCTTTGCTTCATTTTGTTTTCTCTTTCAGAATATCCCAGACCCCAGCCACCTCCCCTTGGTGGCCCCCTGGAAGACCTACCCTCTGTTCTTTGGCACGGCCATTTTTGCGTTTGAAGGCATTGGGATGGTAAGAATTTCACTGTGATTCTCTGTCACCCCTGGTGTCCCTGAGGTCTTCCCCTCAGTCAGAAGGCTGAGGAAATGCTATAAGAAATTATCTTCTGGAACTTATCAGCCAGCTCATGGACAGCATTTCAGGGATTCCACTAGGGTTTCCCAGCTCCAGCTTTTGGAAATAAATTATATGTGATTTGATAATGTTTGCATTCAAACCCCGTCTGTTGCACATGTATCACCTATGTGGGCAATAAGCAATAATCCCTGGCAATTGGGAATGCAGGCTCTAGAGTCAGACTGACTCGGGGTGAGTCCTGGCTCTGCCAGAGAATAGCTGTGCGACCTTGTGTGAGGACTTACCTTCTTCTCCATTTGCTTCTGAAAAGTGAACTTGATGATTAGTAGTTGTTAGGCTTAAATGAGATGTATATAAAGTACTTGGCTTAGTCCCTGGTACATAGTAAGCATTAAGTAATTTTTATTTTTATTAATAACACTATTGATTTTATTATTTTTTAAATGTTTATTCTTGAGAGAGAGTGAGCTCGCACGTGCATGAGCCGGGGAGGGGCAGAGCGAGAGAGGGACATGGAATCTGAAGCAGGCTCCCGCTGTCAGCAGCGTCCGATGCGGGGCTCGAACCCACAAGCTGTGAGATCATGACCTGAGCCGAAGTTGGACGCATAATTGACTGAGCCACCTGGGTGCCTCTGTTTATTTTATTATTAAATCAGTAGCTGCACAAATAATCCCTCTGCCCTGGAACATTGGTGTGCTGTATTCTAGTGTGTGGAGATAAATAGCCTTAGCTCTCAATGTTCACTTAACTTCCCCTACCATTGCTGTGGTTTCACCCAATTCTTCTCCTAAAGAGAGGAATCTGCCACTCAGTTGCACCTAATTTGATTTTTATTTATATTTTTTCATAATAAAGTTCCAGAATTCTTCCTTGAAGAAAATTATTAACACTGTTGGCCAATAGCTTAGGAAAAGGGAAGAAAACACTTTTCGTTTCATGGAATATCTTTTTATCCCCATTTGATTTCTCTGTCACTTTATACACTTTTAAGAAAACCTAGAAGCTAGATAGATATGTTTTGTGAAAATACTAAGGAGTTGCCCTGGTGGGATTGATGGGATGTGTTAAGGCCCTGACGTCACGGGGGAGGCTTTCTAAGGGATCGGTGTTTAAGTTACCGTCCTGAGGTTTTACACCTTTTCCTTTGCTCTTTCTTGGAGCTTCTCACTGCCCAGGAAGAAGGTCTCACTTGACTCACAAACACAGAGCCCCCTATTGTAGCAGTGAGTAAGAGTCTCAAGTACTTGGGACTGGCGAGAAGAGATTCAGTAAATGCAGAAAGCTGCCCAGAGATCCCGGTTCTTAAGGAGCATTGTATGAAACACCAGTTTTCCCTGACCCCACAGTGCAGAAGTTGTTCTTTGCTTCGTTTCATCAGCCAAGGCTTGGATCTGGAGTCATTCTATGATCATTATTGTCTGTTACTTAAGATTTCTCTGTGTGTTCTATTTTTACAAGGGAGAAAACACTGCTGTTTTGGCTCTTAGTTTGGACTTGAGGGCTGATGAGCATGTGTGGGTGCAGGGCCCCTCCTCACTGTTCACTGTAGTCTCTGTGTCTGTGCCACTGGCCCAGGCCTGGCAGACATGGAGGAGATGGGCGGCCTGCCCTCTGGCTCTCCAGACTCTCCGTAAAAGGTAACTGGAAGAAAGCTTAGAAACAGTTTCTAATTGGATGTGGATCAGTGAAGCTGGAGACCCCCTGCGCTGGTGGGGGAAGGGGTGCGGTGTTGAGGGCTGGTTGGAAGTGCAGGGCTATGGGGCCCTCACAGTGCCATGCCTGCAGCGGGCTCACAGTGTCTGCCGGGGTGTCTGGCACAGACCCACTCTGCCTTGTGACTGCAGGTGTTCAAGGAAACTGCGTGGCATGACAAGACAAAGATGGTTTGTGGGACAGCTCTACGTTGTCCCTTTGCCTCATGAGCCATGCCAGGTGCAGGTGAGAGCAGGTTGTGAAGCTTGTCAGTCACACCTGCTGTTTCCCTGTTTCAGGATGGGCCAGTTTCCATAAAGGGCCTTTGCTTTGCTTTGGAATGTTCTCTGCTGTGAGGGAGGGGGCGGCAAGGTCAGTGGACCAGGAGCCTGGGCTTTGGTGTACATTTTGCACCCCTGAATCTCTGCTATCCTCTAAATTGTGACACCCACGCTCCCTCCATCTCCTCACTTGTCACTGCTGGCACCTGCCCTTTTAAGCTGAGGAAACGGTTTCTGGGAACTAGGGTGGCAGTGTCCCCTGACCTATGTTTTGCATTCTCCGGACAGGTTAGCAGAGCTGTGGTCTCAGGCGAGGTCTGCTCCCTGCCATGCTGGGCGGGCCTGAGGTGTGAGGGCTGCCGGCCGCTAGGCGGCCGCGCTGAGGGGCAGAGAGCACCCCCAGCCCAGGGGGCTCCTGGAGCCGGAGGCAGGGCACTGGCCTGGGCAGGGCCCGGGTTCCCAGGCCTGCCCGCACTGGCCTACCCGCACTTCGTAGGGCTGGCTCTGCGTCTCCTCCAGCTCAGAGGAAATAGCTTGACTTTGTCTCTGTCTCCTGGGGATAAAGCAGTTACTTTTTTCTGAAACCATGACAGTTTTGGTTTTTTACCATTAATGTTGCCTTTTCCTGTGTTTTCTCTTCTTTCTCACTACTCTTCTAGGTTCTACCCCTTGAAAACAAAATGAAGGATCCTCGGAAATTTCCGCTCATCCTGTACGTGGGAATGGCCATCATCACCGCCCTCTACATCAGTCTGGGGTGTCTGGGGTACCTGCAGTTTGGAGCTAACATCCAAGGCAGCATAACCCTCAACCTGCCCAATTGCTGGTATGTGGGGAAGGATGAAGCCTGGGAGCACTGGATGCTATTTTAATTTTTCTAAATGTTTATTTATTTATTTTGAGTGAGAGCGAGTGGGTGGGGGAGAGAGAATCCCAAGCAGGCTTCATGCTGCCAGTGCAGAGCCTGATGTGGGGCTCATTCTCACGAAACGTGAGATCATGACCTGAGCCGAGATCAAGAGTCGGACGCTTAACTGACCGAGCCACCCAGGTGCCCCTGGATTTTGTTTTTTTAATTCATGGGTCAGAATGTGGATTCTCCTCCTTTACCCCTTAAATCAGCTTCACTTTAACCCACCACTCCTACCCCTCCTCACTCCCCCCAGCCCCCGGCCAGCACCATCTCTCCTGGGCTGCCCGCTGAGCCCTTTGATCCATCTGCCTATCCTAGCCTTAATCCTTCTCCAGGTCCCCCGTTCCCTGTATAAGCCAGGACTCCTGTCACTTGTACACTCCCTCGGTGAGATCCCTCAGGGGCTTCCCTTTGCTCCTCTAACAGAGACAAGATCTGTAAGGGGCCTGTCAGGACAGCTCTGGCTCTCGCCCCGCCTGCACCTCATCCCTATTCTGTGAGGAAGACTTAGTCAAGGAGTCACTCTTCCTGAGGAACTTTCTCTGCTGTTCCTCCCACCACAACTTCCAGGCTAGGTCAGATGCCCCTTCACTCTGCTCTTGTAGGATCCCATTCGGGCCCTAGCCTAACTCCTACTCCAAAGCTCTATCATGGTCTGTTTGCCTGCACTGTGCTCTCCCTCTGCTGTAAGCTCTGCCTTTCACCCCAGCACCCGGCACAATGCCCGACACATGATCATCACCCACTGGATGACTTTTGAACAGAAAGGAGGACTAAACGCTGGGACTGTGAGGCATTTTGTGAAGAGACGTTTTTCAGGGAGCAACTAGGGCATAGAGGATATGCGCGGTCTGCCACGTCCATCTCTGTGGCCTCGGACAGGTCACAGCTGCTCACTCACTGCCTCAGCTCCCACTTTGGGGAACCAGGACCAGTCATGTCTTCCAGGACTGTCATGCAGACCAAATGCTATGTGTGGGAAAGTGCTTTGTCACTCTCCCCTGGTGCAATTACAACGCTTGAGCTTTCTTCTTTGTTTGGAGGAGGAATTCCTATAGAGGCGTATGTCAAACGGATTGGTTGATCAGGTGATACGCCATTTCTCCCTAGGAATCTGAGCCTGGAAGGGCCGAGTACCCCATCACTTCACCGTAGGCATTCCAGATAGACAGGGAGAGAAGAGGGCGAATCGGCTAGGTTCCCAGCTTCTGCTGTGCCTCCCCCATGGCATTCCCAGCTTGATGAGTGGGCGGAGCCTCTCACAGTGGACTGGGGGCTGTGGGGAGCCCTTCTGTACCTCACTTTGCTCAACTCTTGGTTACTGTGTTGCAGGGAACACTGAGGCATACTAAAATGCTTCCTAAGAAGGTAGCTGTCACAGGGTGTGTCTGAAACAGCAGTTCAGTTTTGAAGATTAGGATTCCACTGTGGAGGGCAGCTGAGCAGACAATGAGAGCTTGCGGAGTGCCCTGGGGACCAGAAGAACCTTTCAGGCTGGCCTGGGTGCCCTGTCTGTGCATGTTTCTAGAGCTTTGATCGGTGAGGCATTGTGCAAGGGCAGGCTGAGAAAATTGAGAAAGATGTTTATTCAGTCGTGTTGTCAGTGATAGCACAGGGCGCCCTACTCAGCAGGGGTCTGGGGACAAGGCTTGTGGCGTGGCCAGCCACGTGGTGGCCCTGCAATGGGCTGCTGTTTTCAGAAAGTCTTTCCCTTTCACTCTGATGCCTGCTTTCAAATTTCTAAATGTTCCTGCCCTTTCAAGAGCCAGGTGGTAGCTCGGCGCCACTGAGGATGAATGGATCGGGAACAGCAGAGGCAGCCCACATAATCTGAAGCTGTGGATCAGCACCTGTCATCTTTTCCTTTGACACCCCAAGCCCAGCTACTCTCATCTTTCTGCCTCCATTCGGGTGCAATCTATTTAGCCATCCCTGCAGGTGACGGTCCTGCTTCCAGACTTCCCAGCACTCCAGAAGGCTTTGGTGTTGTACTGAGTTTAATTATAGAGGCACCAGCTGATTTTTCCAAAGCGTTTTTATTATCTATTCTCAGAGCAAGTAAGACCTTTTGTCAAACTCAGTCTCTCCTAGGATGTTCTCTTGTTTATAGCATAAGAACATCTCCTAGACATTAACTTCAACCAGAGAGAAACTCAGCACACCATATACACCATGTAATCACCACCTTTAAATAGATTTCCAACAAGGTGGGGGAGGCCAGTGTTTCCTGCTGCTGAAGGCATGAAGGTCTTGCTTGAAGGGGAGCTTTTGCTAAGGGGCAGGGTGGCCTTCCGTTTAATGATCATGTCAGATCCAGGAGTACTTATGGGTCGGGCTTGTTTTCTGCTGTGCACAGTTCTAGGCCCGAGATAAGACAGAGAGCTATCTGTCAGTGAGTTAATGGTCTCCCTGAGGAGCCACACCGTGAAGCAGTGGTAGAAAGGTGGCCGCAGTGGTGCGGAAAGATGAGTTTTGCTCCTGCTCCTTGGTCATGTGGTCACCGTCTGATTCTAGGGAACGGTGAATTGGAGGGGAAGGATAGAAAAAGGCCTGTTACATTTTAATTGCATTTTTAATTACTGTAATTTTTTTTATTTTTTTATATTTTGAGAGTCAGAGAGAGACAGTGCGAGCAGGGAAGGGTCAGAGAGAGAGAGATACAGAATCTGAAGACAGGCTCCAGGCTCTGAGCTAGCTGTCAGCACAGAGCCTGACGCGGGGCTCAAACCCACAAACCGCCAGATCATGACCTGAGCTGAAGTCAGATGCTTAACTGACTGAGCCACCCAGGCACCCCCATTTTTAATTGTTTTAATTTTTGAAAGGATATACGTCCATGGTAAAGATTCCAGATGTTGAAAGTGTATGTAGAATATGTTTGTTTCCATTTGCCTCCCAAGTCCCCCCGTTTTACAGTTTACCATTTCAGAGACAACCACGTTTACCAATTTCTTGTGTTTCCTTTTGGAGATGTTTAGAGTATGTAAGAATATCATATGCATGTGTGTGTGCGAGGGGGCATGTTTCTTCCTTCTTTTGGACAATTTGTAGCACACCGTAGACACTGTCCTGCTTCACGCATTTCTCAGTGCATCCTGGCGCTGGTTCCATTTCAGCACCTATAAGTTCTCGCTCATACCGTTTCACAGCTCTATGGGATGCCATGATTTAAATAGTTTTCCACTGGCTAACATTTAAACTGTTTTCGGTTGGGGCGCCTGAGTGGCTTAGTCGGTTGAGCGTCCGACTTTCGCTTGGGTCATGATCTCGCGGTTCGTGGGTTCGAGCCCCGCGTCTGGCTCTGTGCTGACTGCCAGCTCGGAGCCTGGAGCCAATTTCAGAGTCTGTGTCTCCCTCTCTCTCTCTGACCCTCCCCTGCTCACGCTGTCTCTCTCTCTCTCTCTCCCTCCTAGAAATGAATAAAAAAATATTAAAAAAAAAAAAACTGTTTTCGGTCTTCCATAATTAAATAACGCTGCAGTGACATACTTTGAATGAAAAATGTTACGCACGTGTGCAAGCATATCTGCAGGGTAAATGCCTAGATGTGAAATTGCTGGGTCTGAAGGACACGTGCGTTTGTGACGTGGATAGACCTGGCCATGGTGAGACCATCTTGCCCCCTCACTGCTCGTGCTGTGGCATAAAGCAGGCTTTTGAAAGTGTCCCGGCTCTTTCTCTGCAGGCTGTACCAGTCGGTCAAGCTGCTCTACTCCATCGGCATCTTCTTCACCTACGCCCTCCAGTTCTACGTCCCGGCCGAGATCATCATCCCCTTCTTTGTGTCCCGCGTGCCTGAGCATTGCGAGCTGGTGGTAGACCTGTTCGTCCGCACTGTGCTGGTCTGTCTGACGTGTGAGTAGAAGACAAGATAATTGCTTTGTTTATTTTTCCCCCAAAGGACACCCAATCCTCAGAGCTTTCTTGAGAGAGAGCCTATTATACTGAAACAGTTGTCATGTGTGAGCAGGGAACTTGACTTGAGTCTCAGGTGCATAGTTGAGGCCGAGCCAGATGGTGAGGTGAATTGATTGTATATGTACTCGAAAGGACGTGGGAATGAGGACAGAAATGTATTTGTAGATATGGCTAAAGTGCTACAGTGATGGTCGTAATTCAGAGTAAATATGTAGAATTACTGTCCCGTGTCCTTGGGATAAAATAAGGTAAAAGTCTAAAAGAGAGCCATTTAAGCAATATGCATATGAGTATAGGTTATTTTGATAGCCACTACATGTTTATTTGTGTTTTCAAATAATCCTTTTCCAGTGTGACAGTCCATTGCTTGGATTTCATTTTGAGCCTTTATGATACTATTTTAGACATTTACTAAGTATGTTTCTTAGAAAATTTATATTGATTAATCTAGGTGTTTGATTTTTCACGTTGTGTTTTATTTCTCTTCCCTGACCACACACCCTGGAGTGTGGGTTAAGAGACAAGGTATTACTCTATTTGCTATTGGTTGAAACTGGTATAAATTTTAAAATAGAAAAAAATTTTCCTTTTTCTTTTTTGGCAGCTTCTGTTAGTTGGTAGAATAGAGAACCTCTGAATAAATTGGTCTATAATATCTAATTTAAGTTTCTAGGAGATTTGCAACTTCTTTCCCGATCAAAGTACTTGAATCTAGATTTGACTTTTTGGCTATGTTGGACTTTTTATTTTATTTTTAAAAATCATATTATTTTGGGAAAATAAATGTCTTGGTTAATTATACTGAGACTTCCCTGGGAACTTCTTAAATTATCCAACCCAAGCCCCTCTGTTTGGAATAAAAATAGGTCCGTATGATTTTTAAATTGAATCAGAATGGAGTGTTTGAGGGACAAATGATGTGAAAGTTGTCTAGCATTTGTTCATAGTGTAGAAGATCAGAAATGACGTTATGGGTCGACTGTTGGCAAGAAAAGGTCAGGAGAGGTTAGATTTGGAGGATAGACTAGTGCCTATTCCAGAATGGACCTCTTTAAGGGAACAGACTACTTCCCATCCCAGAACGGTCTCCTCAATAGAGCTGATAGTGCTGATCTCAAAATGGACTTGCTCGAGGAAACATTCTGTTATATATTCCTGAATAAACTTTCTCAAAAGAGCAGCCTAGTGCTTATTCCAGAATGGGCTTCTTCAAGTGGCAGCCTAGTGCCTGTCCTAGAAAAGACCTCTTTAAGGTAAGTGCCAACCCCAGACTGGTCTTCTCAAAAGAACTGACATTGCTTACCGCAGAATGGGCCTCCTAAGGAATAGGCCAGTACCTGTCCTAGAATGGTCCTTCTGCAAAAGGTAGACTAGTGCCTATCCCAGAATGGACCTTTCAAGGGAACAGCTTGGTGCGTGTCTCAGAAGGGCCTCTTCAAGGAAATAGACTGGTAGCTCTACCAGCTAGGACTTCCTCAAGAGAACTGAATGGCACCTATCCCAGACTCATCTGCTCAAGGAATAGACTGGCGCCTGTCCTACAAGGTCTCTTCAAAGAGCAGGCAAGTGCCTATCCCAGAATGAACTCTTTACTTAAGGGAACGGCCTCATGCCTGTCCCAGAACAGATTTCTTCAAGCCACCTGCAGTTCTCTTTCTCATTTTATTTTAAGGTTGTGGGTGAATCTCAATGTCCTGGAACTTTCTATGGAAGGAAGTCACTAGAGCTGAGGAACCAAACCTTCTGACTTAATGTTGGGCATATTCTGTCTGAGGATTTATTGAAGGATGGGGCTGGGGTGGAGCCAGGCAACAAGTGGACTGCTTGCATTTGCTAACCCTAGCAAGCTGATGGCAACCAAAAATCTGACTTCTCCTTATAGCCTTTGTTTGGCAAACCTTCTGGCCTTCTGTAGTTCAGCCTATAGAAAAAGCCCACTCAGCAGTTAATTCAGTGCCCAGAGCTACCTTACAGGCCACTGCTGCCCCAGAACAACCGAAAAGGAAACAATTGTAATATATCTTTGCTTTTCCAGTGATTTGCCTTAATATATGCTAAGGTACTCTGGATTTTATTCCTATTTCTGCCTGCAACTCTCAGTGCTTTAGCACAGATACATGTGTTCCTCTGTGGCTGGTGACCTGTAAGTATTGAAGGAGATAGCTTTCATGTGTACAGTGTTTAGAATGTTAACTCTTCAGTGCTCTGACTCTGGAATCCAAAGGGTGCTAGAAGAAAGGATGGGGGTGGTGCAGATAGTTGGCTTTTTTCAAAGTGGTTCTTCTAGAAAAGGTAGGTCTGTCTAGGTGAAATGTGCTCTAACTGCCTAGACACCAAGTTCTCCTTGCCCGGAGAGCTGGGACAGTGATGCTGGGCCTGATTCCTCTCCTGACCGCATTTTCTTCTCCAACCTGGCTGAGGCCTCCGGTAGCATATGTCTTGCTTCCTGTCAGGTTTCTTTCCACTGCGCCATGCAGGAGCCAGGAGTCTCTGATTCATAGACTTCATGCTATCCTTAGATGTCTCCTGGTTTTTGCTTCGCTTTTCCCGACTCTGTGGGTCTCATCATCTCCCTTCTACAGCGTGATGCTCAAAGGACTCAAGCTGCTTTTGATCTTCAAGTGCATTCAGTTATTTCCCCTTCTGTGATCTATTGTGACTTAGCATTGCATCGTCAGCCCATTAAATGTTGCAACCTCTTCATCTCTGAGCACTCAGGCTTCTTTTCCCTTCCCCGGAGACTGTGAAGTGATTGTGGGATTCAGGAGAGGCATTTCACTGTAGCACCAGCTTAAGTGTATTATGTGAGTTTATTTTGCTTTTGTTTTTTTCTGTACTTTCAGATCTTTGCTGCAAAAGGTTAATTGGCATATGATTTTAGAACTTTGCTGGAACTGATTGTTTTCTATTATACCCACACATTTTAATAGCAGCTTGTTTGTTTTTTTTTTTTTTTGTTTTTTTTTTTTTGCTATGTATGGTATTTTCTTGTCTTTTTTCCCAACTTTTCTTCCTCTTCCCCACCCTCCACCCACCAAGGGAAGCAGGGGAATTTGGTCCAGACTCATTTTTTCTTTTTTCCATTTGGAATTCACCTTTCTCACTATTCTCCCCTGTTTCACAAAGACGTCTACGTCTATTTTTTGGTGTTTAATTTCAGACTATTGGACAGGAGGGAAAGGGGAAATACGTGCATCAGAGAATGGTGCTCATTTTGTTGTGATTTCATATGAAACTATTTCTTTCCTGCCCATACGTTAGAACTGCAGACTTCGCAGGTTACCTATGTGCATGGAGGAGAGGCTGGAAGAGGCCAGTGCCAGAGGGAGTTCAGAAGCGTAGAAAGAGTGGTTTCTTTGGGTTCCACGAGGCATTAACCTGTCCTTCAGTGCTTTGTACTAATTCTCTGTGGCATTTGCCACGTGAAACATCTTACTTCAGTTACGTATGAAAATTTCAGAAACCTATTGTTGAAGATGTAATAACATAAAACCGTATCAGTTAAAATGGCTGTTTGGACTGGAATGCATAGCTGTAGAACATTCCAAGCAGCCAGACCCTATCAAGCGTGAAGCTTCCAGGGCCAAACAGAGTGGCTTCTCAGCACCTTTTGCTCTCTCACATTTCTCCGTCTTGCAGCTACAGTGACAAAGGGCAGCAGTGTTAATTCGCTGTGCACTGTGGGTCCCTGGGAACCCTCCCAAAGCCTCAGTTTCCTCAGCTATGAGATGTGCAAGGTATCAGATTGCTATGGTTTCTTTCCAGTCTAAACATCTGTGATTCGGCACAGGTGCTTTGAGCCTGATTTTAAATCCCTACCAAAATATTGCTTGGAAAAAGAAAGTTAATGTAGAAGCATTTCAAGAATGTGTAAATCTGGGGTTATTCAAGAAGAAATTCCAGGGGTGTCTGGGTGACTCAGTCAGTTTAGCATCCAACTTCGGCTCAGGACATGATCTCACAGTTTGTGAGTTTAGGCCATGTGTCAGACTCTGTGCTGACAGCTCAGAGCCTGGAGCCTGCTTCAGATTCTGTCTCTCTCTCTCTCTCTCTCTCTGTCTCTCTTTGTCTCTCTCTCTCTCAAAAATAAATAAACATTTTTAAAAATTTTTAAAAAGAAGAAATTCCAAATATCCTGCTGACTTAACAAAATGATTTTTTTTTTTTTTTTTTTGCATTTTATCTTCTGTGTGAATCCTCTTGGGCACACTTTAAAAATAGTTGCAGGGGCACCTGGGTGACTCAGTCAGTTAAGTGTTTGACTTCAGCTCAGGTCATGATCTCACAGTTTGTGGCTTCGAGCTCTGCATCAGGCTCTGTGCTGACAGCTCAGAAGCCTGAGGCCTGCTTCAGATTCTGTGTCTGCCTCTCTCTCTGCCCCTCCCCTGCTTGTGCGCACTCTCTCTCTCTCCCTCTCTCTCTCAAAAATAAATAAACGTTAAAAAATTTTTTTTAAATAGTTGCAGTCGTAGTATACACAGAACTTTGTCTTTTGCTTTTTATTTGATATTATGTCATGAATATGCATACCCTTCATAAATATCTTCATGACCATATAATATTCCATTATATTAGTGGATCATATTTACTAAACTACTCCTTTGGTATTGGACATATAACTTGTTTTCTTTGCTTTTGTATTTTTTTAATTTATACTTCCACTAAATGAAATGACATATTCTGTCCAAGACTGTTACGAATTTTAAAGTACATTTGTAGACGTTGAGAGTAACACAGATGGACTGCACCAGCATTGATCACAGTGAAACACCAGGAAGGGCTTCCAGACATAGGGCTGTAGGTGTCCAGCATATTTCTGTAAGTGTGTGTTCTCTTAAGTACTTTCTCTTCTCTTGTGCATAAGTCAGGCCTTTCAGTTGCTGGTCTTAAACCACAGGCTCCAGAATACCAATCAGTTCCATCTCTGAACATGGGTCATTTGCCCCCCTGGTGCTTCAGCAGTCAGAAGGTCATATTATTAGTATCTCTTACCCCAAAGGGAAGATGTTTTGTAATACCGTTGGAGCCCTGTTGACTAATCATGTGGGCTAGCCGAGTTGTCCTTAAGTCCTCAGTCCTCCATTTCTGCACATGCCACAGGCAAGCTGCTGCCGAGGGCTCTGACCTGCTGGTGGGGAGTGTGCTGTGGGAGTGTTCCTCTTTGTATGGGGTGTCTTTGGTGGGGGGAGGTAGAGAGTTCCTGGTTGGCTGCTTCCTGATATCTCTACTGTCTTGAGCTTCTCTTTCTAGAGGGCTTTTTTTTTTTAATTTTTTAAAAAATGTTTTATTTTTTTCTAGGAGAGAGAGAGAGAGACAGCGTGAGCAGGGGAAGGTCAGAGAGAGAGGGAGTCACAGACTCTGAAACAGGCTCCAGGCTCTGAGCTGGCTGTCAGCACAGAGCCCGACGCGGGGCTCGAACCCACGAACCGCGAGATCATGACCTAAGCGAAAGTCGGACGCTTAACTGACTAAGCCACCCAGGCGCCCCTAGAGGGCTTTGACTCAGAGTAAAGACATTCAGTGCTAGAAGAGGTTTTCGTTGCTCCTACATCTTTCCCAAGTACATGATTCCCATGTCTGGAATGAGCTAAAACTAGTGGGCCACATTTTGTGTGATGGCAAAACAGGTACCCCTGGTGTTGAGCCCTTGGGACTATTTATGCTAATTTGGTTGAGGCCTTTTGTATCCCTCTTCCCCAGCATTATTAGTGGGAGGCTTAGTCTTCCTGTCTTCTCCCCACCTCAGTATCTTCTCCAATGTCAGGCTTTCTTTGGGGTTCACTTGGGGTATCTGGTCCAGCCAGGACAGGAAGAGGTCCATCCTTTTGCAGCCCTGTGATCCTGGCTTTAAGAGAAGAGATAAGTTTTGCTGCTTTAGAAAATCTCTATTAAAGATGTATTTGTTAAGTGTGCTTATCGTGTACATCCGTTGTAGTGAAAACAAGGGCAAGTTTTTAGACTGCTTTTAAAACGTCATGATGAAGTGGAACATCTCTGTCTAATCTGAGAAAAGATTCTAATCGCATGGACTTGTGTTGCTGTTTCCACTTAATGCTTATCATAGAGTAGAGCACATCTGACCCCACTTAAGTCATATCATGAAATACCATATGTCCTCCAGGTTAATGTGACAGAGGGAAAGGGGATGGCAGACCAGACTCAGAGCCGGGAGGGCCTGGGCAGGTCATCTGACTTCTTTCTCCCTCGGGCATCTTGTCTCTGATGGACACTCTTCTCTTGAGTGGGCCAGAGCATTCATGGAGGTGAGGGGCTGGTACCAGAAAAATAACTCACACTCTTTAACGGCACAAAACCAGGCAGGCTGGAAGCCATGTGTAGGGCATAGCCATGCATGTTCTAGGAGAGGAGTCCTATTGCTCATGTGCCACAGCTGAGCGGGACATGGTGTTTCGCAGTTGACATGAAGGACGTATCCCACAACAAACTCCTAAGTGACTAAACCTGCTTTGTACAGTTCCTTAAAACTTTGGAGGCAGGTGGGACTTCAGTCCTCATCCAGTGTTCGTATAGTCACCTAGCCTCGTGGGTGAATGAACTGAGGCTCCAAATGGTGAACCCGTTGGCACTGGGACCAGTGATTGCATTAACTCACATTTCATTTATTGTACACTTAAGTTCTAAGTGCTCTGAGCTCTTTATGTGAATGGTCTCATGTGACCATCTCTATTTAGTGGTAGGTTAAGTATCTGGCTGGTTAGTGGTGGAGCTGGGATTGGAGCCCAGGTTCTGAGTCCGGAGCCTACACTCTCAGCCACGTTCCTGTACCAGCCTCTCCCAGGGCTCAATTCTAATTGCTGTCTCAGTGCTCCTGCCCCCACCCCCCACTCACCCGCATTGGAACCATGGGAGCCGACACTGTGAGGCTGACATTATGCAGATGTAGGCCCAGACCCCAGAGAGGGGAAGTGTTTTCCCAGGCCACACAGCAGATCAACTCTTGTTGAGTGTTAGGTTGTCCATAATGAGTCTGCCATTTTGTCATCAGTTTACAATTTAGTTTTAACCTTCCTCCAGATTCAACCCTGAAGATTTGAGGGATATCGCCAGCTCTGTATAGAAATAGCTAAGGGCTGAAACACACTGTTTTTAACTTGCAATGCAAGTTAAAAGCCTACACTTTTTATGGGCTTTCTGAAGGCTTCAGAACAGTGAGGGTGTTGATGGATGATTGCCATGATGGTTGAACACTAGAATACGGAAAGAGGAAGGGATTGCCCCAGGGCTATAAAACCATGGCAGAAGCAGATCTGAGACCCAGTATTCTTGTCCCTCCTTTTGTTATCAGGCTTCAAAACACTTGTCTTCCATCCTTTACAGAGCAGAGAGAGGTCAGGGCTGACTGTATACCGGTTCTCTGCTAAGGATTGCAGTGCGTCCCTGGGAAAGTTAACCCGGCATCTGACTCCTACAGTTCTTCACAGACAGGCTCCTCATGCTGATTAGCCAGCTCCCCTGTTCCCCCTCCTGCAGTGTCGTTCTGCATGTTCTTAATCGTCCGGTGTGTGACGTGACTGTACCAGGTGCTTGAGGTCCTGGATTCTGGTCTCAGCTCTGTTCCTTCCTATTACTTAATCTCTCTGGGAACAGTAACCATGTTGTGAAGTTATATCCCTATGCACCCAAGGCAGATTCAGCCAACGTGTGGCTGCTTCTCAGTGCTGTCTGTCAGACACTAGATGTTCCGCCATGAGGGCAGTGCTCTGGGTCTGTGCTGTCCAGGATGGTAGCCATTAGGCACAGGTGGCTACCTGGCCACTGTGAATGAGGAACTGAATTCATTTAAGTTAACACAGCTTCAGAGTAAGTGTGAGACAGGAGAGGTGAACCTGTCCCTCCCCCGGGAAGCCTCCGTCCCACATAGGCTTCCCTCTTACTACAGGGAGTGCTATTCCAGTTTAAAAGCAAGTGCTTCTCATAAAACTTGGCTTCTGAAACCAGTCCGTTTGTCTGTAGCTCAGCCAAAGAAACAGTGATCGATGCAGACAGTCCACTTGAGGAGTAAAATTGATCTGCGGGTAAAACTGGGTGCATTGGACTCAGGTGCTCTGACTGGCAGTCTCCCCACTGCAATGCCTTCCTCAGAATGACTTGGCTACGCTGCTTTATGAAATGAAATGGGAGCGGAACCCCCCATGTAAGATGTGACTCATAGGAGCCCGTTAGGTCAGGGATGTGCTCTGGATCACAGTCTCCATGCTGAGGACCTCCAGGTGGAGTCTGCGGGGGGAAGGCAGTTTGTCAAAACCCATTTGGTTACTAATGAGTCAGTAATTCAATTGCACGGGCAGCAGTATGCCTCCTAGAATGATGATACGAACTGTATTGTGAGCCTGTTGTACACCAAGCCTGTTAGGAAGTGCCTCTGGACCTCATTTGACCATCACGAGATCTCTGTGACATAGGAGCCATCTGTATCCTCATTTGCCAACAAGAAAACTGGGGAATACAAAGGAGCCGTAATGTCCCCCGCTGTCACTAATTCCAGAGCCCGCAGTCCTCGGAAAACTGGTGAAGCAGTGGCCTTCACTCCTCTCCCCCAGGGGAAGCACGGTCACTGAGGCTTCCTCCCCTTGGCTTGACAGTGGGGCGTCATGGCTGCCGTGTGGAAGCTGACGGGGTTCCCTAACGCGGCCTACCATGCGTCCCTCCTCACTTCTGCCTCCTCCACTTACGCCTGGGGCTGAGGTTAGGTGTGGAGGCCACTAGCTGTTCCTGGCACGGGTGTGTAGCCATCGTGTGGGGCCTTGCTTCTCGGGCCAGCCTGCACGCTGAGCTGCCTCTACTCTCCCTGTAGGAAAACGCTCTGTGAAATGGGGTTTGTTCTCATAGCATTCCCGAAGGATGGCTCTCCCCTCCCCATTTTGTTTCTTGTCAGTTAAGTAGAGATGTTCATGTTGGAGGTACCCTCGGTGGAAGAAAACGATCAGTGGCACAGAAACAGTCCACCTCCCTTTCTGCCCCAGGCCCTCTCCTCTGGTAGGGACCAGACTGCCTGGGAATGTAATTTGGTCCCTTTGCTTCAGAAAGATGGAGGTCATGTGCTGCAGCTGGAAAAACTGGAAGCCGGGAGATCTGGGCTCCAGTCCCAGCCTTGCAGTGAGACCCAGGCCATTCTGCAGCTGGGGCCATTTGTTTTCTCACCCGTGCACAGAGAGACCGGACGGGGCAGTGTCTAAGTTTCTGCAGAGCTGTCCGTTCTAGGAGGAGGACACGGGCTGAATTCACTCAGCAGTGAGGAGGTCTCTCCCAGCTCTGGGCAGTCCTGAGCAGGCATGTCATCTCTCTCCCGCAGGCGTCTTGGCCATCCTCATCCCCCGCCTGGACCTGGTCATCTCCCTGGTGGGCTCCGTGAGCAGCAGTGCCCTGGCCCTCATCATCCCACCCCTCCTGGAGATCACCACCTACTACTCGGAGGGCATGAGCCCCCTCACCATCGCCAAGGACGCCCTGATCAGCATCCTGGGCCTCGTGGGCTTTGTGGTGGGGACGTATGAGGCACTCTACGAGCTGATCCAGCCAAGCAGTGCTCCTATCTTCATCAACGCCACCAGTGCCTTTGTATAGCGCTCTGCCCGCCCTGCCCCTGTGTGTTCCCCAGCCTCTGGCCCCAGAGCCTCAGCTAGGCTCTGGGCTCTGGGGAAAGGTGAAGCTGCTTTAGGGGAGCCCCTCTACCCGGCAGCTGGGTACCCTGGGCCAGGTAGGGCTGCGGGCACGGGAGAGAGTGGGAGCAGATATGCAGAGGTTCCTCTTGGTGGCAGTGCCATCCCCATTCATTTGTACTCACGTTAACCCAGAACTTTAAACTCTTTTCCCTCATCCTGTCTCCTCCCTTATCTGCCTCCCCCCTTCTGACCCACCTCACCCAATTATTCCTGTTGCACAGCTCACTTTATTTAAAAATCTTAGCACCCCCCACCTCGTGTTTTCTCCTTCCCAGGCCCAGGCCTGGATTAAATGAGTGGGAAGGCTGGGCCTATCTCTATCTCATACCTCGCCCAGATATTTTACCTCAGTTTCCTCCTTCCTGTTCAAATCTTCAGGAGGTGTCTGGACCTGCCTAGTAGTTAAAAACCAGCCCCAAAGCTGGAGCTTTTAATCTTGACTCTCTCTGGCCATGACCCTTGGCAACACCTTCTCCGAATTCCTCGTGTGGGTCACAGTGTTGTATTCTTAGATGCTATAGCTTCTGAAAGATATCAAGTGCTGCCTAAATTGAAAATATTTATATTTTATTTAAAATTAGCTTCTGTTTTTAGATTCCGTCTCTAGATCTGGGGTTATTGTGGTTGTTCCTTCCTCAGTAAACTTTTACTAGGCTTCTCCCACTGAAAAGAACCTTGCTCCAGGAAATGTATGCGTAGGTCCTCAGCCCCCTTGGCTGAATTCCCCAGAGGTTTAAGTCGGGATCATTTTCATGTGTACCTCTGTGGGGAGGCATGGACTTTGCTTCCCACTGACCAGCCTGATTTCACATTGAGACGATATGCAGGACTCGGGACGTGTTTGCCAGTGCACCAGGCCGGGAAAGGATGGCCGAGTGGGGTGTGCTTCTGCCCTCGCGCGGGAGGCTTATAAAACAGTCGGTGCGCACATTCAGGCCTGTTTCTCAGCCTCAGCCCCCGATGGGCACATGGTGTGCTAGCGTTCAGTTGCCAGCATGTCGGGAAGACACCTGCACTTCGCCATGGCCGTGGATGAGAAGACGAGGTCCGTGCGCAGAGTGTGAAATTCAGTTCACGGCAGGAAGAAGCAATTGGTCTGACACTGCGCGTGGTGCTTGGCCGTTTACAATCAACGGGGGATGGGCCAGACGCAGCGCCCCGCTCCGAGCCACCTCCGTGACCTGGACTTCTAAAGGGAACCACTTGGCAGGGACTTAGGTCCCCTGTGTTTTAAACACTAATTGTGACCCTGTCCCTCCCCTTGCATGCCTTCCTGAGTGTCATAGACAGCCTCGGGGTTGGCTCAGCTCAAGGCCAGCCTTCAGGTCTGGGAACAGACTGTAGAGAAAGCAGAGAAGGGTGCGTGGCCTTGCTTTTGGCTGCCTTTTCTCCCTCTCTCAGTGTGGGAAGTATTTCAGAAGGGCATTCATTAAGGCTCCATCCCTTGAGCTGTGTGTGTGTGTGTGTGTGTGTGTGTGTGTGTTCATGCATGTGCAATAGTGTCCTGCTGTCCTCCACTCCTGTCACCAGGCCATTGCTCACCTGGAGACACAGTTCGCCCTGAACGTCAGGGGGCAGCACACCTTCATCAGGGTCCTGTTTGTGTGTGTTTGTTTCCCCAAAGCTCATAAGGGCTCTGCCCACACCCCCCAGCTCCCCCTGCCACAACTCCCCTCCCCAGCCTTGGCTTTTTCTTTCTTTCTGTTCCAAAGCCAAATTCTCATTGTAGTGACTTCCAGCCTATTAACTTAGGGAGATGGGATGTGTGGTGACTTGGTCTCCCTTAGGAGAATGACACTTTTCACCCACCCTTCCTGTGGTCGCCAGTAGGACCCAGATTCTAGCTGGCGGGAGCAGCAGACTGCCCTGTGAAGCCTCAGGCATAGAAGGTACTGCAGGGGGTTCAAGGGTGTTTGCAAGCCCTGGGCTCCAGCCGTCTTCCCACAGTGGTGCCGAGAGTTGTTTTCAGTGATAAAGCACAGGCCAGTAAAAGGGATTCGGATGTGTGTCCCGCCCACAGCCTCTGTGCTGGAGGCTTCTATAGCTCAGGACACTGCAGGAGGCCATCCTGTCCAGGTGGGTAGCCAGACTTGAGCTGAAGACTGGGTGGCACAAAACTGCGGTCCTCTTGTTCCAGTCTTAGCAAACTGCAGACTACTGTTTCAGGGTCCCCAGCCTAGAAAATGCATTTAGGAGAGATGGCACCACTAGCTTCGGGGCTTCTGGAAGCTAATTTAGCACAATCTTGTCCCCATTTGCTCTTTTTCCCGTACTCCTGCTGCTTCGGAAGAGCCGAGCAAGGTGAGTCCTATCCGTGGACCTTTCTGGTTGCGTGGTGGTCAGATAGACGGTCAGCCGGAAGACGGAAGTGGGAGGAGGCAGCCCTCAGTGCCAGCTTGGGCAGCTTGCTCTTCTGCCCGCGAGGCCTCTTCAGTCGGGGGGGCCTTCCCTGGTTGCTTCCCATTGCTCATTAGGCACCACCTGCCCAGCGTCTCCCTGTGCCCTGCTCTGGCCCCTGCTGGAAGCAGAGGTCTGATTAGGAGCAACAAGGCTCTTGAGTGTGAGGCTGCATCTGCTGGGCCAAAGGCAAATGATTTTCAGGCCTGATAGCGTTAGGCTCTGTGTCCCTCTGCCAGCCACCCCAGTGCGGCCTCGGATTTCCAGGAGCGCAGAAGTAGCTTCTGAGAGCCCCTCTTCCCTTCTGCAGATGCTGCTGTTGGGAGGCCTCCAACTCTCTGTTGGCAATGTACCTACCCTCAAATCGCTGGGAAGAGCGTGATCTGTCACCTTGTCTTTAGTTTTCTAGAAGTTGTCACCATTCACAAGTATCATTATTTGTGCTGCTGTCTGACTGCTAGGAGCCCTTCGTCTGTACAAATCCGGGCCAAATGTATGTGAATGTGTGGCGTATCTGAGCTCAGAGCCTGCAGCTTACGCCCTCCCTCTCTGCCACTCACCTCTCCAGCCGGACTCATTGGCTGGTGCTCACTATCTACTCTACCCCTATGAAAGGTACAGTCTGCAGGTTTTCCTCTTGTCTTCAAGTGATGATCCCAGAAAGGAACATTAGGAGATCTTTCCTCTGCCCCTGTTACTTTTTCCTTCTCAAACATCTCCTTTCCTGAATCGTAGAATATCATCATCTCCGTGTAACACTACATATTCACCTCATGTTTTTTGGAAGTGCAAAATCTCAATTTATGTCTGTTTACAGCTCTCTCTATTCACTGCTCACAGCGAAGGGGTCTATATCAGTGGCTTATATTTCGTAGCTGATCAGATGTTAAGGCGTGCCCCAGCTGCGGCCCCGGTCAGAACCCGACGCCACTTCCTGGCAGCAGAGACACACAAGTGGCGTGACCTCGTGATTAGGGAGCCGGCTCCAAGTCTGCCTTAGAATTAAATTTCCCAAAGTATATTACAAATCTCCAAGACCATTAGGGGAAAAGGAGAGGGTGTGGTCTGTCTTTGAGATCATGGTCAATACTTTTAGACAATTTAATTAGTCCTGCTGGTTGCAAGGCTGTTTGCTCCGACAGCACCAGCTTGTGATATTTCTTCCCTGTTCTTTGTACCACCAGGTCATTCTCTGGCCAGGGCGTGTAAGTGGTGCTGTGATGTGGTTACTGGAATGGGGAGTGGGGGCAGGGAAATGAGGGTCAAGGGTGCCTGTTATAAGCCTCATTCTTTTGTTTGAATCAAGGTGATGCTGGGGAAGCTGTTTTGTTTTGGTGAACAATAAAATTATGTGACTCTATTGTAAACCATGTCACTGAATGTGTCAATAAGACGAATATGAAACACTGCCATCCAGCAGGTCTTAGTAACCAGATGGTACCGTGTATATGATACTATGTACGCACCTACATGGATGTCCGTTTCTCGCATGGTATGTGTTGAGAGGTAGATCATGCAGGAGCTCATAGAAGAATTTGTTTCAGGTTCTGCACTTGGATCATGTGTTAAACTTTTCCTTTATCAATAAATGAATTTTATTTTTTATTTTTGAGTCGTTGCGGTCTGCATCTTTGTTTTTGCCTTTTTTTTTTTTTTTTTCGTAATGTCACTCAGACCTCTTTACTACATCTTACTAGGTTGAAATGTTTGTAGTTGATGTCACAGAGTTTATCCAGGGGAGTAGTGCAAACAGTGGGACCACCTGTGGAAATGAGCATTCCCAAGAAAGGGGCCAGGTAGGTAATTTTCTGTCAGACAGTCCTGCCCTTCCTTAGCCTGCTCCTGCTTTAATTAAAGACTTGACTAGGAACTCTCAGCCCTCTCTGTGTATATCAGACGACTGTACTTGACCGGTATAATGGTTAGTTTCATGTGGTAACATGGCTGGGCTATAGTGTTGAGTAACCCAGTTATTCAATCGAACACTAACCTAACTGTTGCTCTGAAGCTATTTTGTAGTTGTGGGGTGGATGTCGATAATCAGTTGCCTTTAAATAAAAGTTTATCCTCAAATTGTGGGTGGGCCTCATCCAATCAGTTGAAGGGCCTTAAGAGGAAAGCTGAGGTTTCAGTGAGGAAGAAGAAATTTTCCTTAAGACTGCAGCATCAGCTCCTGTCCGAGAATTGCCAGCCTGCCAGCCTGCCCTGTGAAGTTTGGACCTGCCACCCCTGACAATCACAGAAGCCACTTCCTTGAAATCCCACCCCTTCCACATATGTATATATGTTTCAAGTGGGGAGATTGATATCAGAACAGCAGAAGTGATGACTTCCTTTTCCCTTTTGTCACATTAAGAGGGAAAACGAGACCATCTGAGCTGCCTCTCCAGGTGATCTGAAAACCAGCCTTGGGCAGCTACTGATTTAGATTCATTCAAAAGCAGAGCCCTCGAAGCACACTATTGAAGTATAGCTCTTTACAGAGAGAGGAAGGCAGGGAATAGATTATGACTACTTTCAGTTACCAATATTATTTCTGGAACTGGGTGGGGGGGTGGTCAAAGGGATTCAGTGACTGTTTCATCAACCAGTAAGTGGCAGAATTAGGATACATATGCAAGCACTGTGATTCCAGAACCCAAGTGCTTCCCAAAGGCACTGGCTACCTTCCCCTCTTTGTTACAGCCTCAGGAGGGAGGTCCACCTTTAGGGATTATTGTGAGGGTTAGAGAGAATGGTCTAAACTGCCTGGCAGGAGAGCTTATGAAGCATTTTCTGAAATATTAGCCAAATTGAAGAAAGGCAAGACTCAGTGGCAGTTTTAATTGTTTTGTGGGTTTACATCCATTCACTATAGTTATGTCTTGCTCTCTTCCTTTGTGGAACACATTCATAACTGGGCTTTTCACCTCTTCACATTTTTGTTCCTGCTCACGTTACACTTAATGGCTGTAATCCCTCCTTCCAGGTAACAAGGGCCTCAAGGTTAGCCCACTGCACTGCTGGAGGCATAAATGAAGTGACAGTGGACTGAACTTGGACCCTAAACTTGGGGCTCGTTGCTAAGTAGGCTTGCCTCCTCAGACTCTGCCTGTTGCAGACATACGTAAGAAACTATCTTTAACTGGTGACTTTACTAGACTCTTGGTCATTGGTTTCCCCCACCCCATTTTGGGGGAAAAATTGGAGTATAGTCTACATGTAATAAAATTCACCTGTTTCTTGGGGCGCCTGGGTGGCTCAGTTGGTTAAGTGTCCAACTTCGGCTCAGGTCATGATCTCACGGTTTGTGGGTTCGAGCCCCATGTTGGGCTCTGTGCTGAACAGTTGCTCAGAGCCTGGAGCTTCTGTCAGATTCTGTGTCTCCTTCTCTCTCTGCCCCTCCTCACTCATGCTCTGTCTCTTAAAAATAAATAAATGTATAAAAATTTTTTTTAATTCACCCATTTCTTAAGTGTACAGTTTGATGGCTTTTGACAAATGCATGCCTCATTGACTACCATTTCAATCAAGATGTGAAATGTTTGCTTTACCCTGAAAAGTTCCCTTGCAGTCAGTCCCATCTTCATGCTGCTTGACCCCTTGGCCATAACCAACCTGACTTCTCTGTCTCTAGTTTTGCCTTTTCTAGAATGTTGTATAAACAGAACCATTAAGTATGTAGTCCTTTATGTCTAACTTCCTTCACTTAGCAAAAATGCTTTCTATATTCATCTATATCATTCCATGTATCAGTAATTTATTTCCTTTTATTGCTGAATAATATCCCATTGTATGGACGAACCATAATTTATTTATTCATTTGCCAATTGTTGGGTGTTTGGGTTGCTTCCAGTTTTTGGCTATTATGAATAAAGCTGCTATAAATATTCATGTACAAACCTTTGTGTAGATATATGTTTTCATTTCTCTTGAGTAAATACCTAGCAGTGGAATTGTGGGTTTGTATGGTAAGTGTACACTAACTGTATAAGACATTGGAAAATTGTTCTTCCAGAGTGACTCTGTTCTTTAAGATTCCTACCAACAATTTATAAAAGCTCCAGTTGCTCCATATCCTCACCAATGCTTCATATTGTGGTCTTTTAAATCTTGGCCATCTTAATGGGTATATAGTAGTCCCCCTTTGTGGTTTTAATATGCATTTGCCTGATGGCTGGAGACGTCCTGCACTTTTCCTGGCTTCTTTGCCATTGATCTGTCTTCTTTAATGATGTATTTAAAAATTTAGCCTTTTTTTGTCTTGAAGTAATTACGGATTCATGGGTGCAAAGAAAAGTATGGGGGGGGGGGTCCAGTACACTCTTCTTCCCATCTCCTCCAGTGTTATAGTACATGATCAAAACCAGGAAATTGACATTGGCACAATACATACAGCTCATTCAGATTTCTCCACTCACATATACACGTGTGTGTGTGTGTGTGTGTGTGTGTGTGTCTCTAAGCAATTTGATCACATGTGTAGCTTCCACCACCACAGTCAAGATTCTTGCCCATGCCATTACCACAAGACTCCGTCATGCTGCCCTTTTGTAGGCACACTCACCTGCACTCCCCCACATCCCTAACCATGGGCAGCACTAATCTGTTCTTCATCTCTATCACTATGTTATTTCACAAATGTTACGTAAATTGAATTACGTAGTATATACCCTTCTGAGACTGGCTTCTTTCACTCAGTGTGATTTCCTTGACGATCATTCGAGTTGTTACCTATTTTAACAGTTTGCCTTTTTTTATTGCTGTGTTGTACCCCATGGTATGGATGTACCACACTTTGTTTAACCACTCACCCAGGGAAGGAAATCTGCATTGTTTCCGGGTCTGGCTATTACAGATAATGCTGCTGTGAATATTCATTCATGCACACGATTCTGCATGAAAATAACTTTTCATTTCCATGGGATAGAAATCCACTGAGTTGTATATAAGCCCGTTTTTAGTTTTAAGAGACACTTCGGAACCATTTTCCAGAGTGACTGTACCATTTTACATTTCTACCAGCCATGTGTGAGTGTCCGTTTCTCTGCATCCTTGTCAACATTTGGTATTGTCATTATTTTTTATTTTAGCCATTCATCAGATCTTGTAAATGTTTTGTTAGATGTACACCTAAGTATTTAATTTTCCCTGGAGCAAGGTAAAGGGTAATATGTTTTTAACTTCAGTTTCCATGTGTTCAAGGGTACTCTATAGAAATGCAATTGATTTTTGTTACTTTTGTGTCCTACAACCTGTCTTGAGTCACTTACTCGTTCTTTGAGTTTTTGTCTAGATTTCTTGGGATTTTCTGTTTAGACAGTCATGTTCTTTGCATGTAGAGATAAGTGTATTTCCTTTTTCCCCATGCTACTGTAATGGCTAAAATTTCTAGCACTATGTTAAAAGAGTGGTGAGAGTAAACATCCTAGGTTTGTCTCTGATCTTACAGAGAACAGTCTTTCACCATTAAGTATGATTTAAACTTTCAGATTATTATAAAAGTTCTCCTCTATTTCTGTATGGAGATAGATACTTTTAAAAATCATGAATGGGTGAATTTTACTCATTTTTTTCTTAATTGGTATGATCTTATAATTTTTCTTTTCTCACCTATGAACAGGGTGGATTAAATTGATTGATTTTTCAATACCGAAGCAGCCTTGGTTACCTAGAGTAAATCCTACTTAGTCGTGGTATATTATTCTTTCTCGATACTGTTGGATTATCTATTATTTTGTTCTCACCATGATATTTACTCTGACAAATGTGGACTCCAGAATGGTGCCTTTTTATAAACGAGCAAAACCATATGGCATCAACTGCTATTCTTGGCGTAAGTGTGTTTTTTTGCCTCAGGCCAGGTTCCCAGCTGCTATAGTGCTGCATTAAGCCCGCATAGGTTTCCTTAGGGCAGTTTCACAACTTCGGTATTATGTACATTTGGGGGCGAATAATTCTTTGTTGTAGGGAATGTCCTGTTTATTATAGGATGTTTAGCAATATCCCTGGTCTCTAGCCACTGAATGCCAGTTGTGGCAATCATAAGTGTCTCCAGACATTGCCAGAGGTGCTCTTGTGTGGGGGGTGGGGACTCAGTGGTGCAAATCATCCCTCTCTCCTATTGAAGAACTACTGCCTTAATACATTTAACCCCTTCTCACCCCTAGCTGGGGGAATGGATTTTTTTTTTTTTTATCTTGGCCATGGAACAAAGGTAAGTGTGTGGCTGTGGATACTACAAAAAGATCTGACTTTTTAATTGTAGTGATAAAATATATAACATCTTTTGAACCTTTACTCTGCCAACTGCATTAAGCACATGATTATCTCTTCTAGTACACCCATCTGGTGAAGGGCAGGTGCTGGTAATATCCCCATTTTGTAGACTGAGGCATAAAAGATTAAACAACGTAACCAAGGTCACACACTTTCTAAGTGGTAGAGTCAGGTCTGTGTGGCTCTTGTACCCTGCCACCACGTCTGTCCCTTAACACCCCTTGGTGCACACAGGGCATTCCCAGGCCCTAGTCTCCCACATTCTAACTTCACCCCACAAGAACTACCCACCATTGCCCAAATACTTAAAACCTCTAGGCCTGGCTGGCCCTTCTCTCTGTGCTAAATCTGAAGCTCTATTTTAAGACCCAGTTCGGAGGCTGCTCCTCTTCAGAACTTCTCCTGGCTGCGTCAGTCGGAATTTATGGTTCCCTCCTCAGCAGAGCAGTAACATCCCTTGTCTGGGTAGCCTTGTCTGTACTTATGCTGGAGAGCTGTGACTCCTCACGACTCATGAGCTGCCCGAGGCAAGGATCAGATTGGGCTTGCTCTCCCCATGCAGTCTGTGGGGGGCTAATTATGTATCTGGAATTAGCTGCTTACTAATTGGTTCGTGTGGTTTCCTTTAGTAGGGAATGGTGCCTGGCCTCTAAAGAGCTGATGTCACTATAGCTACTTTCAGTTTTGTATCAGTTGAACCAAGCACTTTCCTTGGTTGGCCCCTGGAGATTTGTTGAGGAATCTGGAGAAAATTCTAAAGGCCCGTCTTTTCCCAGCTGAGTCCTTTAGAAAGTCCCTGAGACCTATGGCACCCCTCAAGACAGAGCTGGCAGAGGCTGCCTGAGTCTTCGGAAGTCTGTGCTTTCCTTGCAAGCCCTTTGGCTCTGCCCTTCTTCCACCCCAGATAAGTCCTCCCCGCCAGATGTCATGTGTTCCCCCCCACCCCCCCAGCAGTGCTCTAATTCCTGGAAGATACATTGGCCCTGATCAACTCCATGTGATGGTACGGTTGTGCAGGCCCGGCCTCCCTCCACGGCCCTCTGAACCAGCAGGCTCACAACTCCTTTGCTGTTGTCTGGTGAATTCCAGCTGCCCTTCCACCCTGGACATGACTGTGAGTCCTCACTGCCACCCCTCCTGGCTGCCCTCCAGCACCACTCAAGGTGGCTGCAGCACTCTGAAGATCTGGCCTTGGAACTGGATGCAGTTCAGTGGAGTGGCTTGGGGTTGGACCCCAGGGTTGAGAGACCCCACCTCCCAGGATCTGGACACTCAGCCTGTTAATACCACTTAGAGGTATGGTGACACCCTTAGCCATGAACTCATAAGACTAAAGCCTCTCAGTCCTCCTTGCTGCTGTCCCTCAATCCCCTGATGTCCCCCTATAGTTTGTCTCATGAACCCAAATGGAAAGCCAAGATCGGGAGTCAGGCAGCCCCAGATTGAATCCTGGTCCTGTCACTTGTGAACCAGTTGACCTTACTTTGAGTCACTAATATAAGTTACAAGCCACTTAATTTATGTGTGTCTCTGTTCTTCCAACTGTGAATGGAGATGGCAGTACTTACATCATGGGGTTTTGTGCGGATTCAACAGGACAAGCTATGCCAAGTGTCTCCACAGCATCTGTCTCATAGGAAGTGCCAGTAAGAGGTGGTAGTGAAGATGATTACGGTGAACTGTAAAAACGCCCAGCCTGAACGTCGGGAAACCTGCCTCTCTGCCTTTCTCTGCCACCATTGTGCTGTGTAAGACTCTGGACTGTTGGAACCAGAGCCCCAGTGCCTTGAGATGAGAGAATTTCCCTAACAAACCTTCTTCCACAGCTCAGTAGGCTGGTCTTGATCTCAGAGAGCCCTCTGCTGGTTAATACATGAAGGTACAGGCTCAGGAAGACCAAGGGAAACGGGCCTGTTCTGGAAAGGTAGGCTGGCTGGAGAGAGGCTCCCCCCAACCAGGAGACGAGCAAGTTGTAGGCTGGATGCAGACTTGAATGTGGGTCTCACATCTGTGAAGTTCTACCGGCAGGATCTCAGACAAACCCTTCTCCTCTGTGGGCCTGGGGATAAGACGCATTGGGAATGAAGACGCAGTGGGTCAGCATTTCCCAAAGACGAGTTAGTGGACCCTGGACAGCCATTTTAAAAATCCGAATGCTTACGTGTTTTCATGTGTTCTAGAAAAAATAGTGACTTGCAAATCCTTTAGTTTATGGATATTTCATTTTAGGGTGGCTAAAAAAATTTTTTTTGAAATTTTTTAATGTTTATTTTTGAGAGAGAAAGACACAGAGTATGAGCAGAGGAGGGGCAGAGAGCCAGGGAGACACAGAATCTGAATCAGGCTCCAGGCTCTGAGCTGTCTGCACAGAGCCTGATGTGGGGCTCGAGCCCACGGACCGTAAGATCATGACCTGAGCTGAAGTTGGACGCTTAACCGACTGAGCCACCCAAGTGCCCCTAAAAATATTTTTTTTAATCAGAACGCGCTAAAAGAAAATTTTTAAGTAAACAGTGGCACAGGTGGTATTCTATTAGGGCAAAAATCATACAAGTAGTGAGCAAAACAATAGAAATCTGGGTGACACTGACTAGCTTGTTTGTGATTTCCTGCCCAGCTCTGATATTGTAATCTGATCTAATACTACCTAGTGTATTTCCCAGCATAATGGTCACCATTTATTGTTTACACTTTTAAAAATCGGAAAGCCAATTCATACCTGCCCAAGGCCACATTGCTGTGTGGCAGAGGGGTTTGGAACCCAGCCTGTGTGGCCCCAGAGCCACAGTGTACAGTGTGTCTTCTCTGCCCACCTGCACTGAGCATGGTGGCAGGGACTGGTCTTTCCAGTCTCAGTGTCACTAGAGGGCCCACATGGACCCCAGTTGCCCGGGGACATCAGCTGGGCCTCGGGGTGAGCTGTGAAGGCAGTCCAGCCATAGACCGGCTCTGGGCACCGAGAGGGCTGGCTTCCCAAGACCTGTGCTATAAAGTCCCCTCTCGCCAACCAATGCTGCGAGGTGCAGAGGGTGTAGGCCAGGGTCAACAGGCCTGAGCTCTCATCCTGGGCCTTTCACTAACCTGCTGACCAGCGGACTTGTCCACTAACTGCACGCGGTTGTGTTGGAATTGGAGGCGTTTTTCCCGAAAAGTGCTCTGGGCCCTGCCCTCAGAGGTTTTGATTTTGTTTGTCTGGCTTCGGGGCTCCCAAATCTATATTTTAGCCATTTGGCTAGGTTTGGGAATCACGGTGCTCGATGACCTCTAGGGTCCCTCCTAGCCCCCAAACTCCATGATCCTCAGCTCGGACGGCCCCGTAGACCCTTGTACCCTTCCCCTGACCCAACCCCAAACAGGGTAAGTGACACGGAAAATAACAGTAAAAAAGATATTTTATTGTTAAAAAACAACAACAACAAACTCGGTCACACGCTCGGTCACACACAGTGGTGTGTGTGTGACCTTTCGCACAAATACACCCTCACCCACACAGCTCTGTCTCGCTATCAGCAGCAACCCTGTGAGTGAGTCTCTATTGCTCTTCCTTTTGACTTGTGTCTCCAGAAACAGCACACATGAAAAGTCAGTGGACCGGAGAAAGGGATTGGCAGGGGAAAGAGCGGCAAGGCCACTCTGGTCCCTGCTGTTCCTGGCTACATACAGTCTCCACATGTACACACGTACTATACACGGGTGCCCACATGTGCAGACACGTGCCCACATTGACCCTCCGTGCATAGGGTTGAGTCACTGCAGGTAACACTTCAGTTAGCAGGCATCTGAGATGGAGGGGCAGGGAAAGGCAGCATGTCTGGCTCCATGCCTCCACCCTGCCCTGATGCCCTGAATGGGAGTTCTGAGTTCCTTGTGTCTAGGGCAGCAAAATCCCTTTGGGGCAACTCATCCAGACAGCAAGGTTGAAAAGTGCCTAAGAATTTTAAAAACAAAGAATCATATCCTTCTTGCCTTTGGCCCAAAGTGCTTGAGAAACTTGGAATGAAGAATGCAGAGTCCCATGAGGTCTGAATTCTTTAACAAAGGAGGTTTGGGGCTCTGCACGAATCCTGACAGGCCCTTGCTGGTGGAAAGTCATGGGACCTGATAGAGGCGGAGCAAGATCCTTGGAATCTGATTCAAGTGGGACCCCAGAAGACTGAGCCAAGTGATGATCCTCAGCAACCCTTGTCAGCCTCATTCACATCGTGCCCCGTGCCTAGCACGGTACCCGACATGGAGCGGACGCTATAGTGATGTGTGAGTGAGGCAGGGTGCACAGATGACTTGTCCCTGCTTGCCTGCTGCTCACCTCTCAGCCCCTAGAGGACACATTGTGGCCCTCCAGGGTCAGATGACCCTGGACCTCACCTCTGTAGCCTGTCAGGTGCAGACCTGCCTCTGCCTTCAGAATGGAGCTGCGAGTAGGTGTAAGAGTGCTCCCTGACAGAGCTGACTCAGTAGCTCAAACCTGCCTCCCTGGGGACTGAGAGGAGGCAGTCAGCGAGACAAACTGCCTCTTGTCCATCCCAGGAACCAGTGTGTCCTGGTTTTCCAGGGTTAACTGGTCTGTGTGGCCCCTTTCTGCAGGGGGCCCTAGTGCTGTTCCTGGAGCTCTTCCCTCAGCTTCCCTCCATCCTCAGGGACTCGCTGGGGATCTAGAAGAACACATGTCAAAGCATGGTGGCCTGGACTGGGGATTTGCCTCCCCTTTTGCAGCCACGCTCATCGCACTCATACAAGATGGGAGGAAGGTGCCAAGTCCTTGGCTTCCTACCTGCCTCCCTCTGAGGACAGCTAGAACATGACCTCCTCACAGCTCCCATAATCACTCTCCACCATGTCAGAGCCCTCATAGTGCGGGGGGGCCTGGGGCTGGCCCCGTCCTGAAGGATGCCCACCCACAACCTCGCAGTCTGCGTAAGAGGGCCCAGCCCGGCTGAGGCGCATACTTACACCTTTGTAGCCCCCCTCTGCCAGGCAGGGCCCTCCCCCTCCCTGCCGGAACTGTGAGTGGTAGTAGCTGATGGCCGTGTACTCATTGAGACAGGGGGCCAGTAGGTGTTCCCGGGGACTGGGGGGCCGTGGGGGCATCAGATCTTCCAGGTTCTGGTTGCTGTAACGGGGTGGGAGAGGTGCCCGCTTGTTTTCCAGCTCCAGTGGGAAGGGGAAGCCCCCATAGAGGCCAGTGGGGTCCGGCATCACGGGTTGGGTCTGGTGGCGGTGAGGCGATGGTGGCAGAGGGCCAGAGGTCACTTCAGAGTGGGGGTATTCCCAACGTTCCTTCCTGGAGTAAGAAGGGGGCCAGACCGTAGCTCCAGCTGGGTGCACTGAAAGGGAATGGAAAGATAGGGTGAGCTCTGAGTTTCCCTGGTAAAGGTTTCAGCAGGCCTCATAGGTACTATGCATAATTCAGCATGTGGTAGAAATGGGCAAAGAGTGGGTGGGTATGTGGCCTTCTCTGTTGTGTTGTCTCTGGCAGCTTAGATTGATATCTAGAATTCAGTGGGGCCAACTTCACGGCCAAAGGTTTAACCCAAAGGCAGCTCATCTTGCAATGTGACAGTGATCCAAGAGTCAGTGAATAAGGGAAGAATCTGGATGGCCCCTTACAGCCCACTCCCCACTGCTGGGGACAGCAACTCCATCCCAACCCCTACTGGTAACTTACATCTCCTTAACTGAAGGAAACAGACACACAGTTTGGACTGGGGATGTGATGGCATCTATCACAGAGGGTAATTAAATAAGACATGGCTTGGAAGATTGGAGACCAGGCATCCTTGGTCCTTGCTCTGTCCCTGCTACTAAAGAGTTGGGTGAGTTAGAACAAGTTATGTGTTTTCACGGGCCCCAATTACCCTATCAGCAAAAAGTTTATGAAAATACCTGTTTTAACTATTGGTGAATAAGCCAGAAACTATAAAGCACTTTACAAATTCACCTCCTAGTGAGCCAAAGGTGAGAGTGGGGTGAAGGTCCCTCCTCTACATCAGCAGGTCTGACCCAAGGCTGCTCTAACTCCAGACTGCATGGCCAGAGGCTTGGACTATTGCTCTTTCCTTTTTTGAGAAAAGCATAAAGGTACAGAAACACCTACCCCCCTTTTCACCCCAAGGATCCCATTCACCCCTATCCAGAGTCTACAGGTTTCTGCCATAGATATTAATCCTATGGAATGAGTTGAAATGTAGAGGAGGGGATCATGGTGCAATGGAACGAGCCACAGATTCTGAGTCCAGAGACCTGGCATCTGGTCCAGCCCACTAGTGCACCGTGACCTTGAACATATCCCTTCATATCCCATCCCAAGGAGCTGGACTGCATGGTGCCCTCACACAATGGAGTGTTCAAGTCTACAACCCTATTCCATCAATACCAGAGGCTAAGGGCCTCTGGCTATACTGACCCATCTCCTCGCCTGACCATGTCCTCTTTATGATGGGCTCATTGTCAGAGTGGGAAGGGGCTGCAGCTGGTGGGAGTCTGGGAGGCACACTGCAGACCACCGGCCGTTGCTTAGAGCTGGGTCCAAAAGTGACAAGTTCATTTGGAATTGAGGTTTTGCTGGGCTCCAGTTGGTTCAGGTTGTTGCAGGAGCTGGTGGTCAGCGGGTTGAGCTCGATGGCAGGCATAGTTTGGGTGTCCACACCAACACTCCTGGCTAGGAGGTCTGGGTCCTCCATGGCCACGGGCTTGTGGGACTTGCAATGGCGGCAGTAGAACAGGAGCCCAACAGTGCTTAAAACAATAAACAGTAGGGCCACTATGATGATCAGAATCTCCTGCTGTCCCCAGTCCCCCCTTGTGATCTCAGGGGTGACTAGGCAGTGACCTTCTGAGCAGCCCCTTGCTTCCATTTCACACCTGCAGAAACAGAGAAGTAGTCAGGGGATTGAGTCGCTATATTTCCCTTTCCACGTCCCCTCTCTCAAAGATTTATGGACCCCTGCACTGAAGCCCACCTTCTCCAGTTTTCAACCAAAAAAAGAAAAGAAAAAGGATGGTAACAATCACACATATCAAGTTCAGAACTTTCCACCCTCCACCAGTAAGGTGAGGGAGTCAGTTACATGTTCATTCATGACCTAGATTTGGAGTCTAGGCTCTGGGCACATCCATTATTTCCCATTCATGAGATCTAGGTATTGGATATACTTTCCATCAGTGAGGTGGGACTTCCAACCTTATACTGTGGTCAAGGCAGCCAACATACCCAGCTGTCCTCAGGATTAATGTCAGAGTCCCAGATACAAGTCAGCAGTCACCCAGCCATGGCAGCAGGGCGGCAGTGTGACCCTGCACAGACCTTACATTGCACAACTTGTCCAGAGAGAGCACTTGGAATTGTATGACCTCTCTGGTCGCTGTCAGCTTGGCATTTCATGGCATAAGGCTCCTAGGAGGTTTCTGTGGCCAGTTTGGTCCACTTTTGAGGGATATTGGGAAAGGCTTCCTCCATCCTACTTGAGTCCCAGTGTCTAAAACTTCACCACCAACAGTTCGTCCTTTGGGGTTAGACATTGTCCTCCCCAGTTCTCTTTTAAAATGCAAACACCCTTTCAACCAAGAAGTAGCTGCAGGCACATGTCCTGCAGAGAGGTGTGCTGTGAGGCCAGAAATGCCAGGTGCTGAGAGAAAAGACTTGGGTCATAAACATGTGGAGGGATTTGGACAAGCCCTTTCCTTCTCTGGGCCTCAGTTTCCCCACCTGTAAAGTGAGTGGGTGAACTATATCAGTGGCTCTCTTATGCACACACTGACAGCAAAGGGATCCCTTAGGAGCTTGTTATAAATAGAATCCCAGGCCTCACTCCTTGGATATTCTGATATAGTAGGTCCAGAAATCTGTATTTTTCATACATATCCCTGATGATTTTTTTAAAGGCTCCCAAGCTGGGAAGCCATAAAACCAGATAATTACCAGGCCTCTTTACCTCTAGGATTCTAGGGATCTAAGGATCCCAGGACCACCACCACCCCAGGCCAACATAATACAAGGCACAGTAGCTTACAGTGGGGTTCAAGACCCACAACAGTGCTTGTACCTAGTGAAGTCATTGTCCCCGGGCCACTTTCTGGGAAGTCGTGGTCCAGAGCAAGAGAATAAGAACTTTATTTTCAGATTTTGGCAAAGATTAGAAAAGCCTGAGGAACTGATTAGAGGTGCAGATTCGTGGACACCCCCCCCCCCCCACCTAGTGAGTCTTATTTAGTAGGTTCAGAATAAGGCTTGAGAAAATAAGAACTCTCCTCTGAGTGTTCTGATGCAGGTGGTTGGAGGAAGAAGCCTCATGCATGGAAAAGGCCAAGAAGCCAGGTCGCTGGAGCACTCAGCTCCCGGTCTCCCATTGGCTTCTCTGGAGGTCAGAGTGCAGATGTCATTCATTCCCTCATGGTGCCAAACCCAGGGTGAGGAGCCAATGGCAGGTGGCCTCCCTGTGCTTACCTGTCTCCCATGTTAGTGTGAGGGCAGTTACAGGACACTCCTTCAGGGGAGGGGGTACAAGTGCCGCCTTCCAGGCATGGTGTCACAGTGCAGTTCTCCCGCCTTTGTTCACAGTGCCTCCCAGAGAACTGTGGGGGACACCTGCAGACATTCCCTGGGAGGGAGGGAAGCGGGGAGGAGAGTCAGGCAGCTGCAGGCTGAAAGGCCGTCTGGGACAGAGGAGGGACCTTGGCATGTTTGCAGATCCACGTGTTCCCATTTAGTTACTGAATGCTTCCTTCTGTGACAAGCAGCATGTGGTGTCCTGCTGGACAAGAAGACATCCCTGTCCTCACACAACTTATAGCCTACAGAGAACAGGCATCTGAAGAGTAGTGGTGGATGTCATCCCCATCATCCTAGACAACACGTATTCAGTGCTGGTCACCGTCCTAAGAATCTTCCTGTGTTAGCCCATTTGAGCCTCGTGACAACTCTCAAGTTGGTTACGATTTTCGTCATCAGGGACAAGCTGATGGCGGGTGAAGAAATGAGGCACGGGGAACATATGGCATTTGCTCAAGATCACACAGAAAGTAAATGGCAAATTTGGGACTCAAACCTATTGAAGCAGTTGTGTATAATATCAGGGTATTAGTCATTACCATAGAACAACAGAGCTTAGGGAGCCAAGGGAGGTGGGAGCTGCAGGGCTGGGGAGGCGGCGGGGCCAGAGTATCACTGTGGGCTCGATGCAGGAGTTAGAAGTTTGGATTCCATCTTAACAGCAAGGGGAAGCCACTGCAAGGTTCCAGGCAGGAAAGGGAGGCACTCAGACCTGCTTTGTATAAAGATCCCTCTGGTGCCCTGCTGGAAGACACAGGTGGAGGCAGAGAAATGAGAGAGCAGAGAGGCATGCTGGCATGAGGCATGAGAGATGTCTGCCCAGTAGTGTGGACAGAGAAGTGAGAGACTCCTTAGATATTTTGCTGATGGAAATGACAGTTCTATTACCCAGGCAAAAGTGAGAGAGAATGCTGAAAAATCAGGAGAATGCCGAGTGTTGACAGGGATGTAGGAGCCCTATGCCCTGCTGGTGAAAGTGTAGGCTGTGTGGCCATCCTGAAGAGCAATTTGGCCCTATTGAGTCAAAATAATTGTGTACATTCTCTGGGTATGTGAATCCCATCCCTGGGCAGGGTGCATGTGTGCATGTGTGGAGCAAGTTCTCATCCGGGTTCACAAGAAGATACGTATGAGGATATTCACACAGCACTGTTGATGGAGATGGGGGATGTTGAAGCCACCAGGGTGCTCGCTGCTAGCTGAGTCGAGAGAGAGAATGTGGGTGCATGGGCAAACTGGGATACTGCAGCAATGGATATGGACTGTGGTGGTGTGGATGGAGCAGTGTAAAAGGTTACATATCACTTATAGAATCAGAAATTCAAGCATGTGTAAAACCAGTAATGTACAGTTTGCAAGAACTCATTTAAAAACTTTAAATGTTTGCCTATGGATATGGGGAAGGGGAAAGGCAGCTGAGTATAGATTAAAAGGGAATAAAAAAGAGAAACTTGTCACCGGCCAATAGTAACACTACGGTGTACGATGAACTCAACCTGTGGCACCAGAGGTCCCTGTTTGTGCCTGTTCCATCCAAACAAGTAGGAAGAAAGTCAGTCCTTGTTCAGGAAGAACAAAGACTCCTGGCTTCCCATAGTGTAAACCTAGCAGATCCCCACCCATTACTCAAGAGATAGTAAGGGGAAGAGAGACATTTGAAATCAGGGGGCAGGAGTGCTTCACTGAGATCTATACCCCAAACACGTCTCTCTCACTCAACAGCCTTGTGACTTTGACCAATCTGAGTATCCCTTACACAACTCAGTAGTTTCCTGTGCTATAAAATGGAGCCATTGGTGGCTTTCTTCCAACCCCCTCTCTCCCTCATGGGGCTGTGCTGAAGGAATATCTTTGTAAACTCTTCAGTGATATATGATTGCTAGTTCAACAGGCTGGGGTCTTCTGAAGAGCCTCCTGGGATAAGCCTGGGAGTCATTTCCAGCCCTTACCTGCCCCATGGGTCTGTGAGCACTTGCCACCATTGAGACATGGGTTTTGGCTGCAGTCATCACTGTGCACACAGCACTGGGTGAGGGCCTGCCTTTCCAGCAAGGCTGATGCCTTCTTGCCATGGGCCAGCAGCTCCAGTGCCTCTCCGTTGATCACAACCGCATCCAGGCAGCCTTCAAAGCCCTGGGACACATTTGGGGAAGAATGCAAGAGAACAAGACCACCCATAAAGAGGTTTCCTTCAGGCCTGAGACCCTGGCAATTCTTTGGGAGCATGAGGGAGGTGTTGGCAAAGCTGTCAACCAAGAGGCGAATGGAAGTGTCTGTCTCCTCCACCACAATGGAGTGCCACTCTTGATCATTCACATGGAGCCAGGAGGAAAGATTTCCATAGAAACCACCTGGGCAGTGGTATTCCAGCTGGATCACTCCATCGACCAGCTGCAAAGAAAACCCAGATGGACATCAGCAAAGCCAAGAAGTCCTTAAGAAAAGCACTGCTTACAGGCTGCCAGTACAAAGAATGTTGGTTGTATTTTCAAGGGTCGGGGAGGTAGTGTTTGGTGATTTTTATGGCTGTTTTAGACATCGTCTTTGTGGAGTATAAAATGCCTCAAAGTACTTTTCTGTCTGTGGTCTCATTTGGCCCTTACCACACTCCATGGGATGGACTGAGTAGTGATGGCATCTCCATTTCACAGATGAGGAAACTGAGGCCCAGAGATACCTTGCTGACTGAGACCATGTCTTTTGGATTCTTCTTTGTAGGTCTTTGTAGTACACACCTCAACATTGGCCTTCAGGGACACCAGAAACCTCCCTCAGTCCCCCTCTCTTCTTCAATAGTTCCACTGTGCTCAGAGTGGATCTCCAAGACCTTTCCAGAAGATCCACAAAGGGAGACATTTTTATAATAATCCTAAGACCTTATTTGCCTTTTCTACTCTCATTCTCTCACGAATATACAGTGGAGACTTCCAGACATGTACTACCACAACAGATGAACAGGTAGATGTGAAAAGCCAGCTTCTACAGTTGAGTCATACATGTGTAAGAGAGATTTGCAAAAATGTAAAACAATGCCACTCTCTTCTGTTTTCTTAATTTTGGAAAATGTAATTATTATTCACAAAAATATGGTATTTATGTTAGCATGTAATAAGTTTCTTGTTATTTTTATTTATTTATTTTTTAAGTTTATTCATTTTCAGGGGCAACCGAGTGGCTCAGTTGGGTAAGTGTCCGACTTCAGCTCAGGTCATGATCTCACAATTCATGGGTTCGAGCCCCATGTCGGACTCTGTACTGACAGCTCAGAGCCTGGAGGCTGTTTCAGATTCTGTGTCTACTTCTCTCTCTGACCTTCCCCTGTTCATGCTGTCTCTCTCTCTCTCTCTCAGAAATAAATAAAATATTAAAAAAAAATTTTATTCATTTTCAGAGAGAGGGCAGGGGAGGGGCAGCGAGAGAGAGGGAGATAGAGAATCCCAAGCAGGATTTACAGTATCAGTGCAGAGCCTGCTTTGAGGCTTGAACTCATAAACAGTGAGATCACGACCTGAGCTGAAACTGAGAATCAGATGCTTAACCGTCTAAGCCACCCAGGCACCCCTATTTTTAAATGAATTAATAAATAAAGATTTTAACATTCTCAGTTTCAATTTCTAATACTGAAAATATTGATAGCTATAACCCACATAAACAAAACTTCCCTAGTGTCTTCAATTATTTTTAAGAGTGTGAAAAGTCCTGAAATCAAGAAATCTGAGAAAACACTGGGTTAAATCATTTTAGTTTACTTCACCCCAAGAAGTAGGACTACTGTGGCCAAGAGGTAGGACTTCTGTTTACCCTGGGCTGTGTAGAGCTTTCTCTGGGTGAAATCTGAAAATCCAGTCCAGTGGTTTATAGAAGGTAGCTGTTTGTACACCACTTTCTCAATTTTTGCCCTGGTTGAATACTACCTATACCATTATATACTTAAAAAGGAAACTTACTATTATTTCAGTACGTACACTCAAAACATTGTCCTTAAATCACTCCTTTCGCTTCGCTAGGACCACAGATCTACTGGTCCCATCATCTTTTCATTGTCTCTTGGCCTCCGTAAGGCCCTCACTCCTCTCCTTATCCAGCTTAAATTCCATTGCCAAATTTCTGTCCTCTCTTTCTTGGTAGTAGTCACTTGGCAAACCCACAAATCTGGTTTGCCAAACCCACAACTGTCCCCCTACTATATGTGAGCATCATGGAGGTGAGCTGGCTGGAGAAAAACATGCAGCCTTGGTTATTGACCTCTCTTTAACATCATGACTGTGAGTCTCAAGTGAGCCCTTCCTGGTGCCTAATTATGGTGCTATCCTCCATAGTCAGTTTACTATCTCAGATGACTATTTTCACAACTGTGCTCTCCTCACACTCCTGATTCCCCCCCTCCCCATCCTTGCTCTTAGCAATCAGATAGGGACTTACAGGCACTCTTACCATCACATCTCTCCACCTTGGTGGAAGTCAGTCTCTCCATTCATGCACTAGATCACACACCCCCTTACCTCCTTAAGGATAGTTTCCATCAACTCTCCTTTCTTTTTTCTACATCACAAATTGTTCATTCTCTACTGTACCATTCCAGTCATCACACGAACATGCTATATTGCTCTAATCTTTAAAAAGTATCTTAAGCCCACTTCTCCCATCAGATATCACTGTCTTTCTTTGCTCTCTCCTTATAGCAAAATCCCACCCCTATCCACCATGATACTGACACCACTGGTTTCAGGGTATTCAGTGACCACTGTGTTGCCAAATCCAGTTATTAATATCACTTCCCATCTCATTTGATCTCTCAGAGCAACACATTACCAGCTGGTCACTCCTTCCTTCATGATACATGTTCTTCATTCAGCTTCCTGGATATAATACTCTTGGTTTCACTCCAACATCACTGGTTGCACCTTTTCAGTCTCCTTTGTTGGATCCACCTCTTCCCCCAGACCTCTCAATGTTGGAGTCACAAGGATGAATCCTTGGTCTAATCCTTGTTTTCAATCTACACCCCTTAGTGATTTCACCCAGTTTCATAGTTTTCAGTACAAAGTATATGCTGAATTCTCCCAAATCTGCATCTCTATCCCAGACTTTTCCCACACGCACTATACTTGTTTACTCAGCTCCACTTGGAAGTCTAAGAGACATGTCAGACTTACATCTCCAAAACTGAGCTTCTGATCTGCCCCCAAACCTGCTCTACCCAGAGCCTTCCCAGGGTCTGTTGACAGCAACTCTATTCCTTCTAGTTACTCAGGCTGAAACTTAGTCCTTGCTTTCTCTCCCAGCCCTCATTCAATTCGTCAAGAAACCTTGTTGGCTTTATCTTCAAAAATCTATCCAGAATCTGAACTTTTCTTCCAGTTCACTGTCATTACCGTGATCTAGACTACCACCATCTCTAATTATTGCAATGACCCCTTGGCTGGTTCCCTCTGCTTTTATCCTTGTTTATCTAAAGTTGATTATCAACAGGAGCCGTGATGACCCTTTTGAATATGTCACATCATGTGAATTCTCTGCTCAAACCTTCTCATGCCCTCCATTTTGCTCAGAGTAAAAGCCAATGCCCGTAAATGGCCTATGAGAACTTTATAGACATTCCCTCATCGCATTATATCTCTGACCTCAACTCCTACTACTCCTGCCTGGGCTGTCCCTTAAACATACTAACCATTCTTCTACCAAAAGGTTTTTGCATTGCTATTCCCTCTCCCTAGAATGCTGTTCCTTCAGATGTCTACCCTCACTCCCTTCATATTATGGTTCAACTATCAACTCAGTGAAGCCTTCCCTGATCACCTTACTTAAAACTGCAACTCCCCACACTCCTGATTCCCCTTGCCCTTATTTTTTAAGTCAATGCACTTATCACTTCTGGACAAACTAAATTTTCTGAGCTATTATATTTCTATTTATTGTCAGTCTTCTCCCTGTAGGGTGACAGCTCTATGAGGGCTTTTTGTCTTATTCACCAGTGAGACCCAAGCACCTAGAACAGTGCCTGTCACTAAGTAGATGGTCAATAAATATTTATTGCATAATAATTTCTAACTTTTCTTTGTCAAACTGGGAGATTGGCTTGTGTGTTGGAGGCAGGCAAACTGAGATGTTCTATGAGATGTAATCAGAAGGACTGAAAACATTCATTTTTCTTCCATGTGATTGCATGTAACTTAATGCCAGGTTTGTAGCCTTGAGCACCCAGTGTAACCAGCCTCTCACCCATCTTGGGAAACACTGGTCTGTTACTTAGCAAAAGTGATAAAAAAAACAAAAATCACCATGGCCAGGTGGCCTCACCCACTTCTCCCTCTATCTGCAGAGGCTCTCTCTCCTCCCACAGAACAGCCTGACCCTTAGTTGTCCTTGGATATATATCTCCAGGTTGGGGGCTTTGGCCTTCACAACTGGAAAGTCTTACGTCTTTTTTTTTTTTTTTTTTTTTAAAGTCTTACGTCTTAACCCAGTAGTCACACTAGCATCCCTGAAAACCCTGCAGGATTTTCTTTGCCAGAAATTGGGCTTCTTGGCTGTTCCCCCTGCTGTCCCCACCTCCCCAGTCTGGAACACCCACACGAAATCTCTCAGGCTGGTAGTGCCTTACCTTCAGGGAGACACACACTGTCTCATTGCTGAACAGGAGAACAGCCTGTGATTGGTGTGTTTTCAGACGGAAACGGATGTGCCATTTCTGAGCCTCTGGAAGGCTGTACCGTCCAAAGCTTTGGCCGCTGAATCTCGTGGCGGTACCTGGAGGAGCAACAAGAGATGTCAGCTCCAGATCAAGAGGTCCCCACAGAGTCCTTGAACTGACTTGGTCTCATTCAACCCTTGGGTGACATTGCTTATGTTTTATAGATGAAAAAAATGAGGCTTCTTGGGAGTGGGGGGTTACTTGTCTAGGGGCATGCAGCTCGAGAGAGGCCATCACCTGGCACACCTCATTTTGGCCCAAGACTCTTCCCTTGGGTCCCAGCTTGAGTCAGGAACTATGAGCTCAAACCATTAAGAAAACAAGACTCAAACTGGTAATGTAACTAATTAAATGCGTGGAAGTTGAAATTTCTACCCTACACAGTTTTTGTGTTGTTTTTGACATCACTGGGGGAAGGAGGTAGAATTGGAGAGGATTCTGCATATATGTGTGATTTCAGGCAAAGGTCATTTGCCTCAGGATCTCCCCTTCACCATTAGGAGTGTAACCATTTGAGTAAGCACTTAACCAGATGAAGCCCTGTGAGAGGTGGAGAGGATGCTTCGATAAAGGAAGGGGGCCAGACTTCTGTAAAGTCCTGTGCATGCATCGCCCTGTAGCAATTGGTAACACATAGTTGCAGAGTAAGAAGTCTTCACTTAAACTTGAGTTTCTCCAGCTTGTTTGACCATGGAACCCCCTGATGTGGACCACCTATTCAAAGCCCTCAGAAATAGCATTCTGTGGGCCTGCCTTGGGAAATGCTGCGTTATGCATAGTAAGCACTACCTTCCCCAGAAGTGAGTTCAGTTGTTGAATCCCTAAAACCTCAGTGTGAGTAAGCTTATCAGTCATCCAGCAAGGGGAGGAGCTGTATAGGCCCAGATCTCCCAGACTGTTGAAGAGAGGGAATAAAAGCCAAGAGGAGAAGGAAGAACCAGAAAGCCTGAGGCACATGGCATTTCAAGATCCTAAGAGTCTGTTGTACTTTAAGTCTAAAACTCTCTGATGCTGACAATTCCATTGTAGTAGGTCATTACTAGATAGAATACTGAAGATGAAGGAGAGCAGAAATTCTCAGACCTGGATGAATATCAGGATCAGCTGGAGAGAATTTTAAAATACAGAATGCCAGGCTCTGCCCTCAGAGTATGACTCAGGAGTTCTGGAAGAACATGAAAGTCTACATTTTGTTTGTTTGTTTATTTTGATTGAGACAGAGACAGCATGAGGCGGGGGGAGAGGCAGAGAGAGAGGGAGGGAGAGAATCCCAAGCAGGCTCCGCGCTGCCAGCACAGAGCCCAACACAGGGCTCCAACTCACAAAACTGCAAGATCATGACCTGAGCTAAAACCAACTGTTGGTTGCTTAACCGACTGAGCCACCCAGGCACCCTGAGAGTCTGCATAAAAAAAAATCTCCCCTCACTTAGGTCATGATCCCGCGGTTCATGGGTTCGAGCCCCGCATCAGGCTCTGTGCTGACTGCCAGCTCAGAGCTTGGAGACTGTTTCAGTCTGACTCCCTCTCTCCCTGACCCTCCCCTGCTCACTCTGTCTCTGTCTCTCTCTCTCTCCTAGAAATAAATTTTAAAAAATTAAAAAAAAATCTCCCCACGAGGGGTGTAGTGACTGGAAGAGAGATAAGAGAAGTTCCTGAGAAGCTGGTCATGTTGTGATCCTTGATATAGGTGCTAGTTACATGGGTGTGTTAAGTTTGTAAAAACTAGTTGAACTATACACTGAGGTCCGTGGATCTTTCTGTATGCCATATTTCACCAAAATGTTTTTGGAAATAACACAACCCTAAGTGATTCTGGTGATCAGTGAGCCAGCCTCTCTAATATTCCTCAACGTGCAGACCTTGGACCATCTGTTTCAGAACTGCCTGGCATTAAAAATGCCAATTCCAAGGAAAAAGAGGGAGAGAGAGAGGATGAGAGAGACAGATAGATAAACCAAGAAACAGACTTCCAACTGTAGAGAACAAACTGAAAGTTACCAGTGGAGAGGTGGGTGGAGGCATAGGAGAACTAGGTGGAGGGCATTAGGAATACGTTTATCATGGGGCGCCTGGGTGGCTTAGTCGGTTAAGCGTCCGACTTTCGCTTGGGTCATGATCTCGCGGTTCGTGGGTTCTAGCCCCGCGTCGGGCTCTGTGCTGACTGCCAGCTCAGAGCCTGGAGCCTGTTTCGGAGTCTGTGACTCCCTCTCTCTCTGACCCTCCCCTGCTCTCGCTGTCTCTCTCTCTCTCTCTCCTAGAAATAAATTTAAAAAAATTAAAAAAAAAAAAAAGAATACGTTTATCATGATGAGCACCGAGTAATGTGTAGAACTATTGAATCACTCTCTTGTACACCTGAAACTAACGTAACACTATGTTAACTATACTGGAATTGAAATAAAAACTTTATTTAAAAAAATGCCAATTCTACCATGTGTAGCAACGTGGATGGAACTAGAGGGTGTTATGCTGAGCAAAATAAGTCAGGCAGAGAAGGACAGATACCATATGCTTTCACTCAAAGGAGGATTAGGAGGAACTTAACGGAGGACCGTGGGGGAGGAGAAGGGGGAAAATAGTTGGGGAGAGGGAGGGAGACAAACCATGAGAGACTCTTGAATACTGAGAACAAACTGAGGGCTGATGGGGAGGGGGAGAGGGGAAGGGGGGTGATGGGCATGGAGGAGGGCACTTGTTGGGATGAGCACTGGGTGTTATATGGAAACCAACTTGCCGATAAACTATGAAAGAAAAAAATACCAATTCTAAGCCTTACCCAAGACTTTCTGTGATACACAAGAGCAGTTCTCTTTAAAAACACACTCCCCAGATGATTCTGAAGAAGCCTGAATTTTAGAACTTCTTCTTTCTGGTGCCGGGTGACCACAAGAGAACCTTGAGCCATCACAGCGTTCCCTGCAGGCAGCCCTGGGGCATGGGACACAGAAGGGAACCTCCCCTCCACCCCCATCCAGAGTAGCTCACTCAGCCTAAATACAGTGGGACCTAGAAAAAGCCCACAAATCTTTGGAGCTTTGGAATTTCCCTAATGCAAACTGGGGAGACCCTTAAAAGACAGGCCAGGCCAGGCAGGGGGCAATGGTGAGTGGGAGGCGATGTCATTTTCCTCTTGCCAATGTCCCTGAGCTGGTCCAGGGCTCTGATTCTTGATGCCAGGGGTGCTGGAGTTGAGTCTAATCAGAAAACTAACTTCCTGTAGAGTGTAGTAAAGAATAGGACACATAGGTATTTAACTAACCAGCCCTTCGTTGTAGGCTGTACAGTTTCATGCGAACCAATACAACCCCATCCCTCAGTTTCAACTCTAGTTGGATCTAATGACCTTGCTTCACAGGGTGTTGGTGACAGTCAGTTCAGCTAACATATACATAGTGCCTGGCACAAAGCAGAGTCCTAGCAACCCACTGCCACCGTGTGTATGACAGCCATCATTGATGGCGTGCTTATGATGGGCCCCACAAAGGTTAAGTGCTTTTATACCCATTAAATAATTTACTCCCCAGACCAATTCCAGAAAGCAAATGGTAATATTTTCATTATTTTGTAGTTGAGAAACTACAATTCAGATGTTTTAATAACCCACCCAAGGTCACACAGCTGGTAAGAGATGGAGCTGGGGTTCAAACCTGAGATGTCTAGTCTAAATCTTGAGATTATAACCACCAGGCTGTGGTAGTAATAGTAGTAGTAGTAGCAATAACTCGTGTTTCTTGACCATTATCTATATATCAAGCACTTTTTTTTAATGTTTATTTTTGAGAAAGAGAGACAGTGTGTGCGCACAAGCGAGGGAGGGGCAGAGAGAGAGGGAGACACAGAATCCAAAGCAGCTCCAGGCTCTGAGCTGTCAGCACAGAGCCCAACTCGGGGCTTGAACTCCCGTGCTGTGAGGTCATGACCTGAGCCAAAGTCGTAGGCTTAACTCACTGAGCCACCCAGGCGCCCTTATCAGATACTTTCCTAAGCAAGCCCTTGACATTTAATACTCATTTAATTCCTATAACTGCCCAAACGCACGGAGAGGCTGGAAAATTTTCCTAAGGTCAGTTGGCTAGCAAGTGGCTGAGCTGGGATTGAAACCCAGGCAGTCTGATGGCAGAGTCTGCTCTTAGCCCTCATGCTACCTACAGCCTCTTGATTCCTCACCGTTATTTTCAAAACTCCAAAAAGTGGCCAGGAATGGGAGGTGCTGTTCCATGACTAGGTTTTGTGAGGCTGCCGCCTGTCTCCCGGTGGCCTGTGGTCTGTGGCCCTTAGCCCTGTTAAAACTCCCTCTAAGTACTCCCTCCAGAGCCTCCCTGGGACGTCCATCCCCGGAGGCAAGCTGGCTGAGCCCCACCGTGCTGGGTGTCTTGGAGAAGCCCATGACTCACCACTGCAGGAGCAGCTCCTCTCCAGGCGGTGCCGTGGGGTCAGGATGCTGAGCCTGGCTGTGCTGTACGTGGGTCCCACCCTGGGGTCCAGGTGCACACTCTCTTGGCACATTTGACCCTGGCAGCCTGGGCCCTGGCACGGCACCACAGGCATGGCTGACCTCATCTGAATTCCCACCGAGTGCTCCATCTCTTTGGCCAAGTGAGTGATGGTGGATGCCAGCTCCTGGAGCTTGTAGAAGGTTCCAGAATGCCCCTCAAAGACCAGGAGCACGTCCACCCCAGCCATGGTCTCTGCAGGCTGAAGGCTGGCCAGGTGAATGTGAGCTCGTTTGATGTCCAGCTTGTTGCTGAGGAACCTCTGCAGGTTCCGCCAGTGGTCACTTACCAGCTCCTCCGGGGTGAGCTGGTGGAAGCCCATCCACACAGCCTGCTGCAGAGCCTCCCGCCCCACGTGCCACACATGGACGTGGACCCCAGCAGTGGCAGTGAAGGTCCCATCACTGACTGTGACGTTGAATGCATAGCGGCCACGAGGCAGGCCCTGGGTGGCAATAATCTTGCCATCAGTTGCGCCCACTGAGAAGTGCCTGCCCAGGGTCTCCTCTCCTGCCAGGCTGTAGGTCAGCGTGTCCTGAGGGTCTCGGTCTGTGGCGTGGATTTTGCCCACCATGCCGCCCTGGAACTCCTCCTCCCCGATGGTGATGAAGATCTCCAGTGGGAGGGCAGAGGGTGGGTAGAGGCTCTGCTCCGTGACGTGCACACTGACAGACGTCGAGGACGAGAGGGGAGGGATGCCGCTGTCTGACACCTGTGGGCAGAGCAGACACTGCCGTTACCATGGGCTGCAGGTGTCTGTGGCCCAAACTATCCGGGCCTCTCTGCTCAGGGGCAGACTCAGCACAGCGTCGCAAGTGAAAAAGAAAACAAGAACTCCAAAAGCACTGAAGGTTTTGTGGAGGGAGTTACATCCCGTACCATGTGGTAAGACTGAGCTCCATTTCCTCATTTGACATCTCTCTGAGCCTCTTCCTAAATCTCTCAGGCCACTCAAACGTGAGCCTCCTTTCTCTCCAATGTCCCTCATTCTGTCTCTTTCCTTAAGCGAGTCATCAACTGTCTTTTCATGATTCCGCTGCACATCCTTCATGGCCCCTGTCAGCCCAAGGAGGTTTTCTTTGAGACACCCCTTTACTATGTGATTGGGATCACTTCTTGCTTTTTGGCTAAGATCAAGTGATTGTGACTGGGGTTGGAGTGGGCATTTCTCCCTCAGCTAACAAATACTCACTGAGTTTTTTCTATGGGCCAGGGACAATAAATACATTACTAAATAAACAAGGGAATGTGAGACTTGGATAATGTACTGTGAAGGAAATCAGTGGAGAATGGGACAGAGATCTGAAGAGGGAAAGGAACCTAACGCAGATCAGGCGGGAGGGAAGGCATCCCTGAGGAGGTGACACTTGAGCTGAATCCTGAGGGGTGAGAGAGAGGTGAGGAGAGGAGATGACAGAGGGAACAGAAAGTGTGAAGCCCTTGGTGGAAAGAATGTGATGAGCTTGACCAGCAGAAAGGGGCCCCGGCTGCTAGAGCAAGTGGGCAGGTCTGAGGGCCAGAGGAGGGCGTGAGGGAGGCCACCTGGTCACTGACGGGCTGAGGAGCCCAAGGTCAGGTTTTATGTCAGAGTCATGAAAAACCATTGAAAGTTTTAACAAGGCCGTGCCATGACCTCAGTTAAGCAAAGAAGAGAATGTAAATAAAAATAAAATAAAAAATGCCTTTTCCTTTCACATTTTGCCAAGCATCCCTGCAACTTTGTGTCCAGATTAGCAAGAATGAAGTTTCCTTCCTGTCCTCAGTGACATGATCACTTTCACAGCTGTCACCCAGGGTCTCCACAAGTTTCCCTAGAGTAATATCTTATTTCAGTGCTTTGAGTGGAGGGAGAAGGTTGTAAAACTACAGCTATTACTGGGATTTGTGTATAACACAGATGGGGTATCAACAGCAATGACAGTAATTAATACTACTGCTAAGTAGCAGGTGGCATCGACTAAGTGCAAACTGTGTGCTGGTCACTTTTAAATGCTTCCAATGCATGATCTGAGATCCATATCAACACTAACCCAAACCCTTAGCTTATCCCGTGAAGTCTTTCATTTTACAACAGCTGTAAGTGAGGCTCAAAGAGGTCATGTAACTTGCCCAAGGCCACACAGCAGATAAGGCCAGAGCAGAATCTGAACCTGTGTCCATAGCCCATTTCTTTGCTGGCCTCTAGTGCCTCCAAGTGAACAAAAGTGGAAATACAGGATAAATGCAGGAGATGCTGATAAAAATTACTGAGTGATCGTCTGGTTCAGGATACAGAGTTCAGGAAGCTGATCTCTTTCATCTTTCTCCAGGCGGTCATGTCCATGACCTAAGCTTTGAGAGCCCACACCTAATCTGTGCTGAGCTGCAGATTCGCATTCCCAACTACCTACTGGACACGTAGATTTCTCATGGGCATCTAAAAGGTGACATATGCAAAACAGAGGCCTCATTTTACCCCGTAAACCCATTCTTCCCCCACCCCACCGGCTTTCCAGTTTCATAAATGGCCCCGCCATCCAGTCTTCACTGGACCCAGGAACCTGGGAGTCACCCCTGATTCTTCTCTTTCCTCCCATATCCAATCTATCACCAACTCCTGTTTATTTCCATGCAGAGCCTGTCCCTAGTCTATCCACTCCCTGCGTCTTCATGATCAGCCCAAGGTTTCAGCACCACTAGCTCCAAGTGGGATTGGAAGTAACACTAAAAGTAATACCAAGGCTCATAATTAGGATTGGCTATACTTCCTGGTTTGCCCAGATCAGTCTTGATTTTCACTAATTGATCCTGTTGTGGCTCAATGATCGCCAATTAACTATTTTTAGTGCTTCTCTCCCTCTCGAGAGCATCATAGTTTGGACCTCAAGTAGTATGGTTACCCAAGGTATGAGACCTCCATCATCCACCCACCCCATCTCTTCAGCTTATTACCATTATAATTGACCATGCTGACCACATTGGCTCCATCTCAGGCCACTTCAAGCTCTTGTTCGAGAGCTTGAACTCTTGGCTCGAGACATTGGCTCATCTTGTTCCTGCCTGTGACACTATCCTGCCCATTTTTACACAGCTCACTTCTCAGGTCCCAGCTCAAAGGTCCCCTCCTCATGAGGGCAGCCATCCTCTGAATATGTCTCCCCTGTGCCTTATGAGCCTCTCATCACTTTACTTCTTCATCTCTTTATTGTTTATCTCCATGGTCGGAATCAAAAGCCTATGAGGACCTTCCCCTTCTTTCCCCCTGCTACATTACTAGCCACTAGCATAGGGCCTGGCATGTGATGGGTGCTCAATATTTATTCAAAGACTTAGTGAATGACTGATCGGGTGACTAGATGAATGGATGGATACATCATCCTGATCCCAGAGAAGTTCACAGAACAATAGGATCCACTATGATTTGAGATTTAAGAAAGGGATTTTGAGGGAATTGAAATGAAGAAGAAATGTTTAACTACCATCTTGACAACTTTACTTTGGCTATTCTCACACTACGCTTTGCAACACCACCATAAGCCCCTACACATGTATACATGTTTTCCAGTTTGGACCCCACACCAATTTCTGTGAGGTTCTGAGAGCTGTTCTGGCCAAACTCAAGGATTCAGTCTGGAGGCAGTGTAGGAATTAAGACCTTAGGCTCTAGGGTCGGAGTGTTTGGTCTGAAGCAACCCACTTCTGCCACTTATTAGCAGTATTACTTTAAGCCAGTTACTCAAGCTCCCTGTGCCTCAGTTACCACATCTGTAAAATGGGGATGGTTACTGTACCTGCCCTAAAGCCTGTTGTGAGGGTTTAATGCAATAAGGCACGTGGAGCACTTAACCCACTGCCCAGCACCTGGTAAGAGCTCTGTACACTTCCCCGTAATAATAGAAGCACTGGTAGTGCTTTTGCCAGCACATTACTGTCCCCATGGTCACACCAGTGACCCAACACAGCTCTCACCTTGATCTGAAGCTGATACCATTCCTGGACTCTCTTGCTCAGGCCCATAGTGGTCACTAGCCATCCATCAGGGGTCACTCGGAAAGCAGAGCCATCATTCCCCTTGGTGATTCGGAATGAGTAGGGGGGGCCATTCTCTGGGGAGTCTGGGTCGCTCAGGATCAGCTGCAGGACTTTGCTGCCAATGGGTGAGTTCTCCTGGGACAGAGAGCAACAGGAAATCAAAGAGCAGCATGAATTCTAGTCCTTCCTTTTGCATTTTTCTGGGTCCCCTCATCTGGGTTTAATCCTCAGCACTCTGGCTGCTCTCAGGCCATGCCTGGACCTCAAGCTGCCATTCATTCATTCTGCCAGCCTATGATTAGTCTAGACCAGGAGCTTCCTGAGAGTGGTGCTAGGTCTTGGAAACAGAGCCCTTTAAGGCCAGAAGGGTCCTTAGAGTCCCCTTATCCTACAGAAGATGACTTGTACAAGGTCACACAGCTGATGATTCATGTACATAAATTAATAAGTGGCTGGGATCCATATGGAAATGCGATTCGTAGGGTCAACTGAACACTTACGAATGGTTTCCTGCTTAGAAGACCAATGGAACAGCCACTCAATGAGAAAATTTAAAAATTAGTAGGAATTCAACTAAGAAAAATAGATTCCCTGGATACTGTTCCAGTCTTTACTCCATAACATGGGAATTCAGTATCTATGACACAGTGGTTGTTCACTGTCTTTTTGCAACAAAAACCCTATCTACAAACAGAATCTTAGGGACAGAAACTAACAGTTGCCTATCCAACAGGCATTCCTTCCTTCCTTTCTTACAAAACCTGCCTTTTGTTGGGGTGTGGGGTGGCAATATCTCATAAAAGCTGTGTTTATTAAGAAAAGATGGACTATGAGTGGTCTAAGTCAGTTATAAAATCTGATTTCAAGTGCCAGTTTTTGGTTTAATAGTGGTCATGTCATCTGATTCTGATCATTGGAGAAGTCAACCAGATGAGGGTTTTAAGAAGTTTTCTTCTTTGATAAAAACAGATCCTGGGGGAGTGGGGAGTCCCCTTCTGTTTGCCTTTGAAGATGGTTAGACAAGGATGTGATGCTGGAGCTGCAGCAGCTGTTTTATAACCATGAGAAAGAAGGTGAGTGAATTTCGAAAAAGCTAGCTCAAAGCTGTGATACTGTTTTTTACTGAAATAACCAATTCTTGAAAAGAACTTACCACCATCATGTCTTTTGTTATATGAAATAAATCCTTATTATTTAACAAGGTTTTAGTCAGATAATCTATTATTGGCAGTCAAAGCATCCTAACTAATACCCATAATACACAAACAAGTGAAGTGTATGACTCTGGCTGGTACATAGCAGGATCCACAATTCTGTCTTCTTATCCTCTTCCTCGCCCCCAACCACCCCCACCCCCACCCCCCGCCACCAACCTCTTATGGTCACAATTCCCCACTGAATCCCTAGGCCCTCTTCAAATCCCATTTGTAAACTATCAGTTTGGTGGAAATAACATGGGATCTGGAAAATCTTCTGGGTTTAAATCCCAAGTTTGCCATATTCTAACTATGGCACATCTCTGTACATCCATTTAAAAAATCTGTAAAGTGGACGGAGCAGGCCTCCTTATCCTTGGGAATATGTTCTAATACCCTCAGTGAATGCCTAAAACCATGGATAGTACCACACCTTATATATATTGGGGGTTTTTTCTATGTATACATATCTATGATAAAGCCTAATTTATAAATGAGGCACAATAAGAGATTAACAACAATAAATAATGATGAAAGAGAAAATTATAACAATATACTATAATAAAAGTTATGTGAGTGTGGTCTCTCTCTCTCTCAAAGTATCTGTATTTGCTCTTCTGGTGATGATGTGAGGATGGTAAGATGCCTACATGATGAAGTGAAGTGAGATGAATGACATAAGCACACAGCATGTGTGACGTACACTAAGCCACTACTGACCTGATGATACGTCAGAAGGGGAACACCAGCTTCTGGACCATGGCTGACTAGATGTCATCCTGGCTGAAACCACAGAGAGCAAAACCACGAATACGGGGGGGGGGATGACTACTGTACCACCTGCTTCATGTAGCTATGTGGGTCCCAGATGAGGTAATGGGTGTGCAAGTGCCTAGCACTTTATTATTTGTTAATTCTGTAATTCGTAATCCCTTGTTGCAGGCTGTGTTGCCATTAGGGATATTAGTTGGCAAGGTCACAGCCAATGTTTGGGTGGACAGATATCAGTGGTGAGCACCCTCCACTAGGAGGGAAATGAAGGGAGGAGGCCTTCAAGATGTCTTTGGAAGCTCAAGCGTACCTGGACGGAGGTGCTGTAGTTGAGCTGGAAGAATCTCGGTGGGTTATCATTGACATCAACCACCTGGATAGCAATGTCTGTGTCCTCATGCAGTGGGGGTCGCCCGCTGTCTGTGGCTCGGAGCCTCAGGGAATAGCTAGAAGTCTATAGCAAGATGCCAGTAGAGAGTTAGCAACATGACCCCTCAGTTCTGCCCCATGACTCATCACTAATGTTTTCCAAAAAATAAGATGCAGACACTCCCCTATGCCTACCCCCTTTGCTGGTACATACTGTTTTAGGGTCTAGATTTTGGAGTCAGGAAGAAATGAGTTTGATTTCCAGTTGAACAATTTACTAGCTGTGAGACATTGGGAAGGTGACTAAACATCTGTGAAATTATTGGGACCCACCCCTAGGATTATTTTAAGGACCAAATAAGTATGTAAAGCACTTAGCAGAGTTCCTGGCACAGAGCAGGTGCTCAGTAAATAAGAATGTATTATCTACTAATTTATTATCTAATGATTGCTTGTCAAGAGTAAGAAGCTAGCCTGAGCTCTTCTAAGGGAGGTTAAGGGTCTCTTAGTCCCTCTCCTGCCTCTGGCCTCATAGGTCACATTGACCACACAGAGAAAACAAGTGTGGAACACTGAGGGCAGGTCTAGAAAATCAGCATGGAGTGCTGACCACAGTTCTTTGTACTTGCACTGGGACCATACCTCTGTTCTGATGAACTCAGGTCGGGCCCCTCCCACATGACCTACCTGTTCCCAATCCAGGGCCTTGGCCACCTGTAGCTCTCCCTTCTTGGGGTGGATGGTGAAGTGCCCGAGCTGATTCCCTCCTACCAGGCTGTAGGTGATGGCACTATTTACAGGTCCATCTTCATCAGTCGCTGACACCTGCTGCAGTGGGAGGGTTGTTGTGAATGGAGGTCAAGAGGGACCAGAAGGGAGTACTGGCCCCTGGGAGCATCAGGGGAACAGATAAGCGTCCTCTCCAATGATTGCCATTGGGCCGGCAGTCCCGTGGACCAGTCATCCCTGCCAAAGGAATCTCTTCATTTTATATCCTAGTACAGATTTCAGCATGCCATGGCTCATTCCTTTACTCATTCAGTCATACTGACAGGGTGCTAGGTCCTGAGCTAGGAGGTGAGGGATGTGCCAAAATAAATACGCCCACAGGAAGCTTAATGTCTAATGTTATGGGTAATTCTAATTTGAGGCCAAGTGTGACCAGCTTTATGAGAGCACAGAGAACACAGTGATAAATTCTACCTGGGGAGATTAGCAAAGCATTCATGAGTCCCAGAAGGATAAGAAGAGCTTCTGCGAGTGGAGCCAGCATTCCAGACATGAGCCCAGAATGTATGAAAATGCAGAGGCTGTTTGGGGAAAGGCACATCTTCCTGGGTGGTTGGAACATAGGATGCATGTCAGAGAGTAGAAGGAGATAAGACCAGAAGGCAAAATAAAAAGAGGTCATAGACAACTTTGAATACAGACATATAGTTTGTTTTCACTGTATGTAGTAGGGAATAATTACATGATTAAATGCGAAGAAGTGTTATTTGGTGCCCCTCCCCCCAGTGAAGTGTTATTTGGTGCCCCCTCCCCCCACTGAATCTCCACATCACACATTGTGACCAGGTGCTTCCTAGACCTTGGAGCCACTGGGCAGAGACCCCTCTGAAGGCTCTCCCATGCCCCATTCTATCAATGCATGATCTAGACCTTATCAAACATGACCCTGAGACTCTCTGTCACGAGAAACAGTTTGGCCAAGTGGCTTCAAGTCAGAATCAAGTCTATAGTGTATAAATTGATAAACTAACTCATGTTTATAGACATCTGGGGAGGAGGAGATAAGAATCCAACCACATCCAAGCCTCCCAAAGGGCAAAGTTGCAGATCCTTACAGTGAGCACGACGTCACCCACGGCAGCATTCTCCAAGACCCTTGTGGTGTACAAATCCTGGGGGAATCTGGGCCGGTGTTCGTTGATATCAGTGATGTTGACCACGATTGTAGTCATGTCACTGAGGGAGGAAGAGCCTTTCCGGCTGCACTCTACAGATAGGAAGAACTTGGGGCTTGTCTCAAAGTCCAGGCTCTTGTTGACATACAGGATCCCTGAAGAAACAAGAGACGATGGGAGCAATGAAGAATTTGGGACCACACAGGCAGAGGGCTGAGGGGTCTTGAGCCAAACCCCAGGAGAGGCAGCTCAACAGGTGGAAGAGACAGATCTGCTCCTTCATCTCCTCCATCATCTCCTTCATCTCCTCCATCATCTCATCCTTCATCTCTTACAGCACCATCTTTGTTTTCTATTTCCCTATTACCTTCCCCTCCTCTTCCCTTTTATCTCCTTCACTTTCTTTGTTGTCATTCTCCACAGCAGTGTTTCCCTCATTTATGTCTGTAATATTTCATTGAAATTTCATTTAAATCTGCAATAGTAAGTCTTTTTCATGTCTATCTATACTAACTCTGTAGAGCAGGAGCAACTGTGGTTCCCCTTTTCTAGGTGAATCAGTTGATGCTCTCAAGGTAAATGACCTGCCCAAGTTCACCCGGCTAGTCAATGACAGAACTTAGATTATAAAGAGTTTTATAACACTCAAAGGTGTTAAATGAACTGCTAGGACATGGATTTATTTTTCTGAAAATTGGAAATGAATAAGGATTTATCCAGCTGTTCCTGGATAACCAAATATTTAATGGTAGTAAACTCTTCTTTATAAAGAATTCCAGTTGGTAAATGAATGAGGAATGATAAAATTAGAAGACTGCCATTTTTCTGCCCCTAATGAAATAATATCTCTAGGAAATAATCATCAAAGTTTGCTAAAGCCATTAGAAGGACAGCTGACAAAGAACTCTATAATGGGTGGGTGGGGCTGACAACATGCAAGCCCACTGTCAATCTTAACCTCAGGAAAAAAACCTATCGGTTATTATATGCCTCTCAACATAGTGCAAAGTACATCACAGCCTCATCTCTGAAGCACTGTTGCCACAAAATTGAGCTTGAACCACGGGGCGCCTGGCTGGCTCAGTTGGTTAAGCGTCGGACATAGGCTCAGGTCATGATCTCACAGTTCCTGGGTTCCAGCCCCGCATCAGGCTCTGTGCTGACAGCTGGCTTGGAGCCTAGAGCCTGTTTCAGGTTCTGTGTTTCGCTCTCTCTCTGACCCTCTCCCACTCGCACTCTCTCTCTCTCTCAAAAATGAATAAATGTTAAAAAATTTTAATAAAAGAACAAATTGAGCTTGAACCTGATCAAGGTCTTTAATCCAAATCTTAATTAAAAGAAAGATAAGGGCTAGAGAGATATATGACATCATAAAGATACAGCTACTAGTCAATCCAAAATAGAAAAATTCTGCCTGACACTGACCCAAGTTTCATTAGTTAAACCACCGGGGAAATAAAGAGTGCGAGGAAAATGTTAGAGATTAAAAGAGACTTAAAATACTGCCTATCAAACAAATGCCATATGTGTGCATGGGGATGGTGGTAAAGGGTAAAGATGAAATCAGACTGGCTTATGTTGACAATTACTGAAGCCAGGTGATGGGAACATGGGGTTCATTACACTGTTCTATTTTTTTTATATAGTACAACCATTAAAAAATAGTGCTCAATGCTAAGGCAGCTGCTTTAGGAGTTAGAGTATAATCACTGCTTTAGGGGCTGTGGAAAGGAATCTGACCTGGACCACCTCTGAGGCCCCTCCATGGGGTTCTGTGAGTCTGACTTAGACTTTTCAGTGGTTAGGAGGAAAGAAGAGACTATTCCCTAGTTCTCTCTTCATAAGAATGAGAGGAGATGGAGGGGTGTCAGGATATTTGGGGAGGGCTGGAGGAGGGAAGCAGATAGCCCTGCCCTGGGTTGTTCATGCCCAGATTCCATCCAGTAAGTGCTTCATGCCTCTGCAGGCAAGGACAGAGTGGCCTCAGCTTCCAGGGGCTGGGCCTGAGCTGGGACCATGAAACTACAAACTGTGGAAGAAGACTGGGTCGCCAAGGGTCCCAGGTGGGGATGTGGTAAAATAAAGAAGGTCCCCAGATAAGCTGGCCCCAGGGTGGAAGAAGGAACTTGGGACATGGAGAGATGCACAGTGAAGAAAGAGCCAAAGGAGTTCTGCCCTTGGAGGGTCTGTATGCCCCCTGCCCCGCCCCCAATATGTGAAGAAGCCAGTGTTCCCCTAGACCCTGGGTGCAAGTGCATGCAGGGGATGAGGCTGCCTCAGGTGCCAGCTCACCTGTGCGGGCATCCAGGCGGAACCTCCCCTGTTCATTCCCGCTGACCACACGGTAGCCGGTCTTCTCTGCACCAGGGCGAGTGAGGGTGGCCAGCTGCAGCACCTCCGTGCCAAGCTGGGCGTCCTCGGGCACCTGCACACTGTGCTCAGTGTTCAGGAACACAGGCAGGTAGTCATCGAGGCCTACAACTGACACGGTGACTGTTCCCAGCGTGGACAATGGTATCGGGGAGCCCAGGTCAGAGGCGCGGACGGTGAGCTCCAGTGCTTCCTGTGGCTTGGCCCGTAGCGGCTTCTCCAGCCGAATCACACCCGTGGTGGCCTCGATGGAAAAATGGCCTTCGGCAGAGTCCGTCAGAGAGTAAACCACCTGGGCATTGGCACCTGTTGGGGAGACCAAGGGCACGGTTCCCACAGGCCCTGCTTGCAGTGAACTTTCTAGCCACAGGAGAGCCTGGGGAGGAGGGTTCCCATAAAGGCTAACATGCTCAGGCTGTGTTAAGGGTGAGAACCTCTCTATTGGGGCGCCTGGGTGGCTCAGTCAGGTAAGCCACCAACTTCAGCTCAGGTCATGATCTCAGGGTTCATGAATTCCAGCCCCACAATTGGGGCTCTGTGCTGACAGCTCAAAGCCTGGAGCCTGTTGCGGATTCTGTGTCTCCCTCTTTCTGCCCCTCCCCTACATATGCTCTGTCTCTGTCTATCTCTCACAAATAAATAAAAACATTTAAAAATTAGAAAAAAAAAAAAAGAGTGAAAACCTCTCTGTGAGGATTCTTCATCAGGGGCTTCAAGGCCCCATAGAAAGGTTCATGGGGGAGGGGTGCATCTGCAAACTCATAAAATTATCTGAAAATGTGTATGTGGGGGTCAGAGTCTAACATCAGCTCATAAAGTGAAAATTGTACAAGCTCAAACCCATCTATGTTGAGTTCCTTGGTTGTGATAGGATAATTCTGTGTCTTGGTTATGGTGGCAGTACATGAAACTATATGTGGGATAATATGGAATAGAACTATACACACAAAAACATGTGCTCACATGCACACATTCAAATGAGTGCGTATAGAAACTGGCAAAATCTGAATAAGGTTTGTAGTCCTACAGCTAAAATGCTACCACTGGGAGAAGTGGAGTGAAGGGTGCAGGAACCTCTCAGTATTACTTTTGCAGCTTCCTAGGTGTCTATAATTATGTCAAAATAAAACATTAAGGAGACACACATTTCCATGGGTATGGAAAGTTCTTAGTGAATCAAAACATGGAGTGTTTCTCCAGCTTTGGCTCAGATTCTGTTATTTTCTGTTATTTCTGTTATCTGTTGTGTACTAGATGAAGCAGTTGGCGTGTGTAGGGGCTTTAGTATAGGAAGAACCCCAATAGTGAAGGGTCACCCATGAGATCCTCACCCAATGGGAAGAGTGTATCCCTGAGCCTGAGGGTCTCACATCTCATACACATACGGGGACACACACCCTTTGGTGGAACGATGGTAGAAACTGCCTGCTAGAATAGCTGGATTTACATAAATTAAATGTGCATATCATACAATTTCCCCCATGTATACATTTTTTTCTAGAGAGAGGGAGCTTCTGGTTAGGCCATATTTGGAATACCTGAGTGGAATATTTGGATTAGAATAATGACAGTTTTGAAGGGTTAATGGTAAACTGGCATAATACCACAGGATGTGTCCTAGAAAGAAGTCATGATCAGAAGCATGTAATTGGAGAAACTAGGTCTCCTTCACCCAGGAATGAAAGCTTGGGGTGAGAGCAGATAATCACCACCTCCCAGCCTCAGAAAGGCTGTCGTGGGCGAGGGTCTAGGAGATCTGCGTGGCTACAAAGGGCGGGACCAGGAATGATGGGTGTCAACTCAATATAGGTAGCATTTGATAATTATCTGAGGTACCATGGAAGGTCAGTAGGTAGCTGCTAGAAAGTAGGGCGGTACCTTGAAAGGTAGGCAAGTAGTTGCCTAGGAAGTAGGGAGCTTCCTGTCGCTGGAATTATCCAAGTACTAGGTAATTGAACACTATGTAGGGCTTTGTAGCCACTAGATAACTTTGCTCTATTTGCCCTCTCTTGAACTTCTACGCTAAAATCTTCCATCTCCTTCAATACCTATCTAAAATTTAAGAAAATTGGGCATATGCACTATACACACACACACACACACACACACACACACAATACTTTGTGATGGCAGAAATTATAATTGGTACAACATGGAACAAATACTCATGCATGAATCAAACTTGCCTGGTAATTTAAAAAAAAAAGAATTAACCTTAATGCAGATAATGCCATTAAAATTAAAATGTAAGATATTGAAACTGATTTCATTTTATCATATAGAAAATAGATCAAAGAATTTAATTGGCTTAATAGAGTTTGTGCCAAAAATTCCTTTCTTGTGGCAAATTAATTGGAGTTAAATAATTCCAATTCGTGTATTTCGGATTAGATGTTTGTATTTGAAGTGTCCTTGGGGTTAAATGGCAGAACTAAAAGGGCTCAGGTCTAAGCGCCAGGGAAAAACAGTGAGGCCAAAATGCACTGTGCCGGCCTCAAAACATTGCCAAAATCTTTTGTCACATAGCACTTAGGTATGCAGTATGTGGACATTTTCCTCTTGTAAGTGTTCATAGACTCAGCAAGGAGGCAGAGTCCTTGCTAAGTCCCAGGGAGCCAAACCCTCATCCCAGGTGACCTCATGAGCAAATGGCCTCCAATCATTCTCCTCCTCACCTTGGTCGGGATCCCGGGCCAGGACCACAGCCACAGGGGTCTTAACCGTGGTGTTGTCAAAGACAGCCACAGCACAGTGGCTGGGGAAGAAACGAGGGGGATTGTCATTCACATCCTCCACGTAGAGGGTCACATCTGCCTGGCATGACTGGCCGCCTCCATCCGTCGCCTTGGCAACAAGGCTGTAGGTATCCTTCTTCTCTCGGTCTAGGGCTGTAAGGGTGGTCAGCTCCCCTGGCCAGAGAAACGACAGCAGGTGAGCTTTCTCTGGGGGACATGCCTCCCGCACATGCCTTCTAGGTATCTACGTGAGGCAACCACAGGGACACAGAGTTTTGTCACACTGTGACAAAAAGGGGTCAGAGAAAAGGGAGTGTATACAGTTAGGGAAGAAGTTCAGTCCCACACCTGCCTGCTTCCCTAATTCTCCCAAACACTCTCCACCACCACATCACTTATTTCAGATCCTACCAACAAGGTGAGGCACAACATTTTTAAAGGGCAACTAGACAATTTCTAACAACACATAAAATGCGTTTATCCTTTGGCGCGCCTGGGTGGCTCAGTCGGTTAAGTGTTCAACTTCCACTCAGGTCATGATCTCCCAATTCAAGCCCTGTGTCACTCTGTCCTGACAGCTTAGAGCCTGGAACCTGCGTCGGATTCTGTGTTTCCCTCTCTCTCTGCCCTTCCCCTACTCGTGCTGTTTTCTCTCTCTCAAAAATCAACATTAAAAAAAAAAGTTAAAAAAAAAAAGTGTTTATCCTTTGGCCCACAATTTCACATCTAGGAGTATATCCTACAGAATAATCAGCCAAGGATAAAAATGCAAGTATAAAGATATTCTCAGTAGCCCTGTTTATAATAGCAACATACTGAAAATATCCCGTATGTCTTTCAAAAAGGGACTGATTGAATACATTATGTTAGCCACACAGTAAAATACTGTGTGACCCTAAAGGAAATATGATCGAGTTTTATGTAATGCCTTGTTAATACCTCCAAGATGTTGCAATGAGGAAAAAAAAGCAAGTCACAAAATAGTATTCTAGAGTGCTTCTCTTTGGGGAGGGGCTGGTTATTATATAGACTTTCCAGTATCTGCATAGTACACACCCACAGTGTTTGGGTTTTTGTACAATGAGCATGTATTATTTCCATATTTAGAAAAACCACCCAGTTTTTTTAAGACCCCACTGATCCTCCTGCAGCTGAACAAACAGCAGCAGAGAGAGATTAGGTAACCTGCCTGGGGTGACTCAGCACGCCTATGCTGGATGAGAAAGGACAATGCTGTCTCCTATCTATCCAGACAGCTTCCTGGGACACCACTCTCACCTGCCACCTCCCTGCTCAGGAATCTCCAAGCCGTCCTTTGAGCTCCCGGTTCCAAGCCAAGTGTCAACATCTGGCCATCGGTGGCCTGGGCCTTCTGTGCTGCCCCTGCCCACACCTTCCCCCCTAGCCGCTGGGAGGGGATCCCACTGTGCGGCTGCTTTTCCGAAGGAAGCAGACCCCATCCCGTCTTCTCCACCAGACTCTCACAGCCCATCCTCCCCCAGGCATTGGTGGTCTACCCTGCAGGGCTCTGCTTCCAGCTCTGGGCTTTGTCCTCTAATAATAATGACAATGGCAACTGCGTCGAGTGAACTCTTACCACACGCCCAACCTGGACTAGACTTCTATAAACTTTCTCCCTTGGGATGTTTACAATAATACTTTGAGGCCTGCAACATACACATCTTGAGATCATGTCCTTGACCATGAAGCTTACCTGCCTAAATCCTCTAGTGGCTCTAAAGGTGGGATTTGTGGCCCCCACCTCTACCCTTGGCCTCTCTCCTCCCTCTGTGCACAAGTTTCTGGCCTTCTATCGGGACCTCAGATGTATGTGCTCTTTCCCAAAACAAGGTCCTTGTATGGATTCTCCTTGAGTGTCCATCCCTACTACTCCCTTAACTCTGCCCCCAGGACTCTCTCCCTGCTCCTGTCAAACCTCCCCTTAGCTTCTCGCATTTTTTCCTAACTCAGCACGTTCAAACCACTGATTCAATGACTGCCTTACCCATAAGACACAGCTCTTGTCTGTGTGTTGATTGTGTCCCCAGCATCTAATGCAACACTTGGCACATAGTGCCAATATGTTTGCTGAGTGAATGGATGGATGGATAAGTGAATTCTTGTTTCTTCTCCAAGGAACCTAGCATAGTACTCGTCACTGGTATTCACTAAATAAGTTCTTGGCTTGGTCCTGCAGCTCAGGAAACCCACCTGTATGAGGATCCAGCTTAAATTCTTCTGCTCCAGGACCATGCAGAGAATATGTGATCTGAGCATTGGTATCAGAGTCCAAGTCTGTTGCAGAGACTTTCAAAATGAAGTGTCCCGGAGATATATCTTCACTGACTTTGCCAGTATAGAGAAGCTGGAGATGGAAGACAAAGAAGAGGGAGATTGTGGGAGATACACCGAGATTGAGAGGGAGGCAGAATGACAGAGAGAGAGAGAGAGAAAGAGAAGCTGAGAAAGAGAGATCGGAGGGCAAGATGGCAAGAGGGAGAGAGAGAGAAGCAGGGGTGGGTAGAACAGAGAGAATAAGGTGAAACATGCAAGGAACATGAAGGTTGAAAACAAGGAGCAGGATGACAAGACGACTGGTCAGAAAAGACAGTGTGTGAGAGAGAAATTCCATCATCATCAGAAGCCCACACTCAGAGTAGAAGGACCTCTGCCACCTACTCCACAGGGGTCCTTTGAGGCTCCTGGATGAGGTTGATGAGATGGGCCTGATATGAGGCATTCTGGAAGGTGTCAGGTCAAGCCACTCACCCCAGGTCAGGCATCCTGGTCTCTGTGGTGAGGCCAGGCTGTCAGGCTCACCTCCTGCCTACACCCCAAGACAGGCTGTTTGAGTCAGGTCTGGACCCCAAATGTCCCCAGGGACTGCACCCCACCCTCCCTTCACCGCAGGTACCTTCATAGTAGGGGATATGGCACAGGGGAGAGGCTGGAGCTCCCCGGAAGCCTAATGTTCCTATACCTGCTGGCTCTGGACACAGGTTCCAAGCAAACTGGTTTCCCCCACTGCGGGGTGTGGGTGGGCATGAACCCCTGCTCTGGGTGGAGGCTTTGGGCCTGGGTGGGCTGTGTAGAGATGGCCACTCAGACCTCTTTTCCCTGGCTTTAGTGATGCTGTTGACCATGCCTGGGAAGGCCAGGGTGAGCATGGTCCTAGCCTTTCCCAGTATGGGTAGGATGCAGGCTGATTGTAAGGATGGCTGAGGGGAAAGAGGAAGAAAGTATGGCCACCATCCTCCCCAAGAAAGGCTGTCCTGAGACCACCCAATAGGTGGTCATCTTGGATCCTGCAAAGGTATTTTCCATGCACCCTGATAATATAGGTTCTCTTTTTCTACTATGATTTAATGTGGTTGGAGTGTAGAAGACAGAGGAAGAAAAGGTGATGGGATATATGTATTTTTTGTATTGTAAGGTACATGTTGCCTAAATGTGTGCAAATAAGTGAAGTGTATATATATATATGCAATGCACATGTAAGTATGTTTGTGTGAGTCATATGCATGTATTTCCGTGTCTGGTTGGGTATACAGATAGATGAATGTTGTGACTATGCAGGTATATGCTTATGTATCTGTGTGCATATATGTATAGTTATTTGCATATATAGAGAGAGTTGTAGACGATCCTTTCTGTATGTGGATATGGGTGAGTATGTGTAAGTTTGTATTTATGTATATGTTCTGAATGGCTAGATTTTATGTAAATTTGAATTACTGTAATTTGAAATGTTATAAAAGTAAAATGTTAATAGTTTCATTCTATCTGAAAACTTTGAGGTAATGCAAATCCCCAAAGTTAAAAATTATTTACTCTATTTTGAAAAATATGTTTAAACACAGAGCTACATGGCAATGATTGCTCACTTACATCCACTAAGAACACAATTCTTTTCCCAACACACACACATGCGGGGACACACACACACACACACACACACGCACACCATCACCACTACCATCACCACCACTACTCAACATTTGTTTTCAAGAGTAATTTAGGGCTGGGGCACCTGGGTGACTCAGTCGGTTAAGCCTCCGACTTTGGCTCAGGTCATGATCTCATGGTTCGTGAATTCAAGCCCCACTTCAGACTCTGTGCTGACAGACACAGAATTCTGTCTATCTCCCTCTTGCTCTCTCTGCCCCTCCCCAGTTTGCTCTCTGTCTTTCTATCAATAAATAAATAAAAAGCAATTTAAAATTTTTTCAAAAAGTAATTTAGGGATGAATTAAATGAAGTCTTTATCAAAAAGTAACTGTCCTATCTGCATGTTTGTGTATACATATAACCTTGAGGAGGGCATCTATGGCCTATATTATCCATGTAGGTGTGGGGATATGTATATACGGGCATGGGAGCAGTGTGGGGTGTCTCTGTAGACAGGTCTCTTTGGACGTAATGAGCCATGGTAATGAGCTGAGTGGTAGGAGTGTTTTCCCACGGGCACAGCAGACTGTGTTTGGAGAATGAAGTTACTTTACTTCTGGATATATTTTTCAGAGAAGTAGATCTTTGTAGGGAGTATAGGGGGAAAGGTATGGACCAGAGGTTCTAAAGAGCTTGGTGATATCCTAATGGCAGGAGTAGAGGGAAGGAATTACCTAGAATGAACCCTGCCTAGGGCACTAATCTGAGGCCAGCTGGGGAGAAGCAAGAGCTGGTCAGTGATGGCCAGCCTCAGAGATAGTCCCCTGAGCCCTTCTCCTTCCTCTTAGCCTTCACTCCAGCTCCTTTGCCTCCACTGTCACTTCACCCTTACCCAGCTCTTACCTGTGAGCACTGCGGGCTGTTATCATTGATGTCCAGAACAAAGACCTCTACAAGGACTGAAGCCTGGAACTTGCCATCAGAAGCTGTGATTCTGAGCAAGTACTTGGCCATGTGCTCACGGTCCAGAGTCTTCCTCGAGAAAATCCTCCACTCATCTCCGACTTGGCTGATGCCAAACTGGCCCAGGGGATCTCCCTCTAAAAAGATAGAACAGAGCTTCCAGAAGCCAAGGAAAAGGAATAAACCAGGCTTTGTGTCATAGATGGCTGCCCACCTGGCACTTTTTCTAGGATTTCTAGGAAAGACAAAAATTTCCTCCCTGCAAAAGGGTCCCATATTTCTAGTGAATCAATTACTTGGTGTTATGGAGATTCTTCTGACTTCAGAGAACTCCTATTAAGTGAAATTATCACTGTGAGAAGCACCACTCTAAAATATGTGGCTGAGAGACAAGTTTCTTTTTTTTTTTTTTTTTTTTTTTGTGTGCTTTGGAAAGCATTGGGGGAAGTTAAAGGGAAGCAAATTTCAGTTCTATACAAGAAATAAAGAAACTCCATTGTGGGGCACCTGGGTGGCTCAGTTGGTTAAGCCTCCGACTTCGGCTCAGGTCATGATCTCACAGTCGGTGAGTTCAAGCCCCATGTCGGCTCTGTACTGACAGCTCAGTGCCTGGAGCCTGCTTCAGATTCTGTATCTCCCCTTCTCTCTGCCCCTCCCCCACTCAGGTGTGCACTCTCTATCTCTTTCAAAAACAAACAGTAAAAAATATTTTAAAAACCCTCTTCTTTGGCCACTGGCTAGTTGGTTCAGCCATTGGACAGGGATTGGGTCAATTTAAATTTGCAATAGGTATCCACTGGGGAAAGCAGCTCATAGAGTGTAGTTTTAATCCCAGATCTGACTCAAGCTTGGAATATGACCTTGGTTGAGTTTCTGCCCCTATCTGGGCTTTGGTTTTCCTGTGTGTGGAATGAGAGGATTGAGCTGGAATCATGTCTATGAAAGTGTTTTCACTCCAACACTTAGGTCCTATGATTGACTTAAGGAGTATTTCTGGTATCCAAAACTTGCTCTAGGCAGAATACACTCCACAAGGACAGTCATCTGACAGAGTTTTCAGGGATCATAAGACTATTGATGCTTTTCCATCCTCTAGAAGCTAACTGAAAACAGTTACAGTATCTCCCTTCTATTCTTTCTACTTCACCTCAAGTAATAGATCTCTGCAAAACACTTTCCAATTTACAGGGGGCTGTCTGAGTTTTCTCAAATTAGATCTTACTAGCATCCTTGTGAAGCAAATGAGACTAGGCATGCCAAGTCTATAAATGGAGTCTAATAAGTCACAGAGCCAGGACTTAAACCTGTGTCTTAGGGCACCTCTTATTTGACTTTTTTCAATATTCCCCAGTACTGCCATTCCAAGACAAGTATCCTTACCTGTAATGTAGCAGGTGACCTGTCTGTTCTGCTCAGAGATATCAGCATCCAAGGTTTTAAGAGTGGCCACAAGTTCACCAGGTTCACTGTTCTCAACCACAGATCCTCTATAGTCCTCAGAAGCAAATCGGGGAGCATTGTCATTCTCATCTGTAATAGAGACTTCAACCAGGACCTGAGAGGATAGCTGGATGGTCCTTCCATGGTCATAAGCCACCACATAAAAGTGGTAGGTCTGATGGGTCTCACAGTCAAGTTCCTGGAGTGTGGTGATCCAGCCAGTCTCACTGTCAATGGCAAAGAGCTCATGGATATTGCTACCAGGATCCACCGGCAGCCTGTAGCTCACCTGGCCATCATTCCCAGTGTCCTGGTCATTGGCAGTCACCTGAATGACTGAGGTTCCCACTGGCATATTCTCAATGAGGACAGCCTTATAGGGATCAGCCTCAAATATAGGCCTATTGTCGTTGACATCCTTCACTTGGATATTGACAGAGACCAAGGAAACCAAGTGAGTGTCATTATGGGGACAATGTGCCATCAAATCAATCTGGTACCATTTGGTGGACTCATAATCCATGGCCTTTCTCACCTTTAGAACTCCCGTGTTTCGGTCCAAGGAGAAGACACCATCCTTGTTGCTCTCTGGTGTGGTGCCCTGCACTAGACTATAGATGACTGGATCCTGAGCTGCCACTGCTTTAACAGAACCAATTTCAGACCCTTCTGGAAGATCTTCAGATGCAGAGAAAGTATACAAAGGTTCAGAAAATTTGGGCAAGGCTACTTCGTTAGGAACCACCTGAAGTCGTAACAGCACCAGAGAGTTCCAGTGAGGAGGGCCCCCATCCTGAGCTTTGATTTTTAAGTCAAAGGCTCGATTTTCCAATCCCACCAGGCTCTCCTTCACCTTGACAACACCAGTAGTTGGGTTGACTTCAATGACGTCTTCATCCAGGTCCTCCACTGAGTCTACCGAGTAGGTGACATCTGCATTCTGACCTTCATCTGCATCATAGGCCAACACCTGGATAACTGGGGAGTCTTTACTGACATTGGATTGAATGGACACTGTGTACTCAGATGCTTTAAATTGTGGGGGGTTGTCATTTTCATCTGTCAGGATGATCTTCACAGTGCAGAAGGCGACTCTTCCTCCTCCATCCCGAGCCATGACTTTAATAGCAATAACTCTTTCTGTTGAATTTTCCCGATCCAGTTTCTGCAGAGTGGTTATCTGGCCATTGGGGGTTATGGAGAACTTCTCACCTGCTAGTTTATTGATGATGGTATAATCTACAGTGCCATAGGGACCACTATCTTTGTCTATGGCTAGCAATTCGATCACCTTGGTTCCTACCTTTGCATTTTCTGCTAATTCTGCCTCATAAACATGCTGCTGGAACTCTGGGCTGTACTTGTTGGCATTTGTAGTGTTGATATACACAGGCACAGTTGCTCGGAAGACCCCTTCAGAAGCACCTACCCTCAAGTTGTAAGAAGATTCCAGGTGCTTTTTGCAAAGGTTGAACATAGAAATTATCCCTGATGAGCTGTTAATGGAGAAATGCCTATCCTGATTGCCAGAAAGAATCAGATACTCCAGGCGGGAGGTATCTCTGCTGTCAGGGTCAAGAGCTTGGACTTTAAGAACCAGGTGTCCACATGTTGCCAGTTCACTGACATTGGCTTCATACTGAGGTTGCCTGAACTCTGGGGGGTTATCATTGATGTCAGACACATTAACAACTACAAGGGTTTCACCGGTAAGTGGGGGATCTCCTCTATCCATGGCCCTGACCTTCACATGGAAGTGTTGTTGAGTTTCATAATCCAGCTCTTGAACTGTGGACATCTCCCCTGTGCTCCCATTGATCTGGAAGAATTTGGAAATATCCGAGCCATCCTCTACGATCTGATAGGAGACATCACGGTTCTGCCCTGAATCCTGGTCAGAAGCCAACAGCTGGATCACAGGGGTTTGGGCAGGCAAGCCTTCTGAGATTGAAGTAGTGTAGACCAATTGAGAGAAAGTGGGAGGATTATCATTGATGTCCTCCACCAGGACTTCCACTGTGGCTTCAGAAAATGACCCCAGAGCTGTGTCTGTGGCTCTAACTGTGAACACATGCTTGGTCTTAGACTCATAGTCCAAAGGACCTGTTACTGTTAGAACACCAGTCTTAAAGTCAGTGGTGAACAGCATCAAGGGCTCTTCCTCCACAATGTTGTAGATGAGTCGGAGTCCCTCTGGACTTCGGGCCTGGGTGTGGAGAATTGGAGTATAGAGTGTGATATTTTCAGGCACTCTCACTTTGTAGTAAGGACTCTGAAACAGTGGGTTGGATTTATTTCTCACAGTGACAAGTACTTCTTCCTCAGTCTGGAGGGATGGGGTCCCTCCATCCCGAGCAATGACTTTGAGGTGATACTTATTTAAAGCTTGATAATCAAAGGGTTTCTTCAGTGATATGTCCCCAAGATAGGGGTCAATTCGAAAATATGCATAATCTTCCGCAAATGCATATGTGACAGCACCATTTACCCCCAAGTCCTTGTCAGTGGCAGATACCTGACAGAGGACATCCCCCGGTTCTGTGCCATCTTGGATAACTGTGTAATAAGGCACATGCTTAAATTCAGGATGATTGTCATTGACATCCTCAACAAATACTCTGACCAGAGCCTGAGCCACCCGCTGAGGGGTCCTGTTGTCCCTCAATTCCACTGCTACCTCATAAGTGTCCTGCTGTTCTCGGTCAAATGCCACACCTCTTGTCTGCAATACACCTGCTGACTTGACCATCCGAAACATGTCTGTGCCATTCAGTAGGAAGTAGGAAAGCGTGTCATTCAAATGATTGCCCTGGGCACCAAGAATCACCAGTGACTTTCTATCCTGTAAATTCTCCTTCACTGTTGCCCTGTAGACAACCTGATCAAACTGTAAGCTTGTGTTGAGAGCCTGTGCCAAAGAAATTTTTACTAGCGTGATATCTTGATACAGGCCATCAGAAGCCATGATGGTGAGCTCCCGAGAGACTCCCAGGAAGGCAGGGTTTGACACAGATATTCGGCCTGTGATGGGATGGATGGCAACAGCTTCATCAGCATTGCCAGTTTTGATGCTGTAATTGACTTCCGAATCCTCATCCGTGGCTTGCACGACGAGGAGCTCCATACCCTGGTGGATGGGCTTCACCACTGCTACTTCATATACCTGATCTGAGAACCTGGGAGGGGAGTCATTTACATCTCTGACATTGATGATGACCTGGACAGGCCTGGGTGCAAATAAGATGGGGTTTCCTTGGTCATGGACGTAGACGCTGAATTGGAAAGAGGGCATGCTCTCATAATCCATCTCTGATATGATGATTAGGGTTCCCATGCTGGGATCAATTTTGAAAAACTTCAAAGCCTCTGACTCCAAAATTTCATAGACCAATAAGGAATTAGCTTCTTCATCACTGTCAGTGGCACGAATCACAAGGGGGTTGTTGTTTTCGTCCATGATCATGCTGTACAATGGGGCTGCTTCACTAATTTGGCCCACGAACATGGACTTGAAGAACATGGGAGCATTGTCATTTTCGTCAATGATGTAAACAAGGGCCATGACATCAGTAAAGGCACCTGCCATATTGATGCCTCGGATTTTCAGTTGATAAGATGAAATTTTCTCATGGTCCAAGTTTTTCTGGGTGGAAATGAGGCCAGAATATGAATTCATGGAGAATACACCATCCTTGTTTCCCTCTCTTAACTCGTAGGTAACTTCTGAGGAGCTTGTAGCTGACACTAGGAGGATTGGGGACCCAAGAGGGATTGATTCAGGGATCTCTACAAAGTACTCAGCTTTGGAAAAGATAGGGGCACTGCTCTCTGATGGATAGACATTAATGATCACTGTAGCCAGGTCATGCCACTGTGGGGAGCCTTGATCTTCTGCCTTGACTGTCAGGCTATATTGGGCATGATTTGCCTGATCAAGTTTCTTGGCCAGAGTGATGATGCCAAGCAGGGCATTTATGTTGAAGAAACCCTCACTGTTCCCTGAAACAAAAAACAAGACAAACTGAAATTTACCACATGTTCAAGAGATACTGAGTAGGCTTTCTAGATCAGTAAAGAGGCTATCACACAAAACTTGGACAGGACAAAATCCAGTGCTATCCTGGATTTAGTTATGATATGGTATATAGGGAAGACACCTACTTCATAAAATATCTTACACAAGGCACATAGTAGCTACTCCATAAATGGCAGCTTCAATGATCACTCAGTCTTTGGGTCACAACTTAAGCTACAAACCAAAACTGTAGAAGGTCTTGAAAGTGAAGAAAGAAACTTACGCTTTGTAGGAAAAGCACACTCCACTCTGTATTTTGGTGGTGACTTTTATAGGAGAGACTTAAAAAACACCCTGTCTGCTCCCCACATAATCTATGGTTGGAAAGTCCTCATTGGGCTTATCAGTTATGTGGCACAGAGTTAAGTGGGGAGGGACTGGATAGAACATCCAGACTTTGAGGCTCCTGACCAAATACCCTTTCCACCACACCTGGATTTCCTAAACGTCAGGCATTCTCACATTGCCTTTATAGTTTTTTCAATATCCAGCCACTACCTTCGCAATTTTATGCCATTATTGAGTGCATATTTTCCTTTAAATTGATTCCTTTTTTAAATTTAAAATATCTTAAAATTTTTTTTAATGTTCATTAATTTTTGAGAGACAGAGCACGAGCAGGGGAGGGACAGAGAATGAGGGAGACATAGAATCTGAAGCAGGCTCCAGACTCTGAGCTGTCAGCACAGAACCCAATGCGGGGCTCGAATTCATGAACCATAAGATCATGACCTGAGCCAAAGTCAGATGTTTAATTGACTAAGCCACCCAGGTGTCCCTAAACTTAAAATATCTTAATAGGCAACTTTGGTATCACTACTTTAAAAAAGAAAATCATTATTGGGGCGCCTGGGTGTCTCAGTTGGTTAAGCGTCTGACGTCAGCTCAGGTCATGGTCTTGCGGTTCATGGGTTCAAGCCCCGAGTTAGGCTCTGTGCTAACAGCCAGCTCAGAGCCTGGAGCCTGTCTTCAGGTTCTGTATCTCCCTCTCTCTGAACCACTCCCTCCCTCCCTGCTCACACTGTCTCTATCTCTCTCTCTCAGAAATAAATAAAACATTAAAAAAAATTTTTTTTAAAGAAAATCATTATCGCTTGCCATAAATCAGAGGCTACCATAAAAACAAGTTAGTGGAAAAAATATCTGGATAAAATTTGGGTAAAATCTACTGCTTGCTAAAGGATGTGAGCCTGAGAGCTATCCTCTTTCTTTGGTAAAAACAAAGAGTAGCAAATATTAGAGAGAATGAGAGATTTGAGTACCCACTGAAGGCTCTGTCCTTGACTAACCAGGAATCCCCGGTGAAAATCAAGGGGAAGTATTTCCTCCACATCTGATTGCCTATCTTTTGTAGGCCTTTTAAAATTTAATATTTAGGGGCTCCTGGGTGGCTGAGTCAGTTAAGCATCTGACTTCGGCTCAGATCATGATCTCACGGTTTATGAGCTTGAGCCCTGCATGGAGCTTTGTATTGACAGCTCAGAGCCTGGAGCTTGCTTCTGATTGTATGTCTCCCTCTCTCTCTCTGCCCCTCCCCTGCTTGTGCTCTGTCTTCCTTTCTCTTTCTCTCTCTCAAAAATAAACATTAAAAAATGAAAAAAAACCAATAAAATTTAATATTTATTTTGATAAATACATAATAACATTTCAAATCTAAGTTTTGAGGAAAGTTCTGGTTATACAACATTATTCACAGAAAATAATGTTGAAAATTAATTGTATTTCCCCCCAAAATAGTCTCAAAGTTATTGCAGTTTTTAAAATCTGAATTTATTTACACAGCAACAATCCCTTCTTTCCTTTCTTCCTCCCTCCTTCCCTTTCTTTCTCTTTCTTATTTCTTTCTCTCTTTCTTTCTTCTTTCTTCTTTTTTCTTTCTTTCTTTCTTTCTTTCTTTCTTTCTTTCTTTCTTTCTTTCTTTCTTTCTTTCTTTCTTTCTTTCTTCTTCCTTCCTTCCTTCCTTCCTTCCTTCTTCCTTACCTTCATGGTAAGAACAGACGACATGAGATCTACCTCTTAACAAATGTTTAAGGGTTTAGCACAGTATTGTTAACTATAAGCACCGTGGCATATAGCAGATGTCTAGAAATTCAACTTGCATAACTGATACTCCCGCCTCAGTTTTATTGAGATACAATTGACGTATAATGTTGTACTGATTTAAGGTGTACAACATAATGATTTGATGTACATATATATTGTAAAATGAATGCCAAACTAAGTTTAGCTAACATCCATTGTCTCACAGAGTCACAATTTTTTCTTGTGATGAGAGGATTACCTATATAATGCCATGACTGAGTAATACCTGAATAATTTTGCTCACCTCCATGGGTATAGGTATTCCACTCAGGGAAGATCTATCTTTACTTTTCTTTACTATTCTTATCTGTTTAACACACCGATGCATATTTTATTATTTCAATGACAACCAAGTAGCCAGGCTTCATCACAAAACATTCCATCTGATTCTCCCACTCATGAAAGCCATTCTCCAGCTGACTAGTGACCTCACAAATTTCCCAGTTTGCTCTGTGATAAAGACCCTAAGTTCCATCAAAAACAGTTTTAATAAGTAGACTGCAATTTAAAGGTATGAAAAGTAGCCAAGTAAACTACCAAAGCATAATTATAACTTTTTATGTTATGCTGCTGAGAGAAAAAATTGGGGCACAAAATTGTATATTCATTTCAATCTTTGTTTTTAAATGTTTATTTTTGAGAAGAGAGAGATAATCCACATGCATGTACACACACAGGGAAGGGGGAGAGAGAGAGAGAGAGAAAGAGAGAGAGAGAGAGAGACAGAATCCCAAGCAGGTTCTGCACTGTCAGCATAGAGCTGGATGTAGGGCTCGAACTCACGAACCATGAGGTCATGACCTGAGCCAAAATCAAGTCGGACACTTAACTGATTGAGCCACCTGGGCACCCCCCGCCCAATCTTAATATTGCAAAAAGCTGCATAGGAAAGATAAGAGGGAAATACACAAAATTATTCTGTCTGGTGAAAACTATGGCTGAGTGCTATTTTCTTCTTTATTCCTGCTTCTCCCATGTTTTAAAAAATGAGCATGTGTGACTTCTATAATCAGAAGGATATTTTAGGAAAAAAAGTCTTAACTTATCTATAAAATAAAATTAGTACCTCCATCAATGGGGTTGTCAAAGAGATAAAATGAGTTAAAAGATGTGATTATGCTTCATAAATAACAAAAAATAAGCAATTAATGAGGTAGAATTTGTATTATTATTCTTCAGTGATGTATAGACTTCTGCCACATGGCAAGGTATAACAGCTTCTGTTTCTTAGAAAAAAAGAATGTAAAAGCTCTGATTTCTGGAAAGTATATAAGCAATAAATGAACATTATGCTCTATGAAAGCAGAGAGCAAATCATGTTCACTTTGTCCTTTCACAACATCTAGCTCTATGAGTTTTACTTTCTTTAAAGATCATTATGAGTTATCAAACATTAAAAATTATCATTAATGATTATTTGGATACCAGATACTATCATTTTTATTTCTTTAGTTATTTATGATTACCACTTATCAATGATAGCAATAACCCCTGGCATTTGTATAATATTTAACAGTTTATAGTATGTATTCATACATATTTTCTCTTTTTCTCTTTACGAAGACTTCCTGGCACAGGGGACATCATTCTCATTTTTGACAGGAAGAAAACTATCTAATAGATATGAAGTTTTGACAAGGCCATAACAGAAAATGTTACTCCTAAATGTAACTCCTAAAACTATGCCATACATCTTACAAAGTATTTATACATCCCTTCTATTGTAAAGGCACAAAGATATTAATTACACTTTAAAATGTTAGACAGACTTCATAAGCATTCTTTACATATACATTGTTGTTGAATTTCTACAACATGTGTATAAATTCTCCCATAACTTAAGTAGGCCCTTAGTTATTACTCTTACCATCTTTGGAAGTGCATTAACTTGGGTTATTATAATCCCAGAGAATGTTCTAGAAATGGTATTTGCCAAAGCTTAGAAAGCCTGGTGTTTGATTCACTTGCAAATTCATGCCTCTGGTGCTCTTTCTTACTGCCAAAGACTCTTCCCTCATGCTCTGGACTCATGGCCAGCCTCTCACCTTTCAGGAAGGAGTAGTGGACCTCAGCATTGGCTCCCCGGTCACCATCCATGGCTCGGACCTGGAGCAGCTCTGTGTCAGGGGCCGTGGTGTCAGGAACACTTGCCTCGTAGTAGAGTTGGGTGAAGCGGGGTGGGTCGAGGTTTCCATCCTCCACATAAATAGACACCCACACAAAGTTCCTCTTAATGGGCATCTCCTGGTCTCGGACCTATGGGCCCAAGGGGATAATGCCGTGAGCAGCAAACAGAATGGGAGGAGGCAGCATTAAATTAAAGTCAATGAAATAAAATGCCAGTGAAAAATATACCCAATTGTAACTCTGTGTTGCTTTAAATTTTGCTCTCTTTTATGCTCTTTTTTCTTTAAAAAAATTTTTTTAATGTTTATTTTTATTTTTGAGAAAGAGAAACAGAGTGTGAGTGGGGGAGGTGCAGAGAGAGAGGGAGACACAGAATCTGAAGCAGGCTCCAGGCTCTGAGCTGTCAGCACAGAGCCCGACATGAGGTTCAAACCCATGAACTGTAAAATCATGACCTAAGCTGAAGTCTGATGCTTAACTGACTAAGCCACCCAGGCCCCCTTGCTCTTTTTTCTTTTTAAATAAATTTATAAATTAGTGATTATTAGGCTTAGCTATATTCATGGATTATCCCATTTTAGGAGAAAGACAGAAAGAAATACAGAAACAGTATTTTCCAACTGAGGTCTCAGAGAATATTAGTTCCTCAAGATGTTAACATGTTATGCAGGGGGAAAAAATTCTATGGTCAACTAAATTTAGGGGAGCACTGAATTAAATGATGTTAAAGTTTTCTTTGCTGCAGGACTTTGCAGAGCCTTTAATATATATTAATGTGCCCAGAGGATGATAACCTAACATATAAAAACCTGTTTCTTGAGCCAGGAAGATTCTATAATAAAGAACCGTATGATGGTGAGCAAGCCCCTTTGGGCCTCTGGCGTAAGAGGAGAGAAATGGGTAGAGTCCAGGCCGGGACTAGGGTGTGGTGCTTGAGACATGCAGGGCATAGATTTAAGGAAGCTCACTTTCAGGGTCATAAAGTTGGGGCCCAGAACCCTGACAGTGAGTCCTTCTTAGAGTTTGTGCCCTGCAACGCCTCTCTTGCTTACCCTAGTGCTTGCTCTAGGCAGGAGGGTCTCTGGGTCCTTCCCAGATCTAACAATATCTATGTCAGTCCACATTGTGGCCGTGTGGTCATGGAGCAGGGAGAGAGCTGCTGTGGGGTATGTGGACTGAGCCCAGAGAAAGCCCAGGTTGTAGGAGTTTCTTTGGCAGCTCTGTCATCTCTTTCTTTGCTCTCAGGTACCCCTTGTGGAAGGTGCCTCTGGATGGCTGGGAAATGTCACATCTCATGTCATGCATTGTCATGAGCATGTGTATACCTAGCTAATCAGTGGAAAAGGAACCTTCAGCGTGCCTCCAAGTGTGCCCACCCCCACATATCCACGTGCAAGTGCATTTTCCCCTGGTTTTTCAGTTTACTCACCATAACTGTCAGAGTGTGCTGGGAGGGGCCCAAGCCCAGGTCCAACTTCCCCACAGTTACCAGGACACCACTGCTTGGGTCCAGCTGGAAGAGGCTGGCACTCCTTGGGTCTTGGCTGCCATGTATAGTATAGATGAGGCCTTTGCCCTTGTCTGGATCCATGGCCTGGACTTGGAGGAGCTCAACCCCAGGCAGTGTGTCCTGGGGAACTCTGACCTCATAATGGTCCTCCAGAAACTGGGGCCGGTGGTGATTAACATTGGCAATCATGAAGATGGAGACCTAGGGAAAATGAGAGAGGAGGTAGACTGCAAGCTCTACGGAGTCAATGGCCTTGTTTGTCTGGTTCTTCACCATGCCATCTGTGCCTAGAACAGTGCCTGGCACACAGCAGGCACTCAATAAATATTTGTTGAATTGAAATAGCATGTGCCCTAGTGGTTTTCAAAAACAAAATTTTGGTTAAAAGGGACTTTTCTTCAAGTGAAATTCCGATATCTGAAGCATATAAAACTCTGGCTGAAACCACAGTAGAAATCTAGAGCCCCACTTGCCATCATTTCTCATACCCATGGTAGCCTCTATGGAACTCTGCCTGTAACTAAAACCTGTTCATGGAGACAAAGGCCTTTATTACACAGTGGGAACAAGAATTCTCCCAAAAGCACAGAAGTGGAAAATATATCAGATAAGGCTGGAAGGCAGAACCTTAATTCCAAATTCAGCATCTTCTGAAGTACACCACATCCACTGAAAGCCTTGTGTAGCTTCTTCCCAACCAAGGAGGTCTCCCATCCCCTCCCAGTTCAGGGGTCCCCGGTCAAGCCTCTAACCTGAGTGGCAATGGTGTGAGACCCATCGGTCACCTCCACGGTCAAGTTATAGCTCGACCTCCTCCTTGTGTCGAGAGGCTTAGCGATGACAATGCTGCCTGTGGTCTTCTCAATATCAAAGTCCATGTCCTGGTCACCACCTAGAGTGGAGGTGGGGAGGGGGAGGAGGGCACACAGCCTCAGCGATGGAGCCAGTAGGAGAGCAACGGAATCTGGCTGGCACATTTAGAGGAGGTGGTCATAGATCCTGTCAAGTTCTTATCAAATTATTATCAAGATCTGAGTGATGATACAGAAAAAGGTAAGCTTATGAGGACTGAAGAGTGGCAGGGGAAGACCAGTGTTTGCCATAGGATGTATTCTGCTACCAGGATTGAAGACACAGGAGTAATGGAAGTCTACCCCATGGCCTATAGGACAGTTTGCATAGCCTAAAGGTGCCTGTATGCAGGAGAAAAATAAAAATAAACTGTTCAACAAGAGAGAATTGATGTAACAACTGTAAGAATCTAAAATTTTAAAGTAACATGCAGCTATTTAATTGTTTACTAAATAGAAATCTGGTTAGTGGCATGGAAGTGTGTTCATGTTATATTTTAAAAGGTTGTGAAACAATATTTTAATATAACCCTAAGTGCATGTGTGTGTGTATGTAAAGAAAACTACTAAAAGGAAAGACAGCAACACTTTAACAGTGGCTTATCTTTTGATTGGTGGGGGTTTGGTGATTTTTATCATCTTCTCTACACTTGTTTGTGTTTTCTAACTACAGAGTACATGTGTTAATTTTATGCAAAAAAAAAAAAAAAAAAAAAGCCAAACAAGAGTAACAGTTAGTCGGAATTGAAAGTCAATCCAGGAAGTCAAAACTCTTCTTGGGATAGGTATACATCCAATCTCTGAACTAGGCTGAGAATCTCTATAATTGGATCCCGAAGTTCATGTGGTACTGAAGCTCTTAGAGATTCTTAACCTGGAATCCCTGTCTTGATTTCAGAGAATCTATAAATCCCCATATGTGTATGCTCATGAACTCATGTACGCTCGTGCACATGCACACCTTTCTGGGAAGAGGGCCTAAGCATTCATCAGATTCCCAAAGGGGTCTATGCTCCCCTCCCCCCATATATTTTAACAAAATCTTGGTTTAGAGACAAAAAGGAATTTCAGAGAAGACCTTGAGAGCTTGTATCCAAGTGTCTCCTACAAAGAGAAGAGACCCTTTCCCCTGACCGTGAGGACAGAACCTGGGATTAGAATATGAAGCATGGCCCCAGGGTACAGCAGTCCTCAAGCCATGGTCAATGATGTCAGCTCTGCATGGATCTCACCCTGAGGTAGAAGAGGAAACACAAAACTTGTGCTCTCTCCTTTGAGTCTCCCAGGCACTTGGAGTAACTGGGGGACTGTCCAACTCTGGCTGGGGTACCGGGAGGCCATGGAGACTCTACCTGAGATCACAGCTGGTGTGGAAGGAAAGTTTGGCAGAAGTGGTGCTTCTACTTACTCGCTGTCCCAGAGAAGGAAGAGACAGTCACCACTCATAGCCAAAGAAGGGGCTGCCAGGGGGCATGACCTAAGTAATAACACTCAGAAGGACTGTGCTGTGAATACCAAGCCTGGGCTATAAGGATGGGAGGGGCTGACCCTCCGAGGGTCCTCACCGGAGATGTTGAACCAGAAGAGACCAGGTCGGCCCTCCACACTGATGACCCCCACCATGTGGTTCACAGGGTCCGTCTCCATGACCGTAAAGCTGTAGTGGGGCTCGTCAAAGGCCAGTGGTATGGAGGAGGGCCGGGGCTGGGGGATCCACTCGATGTGTAGCCGGACACTGGCCGAGAGTGGAGGCTGCCCATGATCTGTTGCCTGGATCTGAAAAGAAGCCAAACCTGACACTGAGGCTTTGTCTGCAGGGTTGGGGCCAAGAAACAAGAAGACCCAGGTGACCAGGCAAGAGGCAGAGTGCCCTGTGACTGTGGGAGCTGGCCTTCCAGCCACTTGTCCATCCATTCAACACGCAGTGAAAGCCCCCTTGTAAACAGGAACCATGCTGGTTGCTGCAGGCACAGTGGTGAACAACAGATGACCTCTCGAGAACTTCACAAGCAGTGAAGAATTACTCAGAGCCACTATTAACTGAAGGCTTACTGTGTGCTAGTTGCAGAGCTGGACTTGGCACACGTGGGCCCTTCTTAACAACCAAAGACATAAACTAAATGAGAATTTATGGAGCTCTCACTAGGATCAGGCTCTGCTCTAAGAGCACTATGGGCAATATCTAATTTAATTCTCATGACAGCCCTGAGAGAGGCTCCATTATATCTGGTGAATTCGGCTGCCTGGGATCATCTGCCTTGCCAGCAGTGAGGCTGGGGTTGGACTCAGGCTGTTGGACATGAGAGTCCATATCCTAACCACTTGCTATGTTGGCTTCCTACAAGGAAAATAGTCTTATACCCATTTTACAGATGATAAAACAAAGGCTCAAAGAGGTTCAGTGGCTTGGCTTTGGACAGGTGTAACATGGAAGAGGTAGGGTTGTAACCTAGGCTTACTTTGATTCCAAAGCCTGTGCTACTCTCACCAAAATCCTTATCTCTAAGAATAGATCAGGTTTCCCAGGCAAGGACCTTATTGCCTTCAAAGAGAAAGGCCCAGAATTCTGATCCTGATGCCAGGGTTCCCAATTCTCTGGGAGAAAGCCAGGGAAGGGAATACCACCTCCATCATGCCTGATGGCTATCTCCCTTCTCCTGTTTCCTCAGAGAAAATCCCTAATCAGTTATGACACTCCCCCCTCTGCGGCCTCCAGCACCCATCCCCACCACTCACTGTTAGGATGTTGTACTCTCCAGCTGTGAAGGTGTTGCTGGATGACACCATGCCTGTGACTGGATCGATGCTGAAGTTCCCTTCATCACTCTCCTCGATACTGTAGGTGACCCTGCCATTGAGACCCTCATCAGGGTCTGAAGCCACCAGCCTGTACACAGGCCCAGGGGTTGCTGGGCTCAGCCTCTCTGGAAGGCGGACATTGAAGAGCTTGTGGGAGAACACAGGGGGGTTGTCATTGACATCTAAGATGCAGACCACCACCCTGGAGGTGGACTTTAAGGAGGGCTCCCCGTTGTCCAGCACAGTCACCTGGGGACAGAATGGAGTATGAATTGCCAAGCACAAAGCAGCGAGTATGCATTACCACCCACTGCAACCCTATGCTATCCCTGCCTTCTGCAGCCTGGAAATATCAGCCAGGCTGTGTTTTGGTATATGCTTGTGATTTTTATTATCATAACTTCACCTACTTGGAACCCAGCTCTCTGGTGACCTCGCCCACAGGAAAGCCAGCAAGATCAGAGAAAGAAACCAGAAAGAGTTGGAAGAAAACAAAGCCACAGAGGCTCTAGAGAAAAGCTCATGTTCTTTATTCAGGTGGCCCATGGGCCATTTCTCAGAGACCATTTACTTTTTATTTGCTTGTAATTCTCATAAGCTTTGTTCTCTGGTTTCCTTAAGCTACTGGAGGTTAGTAAACACAAATGAGAAGATGTTTATGAAGGAGTGGGTGGTACCTTTTGAGTCAGACCTGCAGACCTATGCATGAAATAAAATCCAGAGCAAGAGAAAAGGCACTTCTAAAACAATTTCAGAATCAAGGGCTATTTCATGTAGAGGCAAATCGTCCCACGCATCAAGGGCCCCGAGGGCATTATACAAGATAGGACGTTTCCACTCTGAGTGGTTCTGAATTTTTAAAATATTTTGGTGTTTAAAGAGAAATACCTCTGCTGAACTAGGGAAAATGCTCAGTCCCTAGAAGGCCATTTAGCAGCTGCTTACTAGTAATACCTGTCTCTTTCAAAGGGAATGTGCAGAGTCTGAGAGCCTAGAAGGCCAGTTTATTTCAATTCTGCTGAAAGAATGTGTGTTCCTCCCACCTGATGTCTTTAAGACTGGAAGAGATGCCCATTCATCAGTTATGTATAGCTCTAGAGGAGGCATAAGTAGATTCCTTTTGCTTTACTCTATTCTAGGTCAAGACTGATTCCTCTTGTTGGAATGGGTACCAGGGATGCTTACATGATTTTAGAAACATCCTAGAAACCACAGATCTAGAGACCAAAGGTCTGGGCTTTCATCTGGATCTGCTACTGACCCAGTGCTTGACCTTGGGTATAGGGATGGGCTGGAAACCAGACTCAACAAGTACATAGCACATGTGTACTACTCCCTCTTCCTGCACTCACCACAGACATTACTAATCAATCAGTGCTTCTTGCCCAGCCCAGACATGGTTTCAGATTCCTTCCCTTCCCATTGCTGGAGAGCCAGGAAAGACCCCGAGAGTCGTCACCACCAACCACAGCAAGACACAGCTTAAGAAACTCCTCCACCCTGGGGGCACCTGGGTGGCTCAGTCGGTTAAGCGTCCGACTTTGGCTCAGGTCATGATCTCACGGTTTGTGGGTTTGAGCCCCGTGTCGGGCTCTGTGCTGACAGCTAGCTCAGAGCCTGGAGCCTGATTCAGATTCTGTATCTCCCTTTCTCTCTGACCCTCCCCTGCTCACGCTGTCTCTCTCTCTCTCAGAAATAAATAAAACATTAAAAAAAAATTTTTTTTTAATAAAAAAAAAGAAACTCCTCCACCCTGAGCCTCAGCCACAGTACTTGGGAGATGTGCATGTGGCTCCAAGGCCTGGCTCAGCTTCTGCTTGGCCCCCTCCAGGAGGCTTTTGAATCCAGTGAATGAGTTCACCACCATTACTCACCTCCAGGATGTGTTCATCTTTGATCTCTCTGTCCAGCTGCCGGGCTGTGGATAGGAGACCTGGGGGAGAGGCAGAAGGAGGGAGACCTCAGCAGAGGGCTCCCAGGGCCACTTTATTGGGGGTGAGTTCACAGATATATCTAAATCCTAGGGCAGATTTTTTCCGGTTTTGGAGAGCAAAGACATGAAGGGGAAACAGGACCCTGGAGGAGAAGGGAAGTAAGGAAGGAGGAAAGTACAGCAGAGATAATGGGATCAGCACGGTTCCCACCTACGTCCAGCTTTCACCACTAGAAGAGATGCTGTGGGTCACCTGGGTGGCTCAGATGGTCAAGCCTCTGACTCTTGATTTCGGTTCAGGCCATGATCTCATGGTTTGTGAGTTTGAGCCCTGCATCAGGCTCTGTGCCAACAGCATGGAGCCTGCTTGGGATGCTGTCTCTCTGTCTCTCTCTGCCCCTCCCCTACATGCTCTCTCGTCTCTCTCTTTCTCAAAATAAATAAATAAACTTTAAAAAATAGTAAGAAAAAACAGAAGGGATCTGTGCACAATGTATTATTGGGGGTTTGGGGTCGGGGGGGGCAGCTTGTGTTCCCTGGCTCCTCTCTGCTTGCCTGTAAGTTGAGGAAGGTGGATTTGGGTATCTGTAAGTCTAGCTTTGATTTCCTGAGGCACTGTGGCTGTGACCTGCAGCCATCTGAGGCCACAAAGGAGAGAAGGTGCCAGTTGTCTGCAGGCATCAGCAAAGTCAAGATGGAGGTTATGCTAGAGGGGCGTCAGTGCTGGGTAGGAAAGGTCTCTTGAATGAAAGCGGAACAGGTAGGGGTCAGTGGGTCATCTGAAACTTTCAGTAAGTTTTTTTTTTTTTTAATCTTGTTTCAGAAATTAAATGATGGAGTTATGGAATGGAGTGTGAGGAAGGGGGCGCAGTGAGAGGAGAGGAGATTCAGTGCTGGGTGGAGCCTCCAGGTGCTGGAAATGGAAGTACGAGTGAGGAGCGGCCTCTGTTAGAGAAGTGTTACTGCCTTGTGTGATAGAACCAAGTCACCCTGACGTTTTCTTCCCTGACTGAGGGCAGGCATGAAGGGGAGCAGAGAAGGTTCTGGAAAGCCCTATAGCCAGAGGCCTTTCCAGTCGGGGAAGAAAGACACAGTCCTCTGGGCCAGTGTGAGTGTTGTCCCAGGTCATCTCACCCAGCTCATTCCCAAGCTGAGTGGCCTGATGGGGAAGGATCTAGGATCCAGGGCCCCCCCGGAGGAGTGCAGGGACGAAAAGGCCTCAGCTAGGAAGCCTTCCTTCTGGCTCAGTCCTGGCTGTCTTCCCGCTTCTTCCCTCTCTCCATCCCCCTTTGTCCCATTCTCTCCTGTCTCTCTCTCTCTCTCTCTCTCTCTCTCTCTTTCTCTCTCGTTTACCCCTCGCCATCCTCCTTCTCTCTCGATTACCCCTCTCTTCCTCTTGCCCTTCCCCTTATTTACCTCTCTGAATCTCTGACATTGTCTCTCGGTCTCTGCTTTTTCTCCTCTCTCTCTCTCTCTCTCTCCTTTGTCTCACCACCACATCCCCAGACCTTCTAAGGGCCAGTGTCCCTGGAATTGCAGCCTGTGGCTTCCTGGGTCGTTGCCTTATTGTCAGTCTCATCCCCTTCTCTGAGGTCAGTGTCAGGATTCTCAGCGAGCGCCGTGTAGAGTGGGGACATGGCAGAGCTGCCCCCACGGGTCTGTGTGAGGTCCAGCGAGGACCCTTCTGGGCGTGGGCTAGACACTCATCATTTCTCCTCCCCAAACACATCTTTCCCATCACCCATCTCAAGTCCATCTTTGACTGTCCTCTCTCTTATCCAATGATTCTCCAACTTCTATTGATTCTACCTCTAAGGGATTCCAGATCGTTCTACTCCGTTCACCCTGTCCTACCACAGTCTGGGTCTTACCTCAACCGCCTTCTCAGCTCCCTCTTCTTCAGGATCCTAACAGCCAACACTCCTCCATGTCCAGACATTCTACCAAGCTCTTTCTGCATCTCTTTTGATTGATTCACTTAATCTTTACAACTATGCAAGAGGGAGCTATTCTCATGTCTGCTTTACCAGTGGGAAAACTCAGGCATAAAGCAGCTGAGTAACTTTACCTTGATCTTACAGTTAATAAGTAGGGAAAAGTAGAGCATCGGTGGACCTGTGGGTTAAGCGTCTGCCTGACTCTTGATTTCGGCTCAGGTCACGATCTCACGGTTCATCATGAGATGCGTCCTGTCAGCACAGAGCCTACTCGGAATTCTCTCTCTCTCCTTCTGCCCTCCTCTCCCTCACACACTCTGTCTCTCTGCCCTTCCCCCGCTCATTCTCTCTCTCTCAAAAATAAATAAACGTTTTTTTAAATTAAAAAAAGTAAGTAGGGGACATGGTGTCTGCATTTAGATAACTGACCTACTTGCTGGCTCTTCGTCCCTGCTGGCTATTGCTCCTGTTGCTCTCCTTGCCCAGGTGCCCTTGAACACTGCTGTCGGTCCTCCTCACCCTCAGCTCAGCATGGCCACCCCTGCTCCATGGCGCCGTTGCTACTCCACCATACTGAGCAGCTCCCCGTCTCTCCTGGGTGATCACGGCACCGCATCTACACATATCTTACAGAGGGCTCTTCCTCAATGGCTCTCTAGTTTTTTATATCCAGATCTTCATGCTCTTGATGGGTTGAATTCCTCAAGGCCTGAAACTGTGTTTAATTATCTTCACATCTCAACACAGCGCATAGTTTAAATGCTTTTTAAGGGTAGACACCTTTAAACATCTGTTGAACAAATGAATGAAGCTTGGCTTCACTAGAGATTGTCAATGCTGGCAGAGATTCATTCACTAATGTCCCTCTTATTTACTGAGGTCCTACTGTGTACTAGGCACTGAGGATATTATAGAGGGCAAAAACAATCAAGCTTCCTTTTCTAGAAACCTTTGAAATTTAGTGGAGGACATAGATAATTAGTGGAACAATCACACACATGAATATAATGTTCTATGTGATAAGTGTTTAAAAAAGAAAGGAGTAAGGGCGCCTGGGTGGCTCAGTCAGTTGAGCATCCAACTTCAGCTCAGGTCATGATCTCATGGTTCGTGAGTTTGAGCCCTGCATAGGGCTTTCCGCTGTCAGCGCAGAACCCGTTTTGGATCCTCTGCCTCCCTCTCTCTGACCCTTCCTTGCTGGCACTCTCTGTATCCAAAATAAATAAACATTTAAACAGTTTTTAAAAGGGGGGGGGGCACATGGGAGGTTCCGTCAGATAAGCATCCAACCCCGTCTCAGGTTATGATCTCATGAGTGGTGAGTTCAAGCCCCATGTCAGGCTCTATGCTGACAACTCAGAGCCTAGAGCCTGCCTCAGATTCTGTCTCTGTCCTTTTCTGCCCCTTCCCCGATCATGCACCGTCTCTCTCTCTCTAATATAAATAGACATTAAAAAAAAAATTTTTTTTAAGTAGACTGAGCTAGGAGATGTGTTATAGTGTCAGGAAAAACTGTAAAGAAACAATGGCTGGGCGGGGATCTCAAAGAAGAGTGGGAGTTAGCCAGACAAAAGGAGAGGAAGAGAAACTTTTGGAAGAAAGACCAGTGTATGCAAAGGTCGTGTGTCAGGAGAGGAACCTCTGGTTGTTGGAACCAGAGTGGCGGGGTGAGAAAGGCAGGACAAAGCCCGAAAGGTCCACAGAGGCCATTTCAGACAGAGTGTGAGATGTGGCAGGAAGTGGCTTTATCTTAGGATGTGGGGAAACTATTCCAAGTATCCAAGCAGGGAAGTGGGACGATTAGGTGGTGATAAGAAAGGTGGGCTGGGGGCTCCATTGCTGACTTACTACTTTATTTTTAAACGTTCATGTTGGTTAAAATGTCTTCTCCTCAACTGCAGGAAGACTGAGAATGTCTCTGCTCTCTGGGGCATTTTGCCAGAGCCTGTGTCAGAGAAGTGTTGACAGTAAACAGAATAGGGGTTTGGAAGACACTGAGAAGCCAATGCCTTAGGTGAGCGAGCTCTTCTCTCTTCAGAAAGGGGGGGACAGGATGGACCCAGAGAGAGCCAGCTTAGGCCTGTTTTCCAGGGTGAAAGCATCCTTCTTAAAGGACTAATCCGTTCCCTGAGGTCAAAGGTTAACAGGAAAGGCTCCAAACAAATGTCCCTGTGCAAATAGATACTCATGTCCTCCGCCCACTGTCTGTCCCAGGACTGAGCTCTTGTTCCTCCTCATTTCCTTCTGGCTTAAGGATGGGGTGCTAGTTTCTCCCTTCCCACCTCCTCCAATCTTGCCAGGGTTCTGTCCTTCCAAGAGTGAATGACTGGAGCCAGAGAATAGGATCCTGGGTTCAGAGGAGTGAGAGAGCGTCAGACTTCTCTGCTGTAGGATTGCTGTCCGTCCTCTAAGAGGAAGATGTGGCCTTGGAGACATACCCACAGCAGTGGGAGCTGGCTCTCAAATTCCCACAGCAACAGGAGCCAGGCAGGTAGCCTCAGTTAGGGAAGCAGGCTGAGAATAGCACAACAGGGAGGAGGGGCCTTTGGGGACCAGAGGACATGCACCTGCTCTGCATAGAGAGCTGCTGTTGGGTCCGGGTAGTTGTGGCCCTGTGCAAATGCGGACTCAGTGTGGCCAGATCTCCTAGGTTTTTAATGAACAACCAGAAATTTGGAGCGTTTTGTGGAATTTTCTAATTTTTAAATGTTGGCAACGACTTGAAAAATCATTGTTTAAGACTTGTACAAGCCAAACAAAAATACCTTTGTGGGCTATGTCCCACCCACCGTCCCTGCCCCAGATGGCCTTGGACCGAGGATAGACGTTTATGAGATGATTAACTCCACTGGAGTGGGTATCTACTACCACCGCTCTGTGGGCAGGCTCGAGATCAGTTTAGAACTAGGGTTAAGAGATTTGATCTGTGGCTGTGACTTGGGGGAGGGGTCAGCTTGGGAGCATTCAGAGATCCAAAATAGTCCCAGCATGGCTACCCAGGCACTCTACTTAGCTTCCCCAGGCCCTAAGGAAAGAAAGCCAATATATTCTTATGTTCCCAGAGAGAGAGAGAGAGACTTTGTAGAGCAGTGGTTCTTAAATTAGCATACGTAAGAATCCCCCAGATATTTTGCTAAATAAAATATGGACTTCTGAGCTCCCCTGTGGTAAGGTGGGGCCTGAGAATTTGAACTACTAACACATTCATAGGTGATGCTGGTGATGCTGGTCCAGGACCAAACTGGCACAAGCACTGTGGTAGAGATTCCTAATGACCCAGACTCCTGAGGTCCTTACCTGTGAGAGGGTGAATGAGGAAGAATCCCATTTGGTTCCCACTGGTGATGTTGAAGGTCAGCTTCCCTTTGGAGCTGGAGTCCGGGTCCCAGGCATCCAGCTGAAGCACAGAGGTGTGCAAGGGTGCATCCTCCCGGACGGAGGGGTAGAACACTGGCCTGGACATCCGGGGCGGGTTGTCGTTAACATCCATAACCTCAATGTAGACTTCAGTCACAGAGGAGAGAGGTACGGAACCTCTGTCCACTGCCAGCACCGTCAGCCAGTAGCAGGATGCAGATTCTCGGTCCAGGGGTGCCAGAGTCTGAATCATACCTAGGGACAGCCGATCACCAAACCCACAATATTTTAGAGCTCGAAGTAGCTTTAGGAATCACCTTAGCTAACAGTCCCCAGATGAGACTGTGGAAATAGGAGCTCCAGGAGAAAAAGGACCCTGCTGTTGATGTGGTGCGGGAGCTGCTGAGTTAAACACACGGGAATTCATATCCTTGCTGTAGAGCCTCTCAAAGCCCTTCTCTGCTAAACTAAGCCCATGACATTTGTCCTTAAACTGGTTCCTTCAGGTTTCAAATATTATAGATCCCAATTTAAAGGTTAGGGATCTGATGACTAAATTGCCATTCCCCCTTTCCAGACATCCTCATGATTTCAGAGACCTTGCTTCATGCCTCAGTTCACTCGCTCCACAGATTGCTTACTATGGGCCAGCACTGTTCTAGAAGTCGAGGGTCCAACAGTGAGCAAAAGAGGGTTGTACCCTAAGTTCTCACGGGTCATGTTCAGCCGGAAGGACTTGTGCCAGAGGACAGGGCCCATGCTCACAGCCATCGTGGGGCACAGCTGAAGGAACCTCACTCCTTTGTCAGCCGTGGAGATGAAGGCCCAGAGACAGAACGTGATTTGGTCAAGATCATGTTGCAAGTGGGCCCAAAGAGCAGAGTCTCTCTTAACTGACTCTCAGTCTAATGCTCTTTCTACCACGGCACCCTGCCCTTCACCCTGGAAAATAAGTCACCTGTCAGACTGTAAGCTCTTTGAGAACAGTGACCTACCTGTATTCACCTGGGACCTCTCCCGGAGTGCCCCTCTCAGAACCTCACAAGCAGATGGTGCTTGTGAGTGTTTGGTGAATTGTACTTATTTTCTGTGAAGCTTTAAAAGGAATAAATAGGGATGACTGGGAAGTTCAGTCGGTTAAGTATCCAGCTCTTGATTTCAGCTCTAGTCATGATCTCTCAGTTCATAAGTTTGAGCCCCACAATGGGCTTTGTACTGACAGTGCAGAGCCTGCTTGGTATTCTCTCTCTGCCTCCCTCCCTTCCTCTCTCTCTCTCTCTCTCTCTCTCTGTCTCAAAATAAAGAAATAAACTTGGGGTGCCTGGGTGGCTCAGTTGGTAAAGTGTTTGACTTCAGCTCAGGTCATGATCTTATGGTTCATGAGTTTAAGCCCCAAGTTGTGCTCTGTGCTGACAGCTCTGAGCCTAAAGTCTACTTTGAATTTTGTGTCTCCCTTCTCTCTGCTCCTTCCCTGCTTGTGCTTTCTCTGTCTCTCAAAAATAAATAAACATTTTTTAAAATTCTAAATAAATAAATAAACTTTAAAAAAGGAATAAATAAGTTGGTGCCAACTTTCTGGAGGATAATTTAGAAATTATCTATTAACATTGAAAATATGCATTATCCTATGACCCAGCAACTGCATTTTTAAGAGTTTTTCCTATAGAGACTCATGCATATGAGTAAACGTATATGATCAAGGATGTTACAGTTAGATGACAGAATAAAATGCAGCCATTAAAAAACAAGGAAAAATATAGATACTGGTATGTAAGAGATCCTGGTGTTATGTGAAAAAAAAGTGTTGCAGAATTAGTGTCTTTTGTATGACTTTCTCACGTAATAAGTGAACAGTGATAAAATGTCAGACACAAAGAAGAAAAATTTACAAGATTATAGACCAACCTGTCAATAAAAATTATAACTGGGGAGATGGGACACAAAAAACCATTCATTTTTAGGGGCATCTGGGTTAGGGGCATCTGGGTGCTTCAGTCAGTTGAATGTCCGGCTCTTGATTTCAGCTCAGGTCATGATCCCAGGGTCGTGGGATCGAGCCCTTCATTGGGCTCTGCACTGAGCCTAGGGATGGTTTCAGGTTCTCTCTCTGTCTCTCTCTCTCTCTCTCTTCCCCTTTGCCCCTCTCCCCAACTCTCTCTCAAATTTTTTTAAACATTCATTTTTAAATTATATATAAAATTATGTATAGCCATGATGCATTACTTTTATAAGCATATACATACACTGTATATTTATGTATGTGTATAAACATATACACAAATGCTAGTAAGATGGTTGATTTAACTTACATGGATACACACACACACACACACACACACATCTCTAGTATGATAAAGATGAATTTAAAATAAAATAAAAAGGACAAGAAGGAGAGTCCCTAGTTACTGCCTTTCAGTTAGCCTGGAGCCTGCCTTCTTTCAGGACAGCTCCTGATTCCCTTAGGCCCATCCTCTCCAAGCACCTGGCACGCCCATCCACCCTACTCCCAGTACCTGTGTCTTGGTTGATGCTAAAGGCTGCAAGACTGGTGCCAGCCCTCAGGAAGTACTGGAGCTCCCCATCCAAGCCGCTGTCATCATCGTGGGCAGTCACTGCCATCACCTGGGTTCCCGAGGGGCTGTTTTCCTGCACCTGGCCCTGGTGCACAAAGGAGGCAAAGCGGGGAGGATGGAGATTCTCATTCACATCCAAGACTATCACTTCTACGTGGCAGAGGGTCCTGCGGGCCAGGGGCCGCCCACTGTCACTGGCCCACAGGCTCAGGTTGTATCCAGCCCACCTCTCAAAGTCCAGCTCTCTCTCCAGACTGAGTGCGCCAGTCATCAAGTCCACCTGGAAGGTCCCATCGGCATCATCCAGCAGAACATAATGCACTTCTCCTGCAGGGCCCACATCAGGATCAGAGGCATCCAGAAACGTTAGAATAGTCCCAGGGGGTAGATCCTCTGGGACTTTCAAGCTGCTGAGCTCCGTGATGCACTGAGGCGAGTTGTCATTGGCATCTTCCAATGTGATTGTCAGGTCAGTGACAGCAAAGAGCTGGTGGCCCTTCCTGGGCTGATCCCTGGCTTCCACCTTGAGTATATATTGTGGCTCTGATTCCCGGTCCAGGTGTCCTGTGACAACCAGCTCCCCATTGAGGGGATGGAGGGAGAACTTCTCTGTGGGGCTTAGCAGAGTGTAGCGAACCCTCCCATTGTCATCGGAATCAGCATCTTTTGCTTTCAACTCTGCAATTGTGGTTCCAACCTCTGTGTCCTCCAAGATGGTTATCTGGTACCCACCGGGAGGAAATCGGGGGGCATTGTCATTCCAGTCTTTCACGTTCACTGTCAGCAGCTTCCAGGATGACTTCTGGGGAGTGCCTAAGTCATACACTGTTACATTGAGGATGTAGAAGCTGGTGGCTTCATAGTCCAAAGGGGCAGCGACCGTGAGCAGCCCTGTCTCCAGCTCAATGTCAAAGCAGCCTTCATCATTGCCATCTGCAATCACATAGACCAGTTTGCCATTAAATCCAGTATCAGGGTCAGTGGCTGCCAGGCGGGCCAGGGAGGTATTGACAGGAACACGCTCAAGGACGTCAATGGACTGTGGGAAATGGTCCTCAAACTGGGGTGTATGATGATTGATCTGATATGCACTGAGGGAAATGAAATCTTCATCATTTGAGTCCTGGTTTTGAAACCCAACAGAATGGAGGATGGCCTTTGTGAAATGCGTCAATACTCCTGTTTTATCACACGTTACAGGGACCTCAAAACGAGGGTCTTTCACTATAGTAACATTCAAAGTTGTAGGTGAAGCATAGTGTTTCCCATCTGAGGCTGTAATTTTCAGGGAATAGTTGATGGGTTGACCAGTAGTAGTATGATTCATGAAAGAGCGTTTGAGGGATATCACTCCCGAGAAATGATTTAGATCAAAATACTCTAATTCATTGCCTGACACAAACTCATATTTTAGGTTCTGCAGCTCATCCACATCTATGGCGGACACAGTCATTAGGGATCTTCCTACCGGCCAGTCTTCACGGATAGACCCAGTACAGTTGACTTGCTCAAACATAGGCTTGTTGTCATTCAAGTTCTTGAGCCTAAGAGAAATAGACACTTCCTTTTCCTGCCGAAATGGGGATCCCCAATCTGATGCCTGGACCCGGAAGGTATAAATCCTTTTCATGAGCTCATAGTCCATGGGTTTGGAGGTGGAGATAATCCCCAGGTAAGGGTCAATGGAAAAGGGTACCACTTTTGGACGAGTGATGGAATAAGTGATGTATCCATTCTCTCCATGATCCCGGTCTGTGGCAGTAACTGTCAGAATGCTGGTGCCTGGGGGGATGTTCTCCTCAAAGGTGGCTTCATAGGAGGACCTGTTGAAGATGGGGGCATGGTTGTTACAGTCCACTATATCAATGACCACAGTGGTGGAGGCCAGCCCTGGTGAGGTTCTGATGTGGAGCTGGTAGTGGGCCCGGTCATGGAAGTCCATGAGCTTCGTGGTGGTGATGAGCCCAGTGCGAGCATTCAGTTTAAACCCCACACTCTCTGAGGATGGCTGTAGAACGTACTGCAGGTTGGGGAAGGCTCGGGTTACTTTCACCATCACCACACGACTGCCAGGCGGGGAAAACTCGCTGAGCCGCACTCTGTAAACAGCCTTCTCAAATTTGAGGGAGGTCAATTTGGAAGGGGGTAGGTGAAAGCCCCTGATCTGGGAAGAAGAAGAAGGCCTGCTCCCACCCCGGGCCTGCAGGCTGAGGTTGAATCCATGAAGGTGCTCCAGCCAGTTGATGTCTTTGACAGACACCAATCTGAACTCACCACTGCGGGCGTAAGACTTGATGGCTTTGAAGTACTTTCCAGGGTCACCACCAACTATCTCTAGTGAGTCCACTTCTCCGGAGCTATTTGCATCCACCATGACGGTGGCATAGGCAGCACCCTCATCGCTGTCTGGTGGAGCCACCACCACCGAGGTGATGGCCGGGGGCTTCCTGAGGGCAGGCTCCACGTGGATGACAAGTGCAGCCAGATTGCCAAACCCATTGCCCTCTGAGATTTTCCTCATGCGGTCCACAGCCAGCACCTGGAGCTCATACCTCCCTCGCCAGGTGATGTTGAGCCTCCCAGCCAAGGTGATCACGCCGCTGGTAGGATGGACGGCAAACATCTCCGACCTTGTGTTGAAGGCATAATAGAACTTGGCATTCTGGCCCAGGTCAGCATCTGTGGCGGTCACCTTGCAGATGGGGCTTTTGAGGGGCATGTCCTCAGAGATGGTGACTCTGTATGAAGGCGGGGAGAATAGGGGCTTCAGGTCATTCTGGTCCAGGATATGGACCACCACCCGGGTCAAAGCTTCTAACTCCAGGGTCTTCTCCGTGGCTTGGATGATGAGGGTGTAGCTGTCTCGCACCTCCCTGTTCAGAAGGGCCGTGTTGCTGCTCTTTGTCCTTATTCTCAGAAAGCAGAAGTTACCCACCACATACTCCTCTGTTTTAAACACATTGGCCACGTCCCCGGAAATGACCCGGTACCGCACTGCCCACTGGGGCTCAGCGAGGTAAATGCCCATTTTCATGGAGCTCTCCACATAGGTCTTGGGGGCTGAGTTTTCGTAGATGGTCGCATTATAGAGAGAGTGTGTGAAGCGCCAGTCTGCCGAGGAGGTGATCCCTTCTTGGGGCTTCTCACACGTTGTACATTGGAACAAGAAAATGACAAAGCCCAAGAAGGCAATAATCATGATGGAAAAACTCCCGAAGCCCTAGGCACAAAACAAAAACAAAACAAAACAAAACAAAAAGCAGAACAAAACAGAAAAAGTATAAGTTAGGAAAGAAATGATTCCTACTGCTATGGTTCTTAGTTGAGGTGATTTTGCCCCACAGGGGACACTTGGCAAGTGTCTGAAGACACTGTCAGCTATCCCAGCTTGTTAGGGAAGGTGATACTGGCATCTATGGATCAAGGCTGGGGTGCTTCTAACCACCCTACAACACACAGGACAGCCCCCCCGCCCCCAGCAACAACAAATGGTCCAGTCCCAAATGTCAATAGTGCCGAGACTGAGAAACCCTGCATCTAAAGACTAATAGACTAACGTAAATGCTTTCTCAGGAGTACCTGGCAGATGCAACACAGTCCTGACCACTTGACCCCATTGAACCTTCAATGGCTCCCAGTGATGGTCAGATAATTTCAACCAGGTACCCAAGCTTAGCAATCTGTCTCTAAGCACTTCTACAAGACCCCATCCATCAAGGCCGAGTGCCAGCCAAACTGAGTTGCGTCTGCACGTGCTGGGGCTGCAGAGCAGCAAAGTGACCAAGATCACAGGCCTGGCGCCAGGTTCGTTGGCCATCAGCCCTGACTCCGCCACTTAACTAGCTGGGTGATTTCTGCTCAGGTTATTTAAGCTCCGTGAGCCTCGATGTCCTCTCCTATAGAATGGGGAGAAAGATATTATCTACCTCATTGGATTGTGAAAATTAAACGAAACAACAAAGGCAAATGACCCAGCAGGGTGCCTGGGACATAGAGATTTTAACATAATATTGGCTACTGTTAGTAAAAGGCAACTCAGTTTTATCAAGGGAAGGGAGCTCTCCAGGGCCTTACAACTAGATAGAAGCGAAGCAAGAATTTGACCTGGGGCTCCTTGCATCAATGGCCAGGACTACCGCCACCACCCCAGACTTACCTGCCCCCGTCCCACTGCGGGTCCCTGGGGACAGAGCCCAATTCTGAGTCCTCTCTAAGTCCCAAGCCCCCAGAATGTCAGAGCTACAATGGGCCTTTGAGACACAGAGTTCTGACCCCACTCCGCATGCGTAGATAGGGAAATAGAGCCCCAGAGGTGGGATGAGCCTCGCCCCATTTCACAGAGTAGGTGGTCAGGACAGAACTAGTCCCTGGGGATTGTGGAACTAGCCATTGGATGAGCGCTTCGCCCCTCTAGTCCCTGCTGTGTTTCCCACACAGCTTGACCGTGAACTCCAGCCGGAGTTAAAAGTGGAGCCTCATCAGGGTTACACAGGGAGAAGGGGGAGGAGGGGAAGGCAGAGTTTAGTTGCCAAAGTGCCTCCTGGAAGCAAAGTGCTAGGCTGGATACACCAGGCCGGTGCCTGGCCGGCCTGCGGGTGAGAGTCTTGACTCCAAGGAGCCTCATGGCTGCCAGCCAGATGTGCAGAGCATTCCTGGAGGAAACAGGCAAGACTTGTTTTTCCAGTTGCTAAGGAAGAGTTAAACTCCGGGGGGCAAGTGGGGAAAGGAGAGGCTCGCATCCATGCCTTTCCAGAGTCCTGAGGGAAGCTGAATGCAGCTTCTTTAAGACCTGGCAGGTAGCATTCTAACACGGGAGGGAGCATGGAAGTCTGCCTAACTTGGGATCGCCAGCCTGTGACAAAATAGAATTTGAACGGCCCCGTCCTTGCAGCCTCCCTACCACCATCCTTCCCTTGAAACCCTATTGGTGGCACCCCAGGCTCGGCTTCTCAGAGAAGAGGGGCAGGAATGGAGGCAGAGTCTACACCTGGGGTGACTATTCCCCATCCTTCCTGCCCCTCTACTCTTCCCCCTTGCATCCCCGGCAGCCCACAACAGAGCTGGCCCCAGGCAAAAGCCACATTCACCCCATTCCACTCACCGCATCCCCAATATAGCCTCCTGCAAGAGGGGAGGGACCCCCGAGTCCTGTAGACCCCAACCCCTCCCCCCAGGGTGGCGTTGCTTTGGGCATTGAAGCCCCAAGGGAAAGCGAGTCCTTACCCCAGTCCCGGGTCCGCTCACTCTGCAGCCCAGCGAGCCCAGGATGCATGCAGCCTCCCGGCGCAGCCTGCCCTGTTTGGCGGCACGCTACCTGTTCACCAGGTCAGCACCCGCGTAGGGCAGGCCCCAACAAGATACTGCTCAGCAACTGCACAGGCGTCTTGCAGAGATGAGCTTAGGGAAGGGAGCAGGGGCAGGGTCCCCCTGGAAGAGATAAGACGCCAAGAGAATGCACCGTTGGGTGGGGGTTTGGTGCCCAGGGCTGTGTCCAAGGTACAGGACCCACAGACCTGGTGAGTGGTTTGCTGAGGAAGGGCCTGTGTCTGGACGTTTGCTCTTCCTGGGCAAGTGAACAGGCTTGCAGGGTGCAGAGGCACGTTGCGCTCTCCGAGCTGCGCTCCCAGCCCACAGTGCCTAGGACTACTATTTTGAAATACCTTGTGAAAGCATAAATCAATTCATATCACTTCCCTTCTTAAAATTTTTCAGTGGCTTCCCATAACACTCAGATCAAAATCTAAGCTCTTTGCCATGGCCTATAAGGCCCCACACCATCTGGGCCCTGTCTGCTTTTCCAATGATACCTCCCAGCACTCATTTTTCACCAGGCTGCAACCACATGGGTCTCCTTTCTCCTCCACAAACATACCAAACTAGAGTCTGCCTCAGGGCCTTTGCACTTGCTGTTTCCCTCTACTTAAGAGTCTCACATGCCTGGCTCCTTCTTGTTATCCTTCTTCGTGGCTCACCTCAACCCCACCCTCATCCTAACTCCCAGCTTGATGCAACCTCCTTCTTAGCAACCTTCTTTATCACACCACCCCGTTTTCTTTATGGCACTTATCACTACCCAATATGTTCTTGCAAACTTGTTTAATGACTGTCTCTTACACTAGACACTATGTTCCCTGAAGACAGGGGCTTCATGCATAAATTCCCAGCGTCTGGCACATAACTGCGTGGTATGTAGCCCTACTCAATCGTTGAAAAATGGGAGGATCTGGACTTAGGAAAAGCAATGACAGAATGACAGTTGAAAGAACCCTTAGTGATGGTATCTTCCTTTCTGAAGCTGGAAGATGAAGTCCCCCCAAAAGAAAGGGACTTGCCCACAGTCACAAGGTAAGAACCAATGCCAGGTTCTTTCCTCCCGACCACCCTGCCAGAAAGAGAAACCATGGCTACTTGTGAATCCGACGGTTCGGATTTAAGTTCAAGATCTACTACATGCTAAGTGCATAATCTTGGGTAAGCTAACCTCCCCAAACCTCTGTTTTCTCATCTATAAGATGGGGCTATTAAGATAACTGCTTTCCTGGGGTTTTATAAAGACTACATAAATACGATCATGCACGTTGTACTTTGCACAGTGCCTGGCCCATAAAAAAAGTACTCAATAAATATTAGTTATCACTAGTTTTCAAAGCCAAGGGAGAACCAAAGCCTGAGGTTGGGGTGAGGGTGGAGTCCACTGGATCCTCTGGAGAAGGCCCAGCCTGTTGTCCCAGTGGAGCAGGAAGCCACTGGTGTCTGGTCGAGTCTAAGCTTGCTGGCCCAGCCACAGGCTATTCTGGTAAGCGGCGAGCAGGCGCTTGCCTGGGGTGGGGCCTCTCGTTCTTGGCTCCCAAGACTCAGAGAAAATTCTGCGTGCGGGTGAATGTGCACATTTGCAAGAGAGCACACATACTTAGGAGGCAAATTTTGAATAGCTGTATGGGCGCATTAATTGTATGTGCCTGCTTGACAGAATGAATATGATATGAGCAAATAAATTGGTAGCTGTGGGGCTTGTGTGTGCACAGGTGTGAGCACAGGTATGGGGACCCTTTTAGGACATATGTCTGAATCAAATCTTCCTCCTTGTAACTCCCAGCCCCATTTCATAGATGGGGACAGCAGCAGAAAGTGGTTTACAGCACACAGTTTCTGGCTGTGTGACCTTGGGCAGGTGGCTTACCCTCTCTGATTTTCATTTCTCTATAATATCATGTTAAGAATGAAATTAGTTAATGTACGTTAATGTTGAATATAGTATGTAACACAGTTTTCAACAAATATTACCAAGTACTATTACTTTTAGCAGCCAGCTCATACTCTTGACTGCTGAGTTTGTAAGTAATGAAAACGCTTAGATATATTATCACCCCATCCCCAATCTATTCTTGCACAGGCTGACTTTCTCCAACTAAGTGCCGCAGGGCTTTAATGAGACCATGATGCATTTCACCCTGTGCTTCAGCTCCCTGCTCCAGCTTCTTAGAATCTGGATTGTAACATTCAGAAACGTGGTGGTTGTGACATCCGCGTCTTTATTCAACTCACTGATAAAACTCTAAGCACAAATGGGAGGAACGATGCTCGCAGATCTTCCCTCAATTTTTTGGTTCGCGACTCCAAGTGCACTTCTGGAATTAGTCATCTCAGAATACAGAGCTCCCTGTCACTGGGGAGACCAGCCAGAGTCTGGGTGGCCACCTGTGAAAGATGTGCTGTGCTAGGGGACACATGCCCTCGGGGGAGACAAGAAAAGCTCAAAAGCCCCTTCCAACTCATACAGGTCTGATTCTTTGGCCTGGGCAGCCCTGTGGTCTCTATTAGACCCTAAATGTGCCTTCAAAGACAGCGAAGGGGGTTCCTCTGGCTCTGGATGAGGCTTGCACACTCGCCAATGCTTGCTCCGTGGTCTGCATAGGAAGCCAAGTTGGCTTTTGGGAGACCTGCATCTAACGTCCTTTCTTCCCTGTGTGTCCTTGATCAAGTCAGTCACCTAAGCCTTGGGGACCTCTTTCTTCCTCTCTAAATGATGTGGTGTATGTTGGGTGAAGGGGCTGGAAGGGATCCGTGATTTCAAACCCCTCTATTGCTTTCCGGGGCAGAATCTCCTTTTTCCTAATGAAATTGTCCCTGGAAACCCACCTGTAAATATATAAAAGCAGAGCTGTGCTGTTAGGAGCAGGGATGGAGGCCTAGGACTTG